CATCACCTGGGTCAAGGTACAAGGCATTACATTTGCCAGTGTCTACCGGCCATGTGACAACCCGCAGGAAATGGATGATATTCTGGAAGTATGGACTCCACCTTTTGGCTGTGTTATAGCTGGAGATTTCAATGCTGGCGACACATCCTGGGACTCGAGCAATCCAGGATATCATGGTGGTGTCATACTTACACAGACTATGGCAGACCACGGACTGGATCTGATTTCTGAACCAGATGTCCCAACACATGATGACGGAAATGTACTAGATCTGGTGTTCTCAGATGTCCCCATGGCCAAAGCCTCAGTGAATGATGCACTCCAGTGCACTTCAGATCATAAGACATTACGAATAGTCATTCCAATTCAGGGAGATCTAGACCGAGTCCCTAAGGCCAATCATTGGATAGTACCGGATGATAAACTACAAGAGCTGGCAGATAATGTCCAAACCAGGATTCATGAACTCCCCCGGCTGGGTGTATCCCCTGACCAGGTAGATGCCTTTACACAAAGCTTGATCAACATGATCCAAGGCTGTATCAGGACAGTGGGCAAGAAGCCCCGTCAATTTAGGCCCACTGCTTGGTGGAATGATGACTGCAAAGCAGCTGTTCAGACATACAAGGCCCTTTCTAAACAGATTACAAGCCAAAAAGGTCGGAATTCAGCCCGACAGGAATTTCGCCACGTGGTTCAGAAAGCTAGGAGAGAGTACTGGCAGACTCTAATTGATTCAGTAACTGAGCCAAAGGACCTATACAGAATCGTCTCTTGGCACAAGCTATCAGCAGGATTGCGTTCCCCTCCAATCATCATAGGAGACCAAATATTCGAGTCACAAGAAAGCAAGGCAAATGCATTACGCTCAGCCACGCTTGAACAAAATACCTCAGACAACGATATCATCGACCCCTGGTCCGCTCAGATCACACAACCCAAGCCATACATCTCCCTTGAATACCATGTCGGACTGGAAGAGGCTGAAGGGTGTACTTTAGGGACCAAGAACAACTCCCTGGGAGTAGACACCCTCACAGTACGGATTCTGAAAGCTTGCTGGCCATTCATTGGGGAATATATCAGAGCCCTTTTCCAGACCTGTCTACAGATTGGACACCACCCTAAACCATTCAAAGTAACTGAGGTAGTGATGATCCCAAAACCAGGAAAGAAAGACTACTCCAATCCCAGGGCCTACAGACCAATATTGCTATTGTCGTGTCTTGGCAAAGGCTTAGAACCACTTATCGCAAAAAGAATTACCTGGTTTGTTGTTAAACTTGGAATTCTAGCTCCACAACATTTTGGAGCTCTACCAAAGCGCTCTGCCACTGACCTGGTAGCTGCACTTATACACGATATTGAGCAGGCCCTCGATCAAGGCCTCGTTGCAACAGTAGTCACGTCAGATGTGAAAGGGGCCTTTAATGCTGCCCTAATGGGACAGCTGGTGGTTTGCATAAGAGAACAGGGCTGGCCGGGCTTTCTTATAAGATGGGTCCAGTCATTCATGTCCGAGCGGTCCGCAAGGGTTCAGTTTGAAGGTATTGTGACCGATATTAAAGCTCTTATTTGTGGGCTACCATAAGGCTCACCAGCCTCTCTAATCCTTTATATGCTGTATACAGAGCCAATCTGTGCCCGACTTAATATGAAAAAAAGACGCTTTGGATATATAGACAACCTAGCGACTCTCTGCATTGGAAAGAATCTTAAAGAAACAGCTATAGAGGCTTCTGAAAATCTTTACTTGTTCAGTTAATGGAGATATAACAACGCTATTGAATTTAACCCTGATAAAACTGAGATCATGCACTTCTCAAAGAAAAAGAACTCAGACAACCCTCTAGTCCGCCACAAAATAATAAATAAAATAACAAAGGACTCCATGCAATGACTGGGTGTCTTCCTGGATAGAAAACTAAACTTCAAAGATCACGTTTCCTACTGGGCCAAGAAAGCTAATAAGGTAGCAAATCATCTTTAAGGACTATGCAGCACAGTCAAAGGACTTCCAGTAAAGTCAATCAAAAGGGCTGTGAAAACTTGTGTTATTCTTATTCTTACACACAGCCTGGAGGCCTGGTACCCGGGAATCAAAAAATTTAGGAGCTTAGGTGAGACATCAGCATATTGCATTAAGGGGCTTCTTAGAACAATAAATGCTGTACTACGAACAGCGATCAGGGCTATCCTGCCGGTCTGGAAAACACACCCTGGACATATTCTATACTTTGAATCACAGATTCCTCCAGCAGGAGTTCTTGCAGAGGCAATAAGACGGCGTCACGGCCTACGACTCGGACGTTTAGACCAAAGATACTGTAACGGCCTGCACAGACCTTCCCACATGACAAGCCGATACTTCCCAATAAGGGAAGGATCTGACCAGAGGATCCCCTTAAAGGGGCAACCTCCTACTGTACCTATCTCTCTCTCTCTCTCTCTTCCTTTTCTCTCTAGTCTTGATATTCTCGTCAATAGAGTAATAGCTGCTTGCTGTAGGCCATGTCCCAGCTCCCCAGTATGCTCGCCGTGACAGACACCCTCTTGTTGGCAGGCTCCAAGTACAAGCTCGTAAGGAACCAGCAAGGCTACAAAGGAACTTCCAGCTAGTCCCTGACTTCCAGAGACCTATACTCACCAAGCCATCATAGAAAAAGCCCCCAATCCGAAAAGATAAAGATAAAGAGATAAAGCTCTTTAAGGAATGGTTACAAAAGAAAAACGTGAACACTAACCTTGTCATTTACTCGGATGGATCACAGTTGAACGACCAAGGCACAACCCGCACTGGATGGGGTTATACCATCAGGAAAGGCGGCACCATACAAGAAGTATACCGGGGAAAAGACAGACTTCTTCAAGCAGAAGTAGTAGATACTGAAGTCCATAACGCTCTCTAAGGTCTCGCAGCAGCCAGGATAATTAGACACAGAAAATGGCTATATGTCTGCCTGGCCAACACGTCAGTGGTAGATGGGCTCAATGGGACTCCACCCGAGACATCACAGAACATTTTTCTATGATTCCAAGAACTTGTCACGGCACACACTCCTGGAGTGACCGTCAAGTGGATTCCTGGATACAGGAATATTGATGGCAACGAAGCTGCCGACACACTAACAAAAAAGGGTGCCATGCTAGAAACAGACACAACAAACCTTTCTATAATCTCTTCGGTCAAGAGAGATCTCAAAAAAAAGGGCAAGAAAGAGTTCAATTAATGGTAAAAAGACCAATCAGAATCTAGGTATCAAGAAGTATACTCCCATACAGTAACTAAAAGAGACCTTATATTTTTTAAGAGGAGTACTTTACATAGATTTCTAACAGTCAGATCTGGACATGGCGACTTTGCCAGATACTATGAACGCTTTGGGCATACAGACTCGAATGATCACTGCAGCTGTGGTAAGAAAAAAACACCACAATACATTTTTTTTTGTAAGAGGCTAGGGAAAAACCGGCTGCTGCCTAGGTACTCGCCTAGGGCAGTTTATTTACAATACTTAGGGGAGAGGAGCACAGATGGGCAAAATTCGTGGAGAAGAGCAAGTTCTTTTCAATAATCTGCCCCCGATAGATAACTTTTCTTAAAGGACCAGATGGATGACCCCAAGGTCATACCGCCGCAACAACGGGGATGGGCCCGTGAGCGGGACTGACTGTACTTATTATCTTGAGACCTCCACAACCCTGCGATACAGAGGCTCTGGGAGGCGTGGTTTGCACTACTGAGGAGCTACCCCCCACGTTAAATACAATCAATCAATCAATCAATCAATCAATCAATCAATCAGATATGGAGAAACGTTTGCCGGAGTAGTCTGGTACTACATATTCGAGAGCATCGCCGCTGATGAGGGGGCAATTGGCGGGCGTGTATCTAGCCATAACGTCTGCCAGGATTTCGGGATCCATGTGTCATCTACTCATGTCTCCTCCCCTTCCTCATCACTGAACAATGTGGCAGCTGTGTCGAAAAGTGCACCTGTGTGCTCTTCCTGGTGGACTTTTTGGTTGTTATGAAGCAGGACATCTTATCCTTGATGTCCCTGTGCCGCTGCGTCTAGCCGTTGATACACACAGCAAACATGCTCAGGAATTCTCTTCGTCGCCGGTAGCTAGCTTAGCATCATGTGGGAGGCAGCTGAAGATTTCCGTGTATTCCGTATAATGCGACAAGTCCAGATGCTTCACCATGGCCCGCATTATCTCCGCGACTTTCCCAAAGACGGCCTCGCAGAATTGCGGGAAGATTCGCCGGCAACTGGCGAAAACACCTCGAATTCACTCTGAAGTAGAAAAATAGTCGTGACTGTCTTTCCGAAAGATGGCAGATCTGCAAGCACGCCAGTTCAGCCTTTGGTAGGTCGAACCGGACGACCTTCAGGGTAGATGGCCACAATGATCGTGTTTTGTATGTCGATAGCATAGGTGTTGATACAGGAGCTAACTGCAGAGTCTCACGTCTCATGGCCTTTGACTTCTTCTCCCACTGCTGTTGAATCAGGCCTTCGTGCCGCTCGACGATGACTTGTAGCCGTGAGAAATTCTCCCAAATGCGATCAATCATTGGCCGTGCTTGCACCCTCACATCAGCCTCGCTAAATTTTCTGAGGCTTCTGATCTTTTTGGCGCGGTACGGCTTCAGTTTCGGTCGTGGTCCACACATTTTGAACTAGAGTATGCTGTCGGGGCTCGCTCTTTCTTGTTGTCTTTTAGGGTATTTGGTTTTAGCTCCTCCCTTGCGGTCGAAGAGCTTGATGATAAAATAAATCGCGAGGCTTCTGATAGCGGAGGGTTGCAAAGACGGCCATTGATCTTCGCACGGCAGAAGCGTCCGCCAGGTCCCAGCAGGTATTTACCGTCAGCGGCCTCTGGCCATTCGCCAAGCCACTCCGGTCGGCCGGATAGCAGCAGAGTCGGAATGTGTATGAGAAAGTCGGCGACCGCAGCATTGTCGCTGTGATAACGCCGCGTGACAGGGAAACTTAGGCCGCGAGGCCGTTCAGGACGTTTCGCTCGACTCGCTGCAGCACTCCGTGGCCTTGTACGCCAGTCAGGAGCGGGGCGTAAGCGTTCTGCGTTTTTGGACTTCGGTCGAACTTGTCTTCGATGCACACCTCCTCGACTCCTCTGAGCAAGTCCGCGTGATCATCATGTCCCTCGCAGCTGGACCTGTTGGGCCTCGGTGGTGAGCTTGGTGGTCAGCCTGCTGTCAGATGGCTGTCAGAATAGACCCATCACAACACCCAAGTCAAACCCTTCTCTGGGGCCCCGCGGGGTTTTTTGGTCCCGGCCAGTGCGCGCAGAGCGTCGTCGTGGAAGATGATGGCCTGGGCGACCTTTCGGAGGTTCGTCCAGAACGGGCTCATCGAGATGTGCACGTGGGTTCCGCACGAGTGTTCGTTGTAGAAGCCGAGGAGTCCGACGCCTTTGCAGAAGTAAGCTCCATGCCGGCGAAGGGACCAACCTCCAGCGTGTGAGGCAGGGCAACATCGGTACCGAGGCCAGGTGGCTGGGTTTCCTCGAGGATTCGGGTGATGGTGGCCGGGTGGACGCCTGCATCGAGGGCTACGATGGAGCCTCGAGCCCAGCCCAACTTGACTGATCGTACAAGGAGTGCTGCCACCTTGTGTTCCTGCGGTCCGCCTCCTGAGCCCTGCCTCCACTACCACCTCGAATACCTTCTCGATCTGACTGGTCCAATTCTTGCGGCCATCGCAGATAAAGATGGGCGAGGCGAACTCAACTACTCAACGCGGTAGTGAGGTTCTTCAAACTCTTTTGAGTGGCCGCTGCCATTTGAGCCGGGTAGCCGGTCTGCCTCCATTGCCGCGCGATGAAGAGACGGCAACTCCGCAAGCTGCTGGAACTGATAGCCACCCTACTGTGCCGGCTCTTCGGACGGCTTCACTTCCTTCTCATTGTCCTTAGCCTCGGCGACCTCGCTGGAGACTCGAGAGCAAGGTCCCGAACAACATCACGGATGTCAACAGTTGATGTGGATTGACGTCAATATCCACGACAATTCAGGTCGACGGGACCCCCATATTGACGTTGATTGAGTTGGTCGGGACCTTGCTGGAGAGATCGGGGGTGGCGTGGGCAAGCTTTTGGTCCATCTTGTTGAAGTGATCGGGCTCAACTATCCCCATTATTCAAGACGAAGACTTCGTGTTCCCAACCCAGCAGATTGAGAGGTGGTGTCGATGTAGGAATCATTGCAGGCTCTGCCGCAACCTTGAGAAAATTAACGATTTCTTCCTGGTGGCTCATGACCGAACACTGTTCGTCTTCTCCCCGACGGCCGTCGCGGAAGGACAGGTCGCACTGAACGGTAGTCCATTTGCCATGAAAATATATCAATAAGAAATCGATGGCGTCAACGTATATTTAATGTCCCCGGCGGGACGATCACGACGGAGACCTTACCCGCAAGTCACCAATGGAGTTAATCAGAGCATCGTGGGCCATCGTAGTAGCGAATGCGTCATTGCATTCTTTGCTAATCGAGGTATTTTTGATTACCCGCTCTGTGTCAAATTCTCAGTCCCGTCGTGATGTCGAAAGGTTGACCGGGCGAATTAAGACGACCTCCTTGGGAAGCTTGACGACGTCAGGCTTGCTCAAAGCCTTCTTGAATAGGAGTTCCATCTTCGCCTTGGCGTTGATCTGGGGTGTCATCCTCACATTTATCTCGAGCCAAGCAAGATGCATGCGGGCGCGCTTGAAGCGTTTGCACAATGCTCATCGTGATTCGTGGATGCGTTACTACGCGATCTCTGCGTCGATCGTGTTGTACTCTTGAGCTTGCGTTTCGTGTGCTGGAGAAGTTCTTGGACGCGCTCGTCAGTCTGCGTTGTGTCGACGAGTGCAAAGACCCTCAGGTTGTCCATATATGTGGTGTTAGGTTCGAATCCTAATGGCGCTAATGTGGCTTTACCCTTTGTTGGTTCTTCCTCTGCCGGTACCTTTCCGTCGTCCGTGTTCTGGTCGGAGTCGTCGAATACGATGCTGGGAGTGGTTTCCAGGAACGAGGTATCGGCGTTGTCGAGGCCTTCGTGGGAATCCTCAAGCTGCGAAGTTGTGACTCCTGGGCGTGAGCGCCAGGGCCAGGAGGGGCCTACGACTGCCTCTGCGATCATGTGGTGGATGTCCCGCTCGGAGACGGGCGGGTAGCCCTCGCGTTCCAGGCCGGCATCCGAACCGCTACCCTCACCTCGTAGGGTCTCGGCGTCAGTGTCCAGTATATAGAGGGGGCAGTCCTGTGGGGCCACCTAGAGCCGTAACACATCCGCTCTGAACGATTCCGATGATGGGGTTGCCCGAGAGCACGGCGGGATCATTATAGAGCTATAAAAACTCCGAACCCGTGTAAACGCACCACATTGGAGTGGCTCTTCCTTGGTGAGGCCGTAGTTGAGGTAGCGCTCGACATACAGAGCTCTCATACCGAATTCCTCTGATCTGTCGAACCAGTTGGCGGATCAAAACCTGCGTGCTCGTTCTGAGCGCCGCATCGTCCAATATGGACGTGGACTGAGGTGGACTCATTGAGATGGATACGTAGGCCGCGTAGGGCACGCACCACATCCTCGATCTGCACACGCTGGGTTGGGTCGTAAGAGCTGATCACAGGGCATGATACCTCACAGTCAATGAATCGATATCCCTTGTTCAGAATCTCTGGACCGGGAACCATTGATGAATCGTGTCCGACGCGCCAGGCATCATAGATGGGGACATTGCCGTGGGGCTCGTGGAATGTGTCATTCTCCGGCTTCATGACGTGCTTGTCGCCCGTAGGTGCTTAGATTGGGCGCGCCCAGGGGAACTGCTCAAGGTAGAGCAGTCCTATTCTTGAGATTCCGACTATCCGCATCTGACCCGACGGTGCGGCCGGTGTGAAAAGGCGCCCTTCGTAGTGGCTCAGCAGCCACTTGCCGTCGATCCAGATCGAGACAAAGCTAACCACTTCAACAAATTCTCGTCGAGACGGGTGAAATACTGCCACTGGTCAGCGGGAGGACAGGAAAGCTTCACCGCAAGCGGGAAGGCGGAGTCGGGAAACGGTCTTGACCTTCATCCTCTGTATGTACGTGAGACAGGTCGACCCTGGAAGCCATGGGGGTTCTACCCGAATCCAGAGTGTAGCATCCCTGACTTCCCTGACTGCCTTGACTGTCGTGGTTTCCATGCTGTCCATAGGCCTGGCTTCCCTGTTGTCCATAGGCCTGGCTTGCGTGCTGTATGTAGACCCCTGGTCCCCAACTCCCCAATCCTCCCTCTCCCACAAGGTCGGCTTGGGCCACCGCCCCCGAAACGAATCCGCCTTTGGGATCGTGTCCACCCACTGTCCGAAGTAGTCAGTGTTAGAGGCCACGTCAGCCCGGCCTAGTGGTGACTCTGGCGGTGGCCGATGGTTGTGCCGCCATCGATGAGGCACACGCACGGGTTCGGGTCGTTCGGGATGGCGCCCGGGCAGTCTTCGGTGCGGAGGAAGCCAGGAAGGGTGCCTGGCTTGCATGCTGTCCATAGGCCTGGTTTTCCTGCTGTCCGTAGCCGCCACCCGTATGTTGAGATACAAGCGTGCGCTTGTTGACTATAAGTGACAGTAGATGTATATGCATGTTCGTGTCAAGTGCGGGCGCGTGAAGTGGGAAGAGAAGCTCGCAGCTAAAGACAGCCGAGAGTTGGCGAGGGCATGGCGGGTTCAACGCTTCTCTGTCGTCTGTGCGGCATGTGTTAATTCTGCTTCCCCTAGGTACGAGCCAGTTTCTTTTCACTTACACGTAGACTTCGCGGTCTTATCGATGCTTGGCAAGTCTGTCGTTCTTCTCTTGCATGTGCTCACGCTCAGAGGCGCCTCTCCACCAGTTCCATTCGAGCATTTTCGAAGCCGTCCTCGAGTTTTAACAACCCGTCAATCCCACCGAATTCTGCCGTCTTGGTCTGGATCTGATGGTGGACGCCGTGTGCTATGACGCTTTGCACCCATTCCGTCTCGCTCCCAATATCCCCGTCACTGGTATGAGTAGCTTGAATAATAGCTTCCAACACCTCTGTAGCTAGTGGTTGCTTCTTCGTGATGTAATGAATACGATTCTGTTCGTACTCGTCCCAAGGCGCCAACTATTCATGCCAGCCATACTGGGCACAGCTGAAGTCCTCGTCCTACTGACCTGCAGACCCCTGATCTCTCCTATACTGTCTGGCGGCGGCCTCGATGATCTCATCGAGGTTCGTGACATCAGATGGCAGACCGCCAATGTAGATTGAACGACGGTCAATCTCATATCTCTTCAGATATTGCTCGGCAGCATCGACGGGGGGCTTGTTGACCTTCTTGATGTCGTATGCGATCACTCGCCAGTGCGGGTTGTTGCGGTAGTGCTAACACAAGTTAGTACTGCAATCGAGATGAGATTGGGGCAGATCAGCATACCGCAACGACCGCGGTAACGGCTTCGTCAGGCAGAAGGCCGGCGAGCTTGCCCCTGGGGTGTTCGTTGAGGATGCCAACTCGGCAATGTCCGTTGTTCCAGACTGCAAAGGGTGAAATCAAAGGGAGTGGAATCAAAGCAGGTGATCAAATCGACCCCGAAACGAAACCAATCAGTCCCAAGCGCCTATGGAATGCAGCATGTTCCTCGTCCTGACTGAGCCAAGTCCGTGTGCTATCGGTAGGTTCGTCGAACGCCTAACGCCTAGAATCGATCTCGGCGACTAGGGTGGACGTGGCGTTGGCTTTCAGGACTGCCGTCGCTGCCGCCATGGCGACTTTGGCGGCCCTGGTTCTGGTTCTGGTTGCTCTGACTGCCCTGGTTGTCTTGAGTTCCATAGCATTCGTAGTTGTCTCTGAAATGTGGAAAACTCCATGTGTTAACAACGGGTACTTGGTATCAAGAAGACTAGTCCTCTTTGATGTATCCACCTCTTTGAGGAATGCAATCATGTACAAGGTAGGAGGGTCTGCATACTTCTCAGGTCCTCCTTTGAGGGCGAGCAACTCCCAGGCTCCCTTGACGAAACCCATAAACATCGTTGCCACATCGGAAGCGGGACCCTTCGCATTGATGTCTGCTCCATTGGATGTAAGCCCATTCAGAGCGTGTTGACTGGCTTCCAGTCTTTCGAACTGGTGTCCCGATATCTCGGGGCCTACAGCCAAGCCGTGTCGTTAGAACTGTTGACATAGATATTTGTGTTGGGACAAAACAAGAGTTTCTTTTCAGAACACTTACTTGACAACAAAGACACAAGCATCTAGCAAATGGTAGACATTTGCGTCAGGACCCATGACGTGATGGCTTTAGTAGCCAGGGGTTACGGGGTAGTACGGGGATGCGCCGTAGTTGACACCACGGTAGTGTCCCTTGACCTCCACCGTAGCCGGGATATTACGGGGATGTGCCGTAGTTGACACCACCGTAGTGTCCCTGACCTCCTAGGAATGTCCGGATGGTGTTCCGTATCCGGTGTAAGCACTGCCTCGGGTGCCAGAGATGGCCGTGTTCGCAGCGCCGATACGGAAGAGATAGAAGGCTCTCCTCCCAGCTTGATGGCGGTGTCCTTGACTTCCAAGCCGCCTGCGCCTGGACTTGGCATGTGAGGAAGTTGGACGTAGGTAACTTGAAGGGGTATTGTAATAAAAATAAAAATGAGAATCAGAATAAGAATAGGAATAGTAATAAGTATAGTAATAAGAATAAGAATAGAAATGGAAATAGAAATAAATCGGGGTGTTGGCGCTTCTCCAAGTTGTGGAAGACGTAATGGTTGAGTAGGAGGGGATGGTGAGGTGACGAGGAGCCGACGGCGTAGCTAAATTTGGTAGTTCAAGCGGCCTCGGTTAGCCGAGATACTAGGGCTAGGAACCACACAGAATACTACGTAGAGATTTGCTTGGGGCAGCATGGGCTTTGGGCTTAAACAGTGGGAAGGTGTATCGGCGATGCCTCAGGCGTTAATACGTCACGTGTGAGCGGAAGAATAGCTCATTCAATGCAGACTCAACGGATGATTCACAGCTGAGCAGACATCTGTTCTCTTTCTCCCATTATGCGTGTGGGATTTTCCAATTGTCTCTCACACAGTCACACACGTGTCTCAGCTCAAAGTGACAGAGTTAAGATAGTCATTCTACTAAAGAAATCGCCGAGTTCTTCTGTAGGTCTGGCCCTACCAAGCAAACATCTCAGGGGAAGTTTGGACACAGCACAAGATTACTATGGAGACTTACGTTGCACCTTATGGTTTCGAGGCGGCCCTACTGGCTTCGGCTAACTGCTGGAGCCTAACATACCAACCCTGCCAGAAATACTATCCTGAGTAAGTCACCATCAAGGTGATACTGACGGTTGATGACTCCAGTGTGTCGACTCTTTGCTGCAATGGAGGACATACCAAGATTGACACATTTGTGACGTAGCCTTCCTACGTGCAGTTCTACGCTGGCCAGCAAAACCCTTCGGGTCGAAGAGTCCCTCAAGCTGGAGGACTTGGACATTTGGATGTTGCTGTATGACATGATGGCATCATGAGGGGAAATGTAGCATTACAGAAGCAGGGTAGAAACAAGTTTCCTCGCTCGATAATCGTGGCTCGCAGTTAGCAAGCAGCTGTCCCAACTCCCCAGCCCTCATCGAAAGGTACCAAAGGGCACAACCGCTATGTCGCGGCGTGGATTCCAAGTTCTTCATTCGGGCGTGTAGTTTGGAGGTTAATGAGATTGATCTCTGGCAGATTGGAGAGGGTCCGAGGCCAGTCCGAGAGCGAGTTCCAGGAATGTAGGTGTTGACATACTGAACTTCGGCATCACCGACATATGTTATCGCCTCGCGAATAGGTACTACCTGACGATGCCTGTATCATCGGTTTACCAAAGGTCTGCGGAAGGATAGTAAAAATACGTAATGGAGACGCACCCGAAGCTGCGGCCTGGCCTCCAGGCGGAGGATCTCATTCCAAGCGCGGTTTACCAATGCCAGTCACATCACGTAACCGGGAAGACATCATACCGCGGCACCGACGTACCATCACGTAGCAACACAATGCAATGCATATTAATCACGCCGAATCCTTTTGCCTCTACTTTTCCCCCCGCGCCTGTTCTCTACGCACTTCTCTTCTCATCCCGAAGCCAACTCAACACCATGGCACAGAAGACCGTGCTGATCACCGGCTGCAACAGAGGAATCGGCAAGGGCCTCCTCAAAATCTACCTTGCAAAGCCAAACCACCTGCTCATCGCCGCTGTCCGGGATCCCAACCACCCAACCTCCAAAGCTCTGGTCGACCTCCGTAAGGCCGAGGGTACTTCCCTCATCGTGGTCAAGAACGATGCCACGGTCCCTACTGATGCTGCCTCCATGGTGAAGGAGCTTGCGTCTAAGGGTATCGACTACATCGATATTGTGATTGCGAATGCGGGAGCCGCTTATCGCTGGTGCAAGGTGTCCGAGGTCACGGCTGAGGACATCCAGAGACATGTTGTTCCCAACGTGCACGGGTTCATCTGGCTGTACCAGGCTACATTGCCGCTGCTGAAGAAATCAGAGGACCCGATCTGGGTGACTATTGGGTCTTCTTCGGCTTGGCTCACGGTAAGAGATCCCCCCTTTCGTCTACAGCTGACTCCATGCTGCGGTCGCATTCAGTGGCTAACCAAAAGCACAAATAGTAAATAATACCCGCGATGAAACTACAGATGTATACTAATCCATTCGACGTAGGGATATGATTGAGTTCAAGAACGCCGCCTATGCGCCGACCAAGGCGGTCCAGCACTGGTACACGAGGTCGATCTCGTTGGAGGAGAAGTGGCTTACGGCTTTTCCGATTGACCCTGGGTAAGTCTTACGAGCAAGCCGAGCTGTGGGACTGTTACTTACGCAGTCTACGTAGCTGGGCCCAGACGGACATTGGTCAGCGCGGCGCCGACGCTTTTGGGATCGAGACAGCCCAGATCAGCGTGGAGCAGAGTACTCAAGGAGTCGTTAAGGTCATCGATGCTGTGACGCGAGAAACCCATAGTGGGAAGAACTGGGTTTGGGATGGTAGACAAGTCCCGTGGTAGCGTGTGATGATGGGGAACGAGATGGTAGCTGTGGCAGAGTTCGATCATGAGGACAGCACTGAATTGCGAATGTACCTCATGCGTGCGCAATACCATGGTAGACTCTGCTTTGTAGACAAGTGAGAGACATCACACCATGGGTTAGGAAGGTCGCCGGTAAGAATCCCATCACAGGCTACTGAAACAGGGGAATATGAGTTCACTGGAAGTCTTCGTGTTCCCAACCCAGCAGATTGAGATGATATCGATGCACAACCTTGAGCAAATAAACGATGGTTTTCACTGGAAGTTCTCCTCTGTGTCTAGTCCCAGATAAACTCAAGCTGATCTACTTAGAAAGTGACAGTGAGTCCTTGTCTTGTCTTCCAAAGACGCCCCACCAGCATTGAACTTCTGGAGTCTCTTCGTCCTCATCCCAATCGTCTTGACAGGCAAGAGTGTGCTCCTCGAGAACTCTCAGCGGCGAGACACCCTCGACCATTCTGGTCCGAAATCTAGCCGTCAGTCTCTTTGTGGTAGAGTCTCTCTGTGGAACCATGATGATAGCCCTGGCGTCCGGATCTTCCGAAAGGTGGTTGGTGACTGCAGAGGAAAGCAATTCGGGGTGATCATCATCATAGAGGGGGTCTGCAACGATAACGAGCTACGCACAACCAGTCAGTGTCGACGATAGCATACGATACTCAACAGGCCACCGAAGCTACCTTGAACTGATGTTTCTTAGCAAACCGTTCTGCGTTGCCAGCTTCAGAACCCCATGTCAGGGGGCCCGAGCTGAGCGTGCCGCCCAGAGCCTCAATTGTCTGCCGATTCCCATCGATGTTGAACTCGAGGTTCGCCATGATGGACGGGAGATCGCTGAGGACAACATTGGCTTGCCACATAGCAGCAGCTGCCAGGCCCAACAGCCCAGTACCCGAGCCGAGTTCGAGAACGTCCAAAGACGAGTCGGGCCGGCGCGAACCCAGCAGATGAGCGAGAGGACCAGAAGCGACCTTATCCAACTGCTGCGCCATGAGATAGGAGGATCCCCACGTTTTGTGACCGATGGAGTCACCAGTCATAGGTGGTTCCCGAATGATCAGCTCGAAATGAGCGGGCTGTCGGTTCTCAAATGGCCACCTTCGAACGATCTCACCCATCCCCACTCTGCCACACCGCTCCGAGAGTCGCTTGCTTGCCTCATCCCACAGTACCTCTTTTTGGTCGTCGTCCTCTATCCATGCAAAGCTACTACTGACTACGCTTGACAGATACGTGGTGACTTCACGACGGAACCGAGCAGAGTCCTGGCGGTTCTCCAGAATAATTTTCCGGGAAGTTGTGGGTTTCCATATCGGCGGCTCTACGTGTAGACTTTTGAGACACGCCAGTAGTTCTTCGAATGAAGGCTTCTGCCATACCTGAGGGAAATCGGCCGGGGAATCGGGCAGGTTGGCCATGTCGAGCGTGAATGCTTCAGTTGATCCGAAAGAGGTGAGACCGGAAACAGCGGAGAAATCAGAGGACAAGAACAAATGAAACGATCGGTCACCGGCAAATGAAAGACATGCTGGGACTGTGATCTTTTTCCTCGATTTGCATCACAGGTGTATTAAACGAAGAGAATGATGGGATGCAGCAGGCATGGAAAACATGAAACCAGAACAGTCCATTGAAATGTCTCGCTTGCTGCGCTGGCGGGCACAGCCACAAGCCACACCTGGACCCTGAAAAAGCCACAACAGCTGGTGAAGCTACCACGGGACATGATTGGCCAGCCTTATCGATAGCACAAAGCTTAATCATTTTCTGCTATGACTCGAAAACTCCAGCGCCCGATTCGAAATTGCTTCCTCTTTCCTTCCTCAAGCACCATCCTCATCAACGCCGCGTTTCCGAGCTGCACACAGAGAGGCTGCGTCACGCGCAGCTTCTCGGCGGTCTCGTTCCCTCCGGGGTTCGAGCTGCTCAATCATCTGCTCGTGGGTAAATTCGGAGTATCAGCTTCACCTTCACCTTCACCTTCCTCTCCTCGCCTGCTTCGGCGGCCGGGGATGACAGGTTCGCCCGTGAGGGCTTGGCGTGACTTCACGTCTGCAATTGGCATCAGAAAAGCAGGGCCAGTCACCTCGTGTATATCCGCAAGGAGAAGACGGGGGCGGCTGGTTCCTCTGGGAGAGTTGTTGCGAAGCTTGTGAACAAACACTTAAGTGCAATACGCGGCATTCTGGCGTCCCCTGTCTCATGGCGGCAAAATAGCTCAATTCCGATTGATCTGAAGAGGATGGTGCTTCACCCTCTATTTTCCTCAGGTAGGTGGTCTACTAGTCCCCAACGTCCCCCTTCAGATCTAGAATACTGCTAACGGAATGCCTCACGCCTCACACCTCATCCATATCTAGGTCTATGATCTCCGTCGACCGAAACCGCCATGCCAACATCCTTACCCACCAGACCCTTTCGGCTACAAATTCTCCTTCTCCCACCCGCCTGCGCCTCCCTCCACTTCGTTCTGGCTGTCATAATCCTTCTTGTTCGCATCGGTCTCGTCTGCGGCATTTGCTTCTTCGGATCCTGTGGCCTGGCGTGTCTCACGCTTGTCGAACCGGTGTAAGATCGCAGCCGCCTCATTCTCGGGATCTACAAGCTTCCCCAGTTCAGATAGTTCCGTCAATAGGTCTTTGCAGGCAGCCTGGTCCGACATCGAATTCTTCGCCAAGTCAAGGATCTGATTCCCGGCTGCTCGTATTTTCCCCAACTGATTGTGTCGAGAATCATAGCCTGACGGGTCATCCTTCGACCGAGCCACAGCAAGAGATTTCATAGCCGCGTCGACCTGCCCGAGGCAGGTCTCCAGCTTCATGCGTTGAATGCCGAACTGTTGATCATCTTGCTTCTCTCCAGTCTTATACTTGCTGTTGTGCTCGACCTTGTCACGCCAGATCCCTTGCAGCACGTGTCCGCCGACGTAAGGCTTGATGTTCGTCACTTCCACCTCGAAAACCTCCTGGAACCCGGTCCAGAACTTCCGGCTTTCCTTGACTTGTTGCGCCAGTTGCTTTGCGGCCAGGGACACCTTCATTTCTGCCATCATACCCATGTTAGGGGATGATAACGCTGGATTGGCGGGTGCTGTGGGATGGACCTTGGGCTGGACCTTGGGATTGTTGGCTTGCTCTGGGACGGCGGTGTGTTGCACTTCAGACCTTGCGTGCGGCTTTTCTCGCGGACAAGTAGCGCATGGGTGGATGAAGAACCGGCTCCCTTCCAGCCTGTGCTTGCCCGGGATGGATGTAGTTGGTTGCACGTGAGTCGAGGACATTCTGGGCGAGAATACTCTGACCTCACGAAAGTTCAGTGACCGAGGCTAGAGAATGCGTGCTTTGCTTCTTGGTTGTCGTCAGCTATGTTGTGCAAGGACAGTTGATATCCCACTGAGGTTGGGAAAATCAGAGCCCTTTACAACAGCCCATCGAGGGCTTTTGATGACAAGAGCAGACGCGTCTGTTGCTACCCGATCTGACCGTTGACACAGTTACAAGCGACACTACGATGGCCAAGACACGCAGCCCAGTCCAAGCCTTCGCTCAAACGGCAACACCAAAGCAGTTTGATAGAGTCAAACTCTTGATGCGCGACACGCAGGTGCGCTTGCATTTGTCAATGCGCTTGCATTTGTCAGTTACGCGGGGAAACTTCACAGCTCTCACGTTACTTTCGCGAGGGAAAATCGCACATGTCTATGTGTGGACCGGCAGGCCACAAAGACAAAGCCCTTGTTCATCAATCTCAACTACGCAGGAGAGACCCAGGCCTGCTCTGCACCCCCTCACACCTTGGGAAGCGACAGGATCGAGGTTCATTACACAGCATGGTACTTCTTGAACTATGCACCAAGGTCGAGGTACATGTGGGATGTCGACATCGATGTACCTATCCAAACCTCCTCGAAGTAGAGTCCCCAGCAGTCGTCCACCGACCCGCAAGGCCCAGGCACAAGTCGTTAGTCGCTGTTGACCGGCATCGGAAGGAAGCACCCGCGTAACATTTCACTGGATGGCTCAAGACCTCCCCTGAGTCCCTTGCGTGAACTGCTTGAGATATGGAAAGTTCCACGCCTAAATCAGAACGCCAACAAGAACACACTCAAACCGGGCCCCAGTCTGAGCCCACTACGGTATTCCTAATCGCCGCGCCTCTCGATATGCGGCAGGATAGTTACAACCGCAGCGTGATATGCGGTTAACATATGACGGAAGGGTTCTTCGACATGGTGATGGATGGTGCCGCCCGAGATGGATGTCTGATAGAGTTGGCTGGGTGTGTACGGATGAGTGATCAGCTAGCCTCGCACGGCATGTTCTCGCGTGAAATCGCCTGCACATACCCGTTTCACAGCCCTCAGCACATATGCCTCGTTTCAATGCTTGCACCACACGAGGCTGACAGGTACCATGCATACCACGTTCATGACGTACAAGTCGCCTCAGTGTTGCGTTTGCGTTAGTGTTGGTCCAGGGCTCTGGAATCCTTCACGGTAATGCACATCTCACGTCTCTACATCCGGCCACACGAGCATGTCAAATAGACTACCCCGGACAACACGAACCAACCGCTCACGACGTTCGGTCATATGACCTGGCAGGACGCGGCACAGGGCTCCGTGCCTCTTCCGGGGACCCAACGACTTTCGTTGCATGTGAGATTCCTTGTCTCCCACGCTGTGATGGCACCCGAACGGGAGCAGCTGTATATTCAGTCCGTGGCAGGGTGACGGTATCGGGGGTTATCAGCTCGCAGCGTCTGATACTTTACTCCAAGGACCCTGGGATCCTGGACCTTGTCAGGGTCCATGTGCCAGGCATGGCTCTACACCCCGGCTCGGGCGGCAACTGCGAGCAACAATGGCTTTGTTGGAATGCCGGGTGTGTGATTAGACGTCCCGCTAAGAGCCGCCGATGTTGGGAACCATCCTGATCTGGGACTGCATGTCTGCTTGGCACGTAGACAGTCTATAGCCATCGGTACCGGGAGAGTGGACGTCGATCACCACAATAGGCACCGGCGCCAAGTATTGCTCGACGTTGGCTCTTGATGGTGGCAGACGAGGATCAACCGGTCCGTACTAATAATAAGATGGTGCGTCGTTCAGGCAGGGAGAGAAGGCTACCCGGTGGTCTGACCCCGCCAACCCGAGAAAGCAACAGGCCCAACGGGCATTTATCCCCGCAGCGGATGGACGGAGTCGTCTGAAATAACCCCATGATGTCTACATCTACACCCACCTTGACTTGTCTTGCTCGGCTGCTCGGGATCGTGAAGCCTCTTTGATGGGGCCGATATTCATGTTGGCTGGCGCTGGAATTGGCGGCAGATTGGACGTTATAGAAGTTCCCGGTTTTTCCCCTGGCATGAACATGGCAATGGATCACAAATCACCAGGCCTACCTATCGCACTCCACGCCATGCCGGGGCTATCGTGCCGAAAGGACATTGCGTCGCTTCCGTACCTACAGGACATGATCTACCGGACCTGACATTGTTTCCGCACCTACATTGCAGCACGCAAATGTAGTGCTCTTGATCGATCGTACAGGCGTATATGTTGGCCTGCATACCTGGAAGGCAGGGAATGCACATTCAAAGGTATGGCAACGTACGCCGGTGTGCGTCCATCCACCATCATCATACGTACGTACGTGACCGATCAGATTAGCACCACACAACGCACGAGGAGGACGAAACAGACCCTGTAAAACGCAAGGTCCTTCTAGAGACCGAGATAAACTCCAGCCATGACGCTTGGGACATGAGGACGCATACACAAGCGCGTGGGCGACAGTGCCAGTAGGTCGTCTATACGTGGCATACCTCCCGCTATTCTTCATTATATATTGCATGAAGTCACTCCCAGTATGCCTCCGATTCATAGTAAATAGAGTAATGATAGTAATTTGGTATCAAAAGAAAAGCCGGCGTGTTGCCTAATCATTTGTGTCTGCATCTGTCTGTCTATCTCGCTGTGTTTCTGTGGGTATCTGCGAATGAACAGACCCCTATGCATCAAATAACTCCTTCCCGCTCATACCAAATACCATGCATGATCCAGTGCCGCTTATACCCAAATGAAATGACCACCAATGCCTGTGGCTATGTCTCCGTATCGCCTTGCACATGCCATAAGTCCGCGTGCCTGCGTGCCTGCGTGCCTGCGTGCCTGCGTGCCTGCGTGCCTGCGTGCCTGCGTGCCTGCGTGCCTGCGTGCCTGCGTGCCTGCGTGCCTGCGTGCCTGCGTGCCTGCGTGCCTGCGTGCCTGCGTGCCTGCGTGCCTGCGTGCCTGCGTGCCTGCGTGCCTGCGTGCCTGCGTGCCTGCGTGCCTGCGTGCCTGCGTGCCTGCGTGCCTGCGTGCCTGCGTGCCTGCGTGCCTGCGTGCCTGCGTGCCTGCGTGCCTGCGTGCCTGCGTGCCTGCGTGCCTGCGTGCCTGCGTGCCTGCGTGCCTGCGATTATGTGTGCAAATACCCCTCAAATATAGTAGTGAGGGTGAAATATCAAATCAATTCCTTGTTTCCATTCATGCCGGGCCTCGGTTTCTCCCTCGCTTGTGACGAAACGCCGCTAAGCAGATCGCCGATCTTTCGTGCGTATGATAGAAGAAAGCCTGCCAGTCGGAGGACGGCTCAAATCGATGTCTATGCATCGTCTATGTAGGCGCGGGAAGGGATACTTATGCTCCCTTGCTCGTTTCCCGGCTTTGGCGGGGTTTAGGTGCGTGCATAATAGCAGCGGACTCATCCTGGTCTTTTTCAAGTCCGCATCTACTGTTGACTGCACCCGAGAACCTCGTCCAATTCTTGCCGCCTAAGCGCCATTGCCTGCCACTCCCCTTGTCGTCGATAAAGGTCCGAGCGATCACGATTTCCACAAACCGGGGCATCCAGAAGAAAGAGCCGGCTCGACTCGAGAACAATCGAGTAAGGGATTGGAAACCTGCAGCTTGGGACAAGCTTTCAAGCACCAGAGGCTACAGCGCGAGAGATCTCACTTTTCATGCCAACAAGTCGCTCGCGCATATCCAGCAAGTCGGTCAGCTTGTCCTCGGGCGGCTCCTTGAGCGCGGCGATCTCGTGGTGGAGCGTCTCGTAGCGCTCATAGAATCGCGTGAACTTGCGCGCCTGTATCAGCACATCCTTGGACACCCGGGCCTTTTTGTTGCTGCTGCCCAATCCATTCGGCGTCGACTGTTGCGAATTGCCGCGAGAGTCTGTTGCTCCTCCTGTTATGTCCCGTTCTTTCCGCTTCTTGTTGGCCATGACAGTCGACGACGACGACGACGATGTTGTCGAAGTCGACGTCGACGTGCCGTTCGTCAAACCATTCGTGTTCCCGCGATCTCGCTCACGTCCGCGCTCCCGCTCTCCATTGCGCTGCTGCTGCTGGGGCGGGTGCTGACGTGAGTGGTTCTGCGGAGGGCGATGGCTTGGTCGCGGCTGCTGGTCCTCGAAATCGGAAGCGTTAGTCGGAGGTGAGGATGCAAGAGGCGAAGACTTGGTTGGCGACGTATTCTTGCTCTTCACTGAGAACGAATTCGATGACGCTGTACCGGTGGTGCCCCGGGAGTTCTGGCTTGCGTCCGATGCGCGGTGTGTTGTGGCCTTGGTCTCTGGCAACGGCTTCGTTGACAACTCCTTAGGCTTCGCCCGTTTGCTCAGCGGGGCACCGGAGCTCGAGCTGCTGTCGTCTTCTTCACGCCCGCGCTTTTGCGACGAGTTCATGGGCGTGGGCGCCTTGGCGGGTGGTCGAGGAGCGCGAACTGGAGCACGAACGAGAGGCTTAGGTTTCGGTTTCGGGGCAGCCGAAGGAGCGGGCGGCTCCTTCGGCTTCTCGGTGGCCTTCTCTGCGACCCGCTCAGCCGGTCTGTCGATGGCCTTCTCTGCGATCCGCTCAGCCGGTCTCTCGGTGGTCTTCTCTACGACCTGCTCGGCCGGTCTCTCGACAGGCTTCGGCTTCGGCTTCGGCTTTGGCTTCGGAGCAGCCGCAGTGCTCTGTGGCGGTGTGACCTCCCCTTCACTACTATCCGAGTCGTACACGAATTCCTCTGAGAGAACCCGCTTGCCTTTCTCTTCGACGGCCTTGACCTTTGTAGTAGCCTTATTGGGTAGCTTCTTTGGGAGAGGCTTCTTCGGGTTGTTGGACAGGAGACGCTTAGCTTGAGCCTCTCGTTCGCTGGGCTTCTTCGGCTTGCTATTGGTTGGCTGGGAATTCGACCGTGACATTGGTTCGCCCTTGCTCTTCGATGCGTCGGCCTCACTCTTGTTCCCATCCTCGGGTTTCTGGACCGATATTCTCGGTGCTGGAGTGATGTTGCCCTTGGCCAGCGTTGCTTGCAGCTTGCTCAGCACTTTCCCCTTGCCTCGCTCTTCCCGTGGGAGAAGTCTCTCCCAGACATTATCAGATGTTCCCAGTCTTTGCTTGTCATACTGCTTGACGGCATTATCGATAGCCGCTTGCCGGTCTTCGGGGATGTCGTAGTCGTAGTTCCAGACGTCCAGCTCCTTCCAGTAGATCTTCTTCAAACTCCACTTGTCACTCGAACTGTCGTAACTGGCCACCTTTTCTACCGTCGGCTTGAGATCAGAATCGGCACCCATCCACACATCTTTGAGGTGCTCGTAGGACTGGTCCCTCGCTGCCAACTCGTGGACCAGGATCGTCCTCAGTTCCTTGTTCTTTTCGAGGACTTGCTGGGAGGCGGAGAAAGCCGGGTTCGGAGACGCTGTGCCGTTCAAGGCAGGGCTTGACGGCAAGGACCGGTTCGTGGAGTTGGGAAACACACTCGCCATGGCAGATCGTCCGGTCGGGAGTAGTTTGCCTTTGCCTCCACGCTTTGCGTCTCTGGGGATGCCATTCACGATCTTAGTTCTGTCGTACGTTAGCTCTGTTTCCGATTCGGGATCAGCGAAGTCGTACGCATTGCTGCTCCTATGGGCGTCGGCCTTAGCATAGGAGCTTGCCAACGCATCCACATCCGACTCGGCACCAGACGACGAAGCCCGGCTTGCATGGTTGGCTCCCTTGGCTCCCTTCTCCATCCGCTTCAGTTGTCCCGACGGGAAAGGGGGAGGCTTCTTCCAGATGGACATGGTGGGGTTCGGTAATCGTTGCGTCTTGGGAGCGGGCTCGTCAAGGTTGGTGAGGTACAGATCGTAGTCAAATGACTCTGGGTTCGCAGTGACCTTTTGCTCTCTCGATCCGTAAAGAAACGACTATATATGAATCATGTTTGTTCAGTCACACCATTCTGTGATTGGGAAAGCTCTAGGGGGTATTGTGTATATAGTTCTTCTCTTCCTATTGTGTGGCTGCCGGACAATGGTGGAGCACCGGCTGTGAACTGGTATTGTGCCTGGCATCGCCGTATCGCATTGTCGATTGCCGGAAGTAGCAACGACGGGGGGGAAACAGCAGAACCAAACTTACGGGGTTGCTTCCCAGAGTCAATTCGACCTCTTGCCCCCTTTGCACACATTTGATCATATCCTCGATCGCACCATCGTTCAAAGTGAGGCCGAACGCTTGCATGGGGAGGAAGTCCCTCGAGTTGGCGGAGCTGTCCAGCTGCAAGCCGGCATCGGGAACGGGGAGGACCGACATCTTGGGGTTTCGGATCGCCGTCGACTTAGTTGGGGTTCCGAGTTGGAGGTTAAGCTTCGGTAGGTGTAGGGTTGTTGGTGTTGTAGTAGTAGGCCCGGTGGCAATCGTCGAGGAGAGACACCTGCACTGCACTCTGCACCCAGCCAGACTATCGAGAGCCCAACTTAACAATGGTCAACTTCTCATGCAGCTGCGTCACATGTTGTTGTAGACTTGATGTAGCGTCGAGATGGGCAGATCGTCGAGATGGGCAGATCTGCTAGAGGTGCGGCGGTTGAGAGGGGCCAGCTCGTAAGGAGATTGGGAGGAGCAGGAGGAAGAGAGAATGAAGGCCGGAATGCTGACCAGATCTGAGCAGACAGCCCGAGAGAGTCTGGAGAGTACGAGGTTGTACAGCGTACTGGACGGTCTCTCGGTCTCTCTCGCGGGTGCTTGGGTCGAGAGGAGAAGGAAGGGAAGTTGAAGGCACCGATGGGCGGATGGATGCTCAGGTGGATGGATGGGGAGTGGAGCAGGCGGGTGGGCGCGATACCGATGTACCTCGCAGGTACCACAGGCCGCTCAGTTCGTCAGGTGTCAGACCAGGTCTTTGCCTCAGAGTGACCACCTGCCACCTGCACTGTGCACTGTGAAAGAAACGGGGCAGAAACAGGGCGGTGTCACGGTGTCACGGTGTCACCCACATTTGCAGACACAGTCTAAGTAGGTAAGCTGCTACTGTGTCATTGGCATGGGGCGAGCAGCGACTGGACCAGTGACCGCTGACCACTGACCACTCATCAGCCACTGACCACAGGCCCGGAGAACCTTGGTGACAAGTGGGCGCCCGTAACGACGCCAGCGCAACAGTCGATACCAAGCAGCTACTTATCGGCCTACCTTACTTGTCAGGCTGTCCGGCTCAACTGTGTGCTGCTGTGTACACTTATTACTGACTTACATAGGCCAGGGGCTGCGATCCACGGATGAGCAGATGCATGCATGCATTTTCCCTTCGGACTGAGCGTCCAGCTGCCCGCTTATTTACCGCAGCAGTACAGCAGCCAGCCAGCCAGGAATTCAGCCATTCAGCCATTCAACTGGCGGGCTGGCGGGCTGGCCGGCTGGGCTGGCTATGGCTGAATATGGGCCAGAGTCTCTAAACAACGACGGCGGCCCATTAAAACCCGCGGAGGTACTGCAGAGTTACCTCGCGAAGTACAGCTGTAATAGGCGGGCGGCGGTCGGGTCTGCCAGCCGAGAACGTGGGCAGTGATCTCTCCAGCCAGCCCGGTTCTTCTTTGACGCACTATTGAGTGACACCGCAACAACTAAATGAATGAACAAAGAGCGTCTGCTTTTCCTACAAAGTGCGAATGTGATAGAGCTATGATTATGAATCATCGTTGCAAGCCAGCCAGTACAAGCTTGGACCCATGTTTGTATCAGATGTAATTGTCAACCGGTCAGAGCAAAGGGAACATCCATGGGCAAATCCCAAATAGGTATGTCCCAGAGGATGATGAGACGCAGGGAAACCTAACTTACTGACCGTCTGATTTATTATCATTACATCATTTGCATCTTGGGTTTCAACCGCTTGGCAACTAAAGCACAAAGATACTCGTCCGTCGTCAGTTGTTCGTCAGCCACTAAATAAGCCCCCAAGTAGTGGGCAGCGAGCCAACTCATCATTGTGAGTTATCAACCAGTCGTCCATCCGTCGGAATGGCAGTCCGAACATTCGGTGAGTGAACCCGGGGCCAACTCTGGGCCGCTTTGTTATGATGGCAAGGGGCACTGTACATGTGCACGGCGAATGAATCACTAGGTAACGATGAGCAGGTGCCAGGATAAATACGAGGCAATGCCTGTCCTTTTCTTTGCTCTGCTATTGTTGTCTCTTCTCGTTAGAACTTAGTTGTGGTGTTTCCTTTTCTAGCCTCTCCGGACCTATGAAAGATGTAACCATACCGTATTTAGCAGCCCATTCATCTACATTAGTACATATGTGTGTACCTTATTACCTGATCGGTCTCTCTGTTCCGACTTCCGTAGATAATCAACGACCGACGGTAACACATCAGGTAAGCGACCAATCATGCCAATACGAGCCCGAGGCCGCCTTTCGCCTGGCCCGGCCGAGCTGACATGGACGGACGAGGGCTTCGAGTGGTCTCTTGTACGACTTATTACTGCACATGGCAGCAGAGGCAGCAAGTTCGTACGTATGAGGATGAGGGATTCGCAGACCCCAAAAGAAGGTTGCGGGTTGCTGACACGCAGGGTCCTTTGGATCCTCATTGGGCGTTGGCGCTCATCATCGCTGGCTGCTGGGACCAATCGCCTTGATGAAGCATGAAATACACCTAATTACTGCATGTATGTCCCAGATCTGACTGAAACAATTGTGTCCTGTCCTGCAGCAGCTGCCAGCTGGCTGCCTTTTTCCCCTCGTCTTGACTCTTGGCCGTGCGTACTCGGATGCTGATACTGTGTGTGATAATTAAGTGAGGAGTGAGGATGAGGCATCCGTCAGGCAACCCGCCAGCCCCCTGCCCCCCTTGCTCGAACTCTAGCTTGGATACGAAAAGACATGTTAAGCGAACATCCTACCGGCCTAGCCAAAGCAGGCGAGGAACATTGTTGAACGCAGATGGCTCCTTGTCCCAATTGCGTCTCGAGATGTACGATCGGGAGTGGGTTTGGAGGGTTAATACTTGAAGCAGCGGTCGTCAAGTCAAAATGTCGAAAGCCATAGAAAGGGAGTAAGTCTATTCTGCCATACCAAAAAAGCTATTCTGCCATTCTTTAACCCGATTCGGACAGCCTCTTACATTATAGCGCTTAGCCCACTGTAATTACAACGCGCCTTTTAACATTATAACGCATTACTACTATTATTATTACCATTATTATTACGCTGTATATAAGGATATATTTATAAATAAAAGGCTTATTGTTGGAACAGGCTTGACCAATCAATCATAATACTCGAGTATGGGTCGAAGTCATGATGTTGCTGATAGGTTGGATTGGGAGGTCTAGCTAGACCTGTGCCTTTTGGTAGCTTTCCCAGATGCTGACAACTGAATCGGGTTAAAGCATGGCAGGATAGCTTTTTTAGTATGTGTTGGATTAAAGGTACGCCTAGAAGGCACCTTGACAGGTAGACAACGGAACCTAGTGGTTCCGTCCCGATCCAGCCCCCTCTGGCACAAAACTGTCACGGTCGCACAAGGACACTCTAGACAGACAGAATACACACACACAGACTTCACTCTGACGATTGGCTCAAATCTGACTGTATGGCAGAATAGACTTACTCATGGAGAGGAGGGATAGTTTAATACCAGGCCTAGTCCCAGTCCGGGAATGGTCTTCCAGGAAGCTTTCAGGTACGAGACGGGACCAGGAAACACCATCCCCACCAAATTCCCGGGTGGTGGGGCGGTGGGCTGGCTGCACTTGTGACTGCGGGTAACTTACCTGCTACTTGTTACCTGTTACCTACTGTGTAATGATAAAACGTCGAGACGGCATTGACAGTCAGGTCCTGATGTTCCTGTAGAATCCCGTCACCCCGTCTCATCGTCGTCGCTTAATGAACCGATCCGTGGTGCACCGATCGGTTCTGTATGGCTCTCGTTCATTACGATCTTCGGTGCATTGGCGGCTTTCCAGAAGCTGGAACCCGGAACCCGAATCAGATGCAAGACAAAGACATTGTAGCTGTTTCAGGCACGAGAGGACGGGCGCGTGTAGCCGCCTCTTGCAGTGAATTGTTTGAGCTTGATGAATATGTTCCTGGCTGTGTCCTGTCAGGGTGCTATCTGTGCTACAGGTTCAGAGACCCTCCAATGCGACTTTGATGCTCTCGAGATAGAGCTGACTGAGCCTCCCGGCGATCGCCGGCCCAGGTCCGTCCGTGGCTCAGCACATGGCCTGCTGGCCTGGACTTGGACCGTATGCCAACTGCGCCTCACCACGGTGCTTTCTTGGGTCGGTGTATCTGATGACACTTTCTGGGTGACACTTGACGCCTGACATGGCATCCCGCTGACATGGCGTGGCAGGTTGGCCCGACTTTTCCAGTTGTCGAACAAGAACAAGGTGGTGCTTTGTCATAGAAGGCCTTCTTGATCTCAGCGAGAAGAGATGCAGCTGCGATACCAAGAACGAGCTGGTCACATGAACTGTGAAGTGCATGTGCTGTTCTCGTGCGATGCTCTCTCGACGACCTATGGCTCTGGGCGTACTGTGCAACTGAGCACAGCAGCTACTACAGTAGACTGAGGTCGGCCAGACATGGAGTTCTTGAGTAATGGTCACTGGTGCTCTTTCCGGTGGAACATCCACCACGCGAACCAGTCTTGTCTTGCCAGAGAGGCCGGGAAATCCCACCTACGGTAACAAGAGAGAGGTTATTACCCCACCACACCTACTAATATGATGCATATTGCGGCCCCCGCGGTTGATGAGCCACTTCTTCGAGGCTTGCCAACGAAAATGCCATATCGCGCATATGGGCAATCTCTGGTTTCCGGGTTCATTGGGGGGAACTACTTGCGCGTGTCAGGTGCCTGCTTCTTTCCTGGGAAACGGCACCCCATTGTGTTCGTCCGGACCTTTGCTGCCCGTCCGTCCGCCCGCCCGACGTCTCGCAGACGAGGTACGCCGAGAACGGCAACTCGCGGGTCGCACACACGACGGGCCCGATGGGGATGGATGGCGCGGGAGGATCCAGAGCCCCAGCAAGGTTGGTTGGTACCTCTCGTGTACGTTTCATCCACGCAGTTGCGCAGTCCCCTCAATCTGATTGAATCTGCCCTCGACGAATCCCATGGGGCCGTCGACTCACTCGGTCGGCTGCCGGAATGAAACAAGCAAGGTACGAGACACAGGTGTGTATGCCATGCCAGGCTCACGCAAATTGAGAGGAGGACAGATGAGTCGTTGGTGATTTGGTATTTATTATCAATCATCGCCCTCGCCCTCGCCCTCGCCCACCGCCGCCCCCAACTTTGCCCTCGTCGGTGAGGTTCGAGGATCTTGAGGGCTGTCACCTGCCCCGCCTGTCATACCGACTCGACTCTTGAGACCGATCAGAGCTAGCGCTGCATGGATAGATCGTCTTTTCGGTAGGCCTACTGCAGTAGTAGGGGCAGGCACCACCACAACCTCTCGGCCGACGCTTGTCAGGCCGGATAGGCAAGAATAGCCAGGTCTGGACAGTGTCGACTGTGTCGACTGCCCTCTCTAGATCCTCCCCCGGGACCGACCTTGCCATTTTCCAGACAACACAATGCACATAGATGATAAAGCAACCGTACACGGGGCACGGCGGAAGAGTATCCCCCAGTCTCTCCGATCGGGCATCTATTTACGTTGGGGCAACGGGTGTACCTACCAGTACCGTATTGGGCCGTAGCTGGAGTATGTGATCGGAAGATCGACACTTCGTTACCTCTCACATAACCGAGCATACGTGTAGTTCAGTTACCTGTTAGAGCTGTTCAACCTCGACTATGGCCAACAACGACGACCTGGACCTCCTCTTGCCCCATTTGACAGCACGGAAGACGGGCTACATAGATTAACAGCACGATGCGTGTATACGACTTGGGCTTGTTAATTGGGCCTATTGGGCCGGAATCACTTCCAGGCTGTCTACTCCGGCCCCGCTACCGCTACCGCTACCGACCAACCAACCGCCAACTCGCCATGTGTACAACCGTCCAGCGCAGAGTCACAGGCCCGCTCGCCACAACGAGCCCATCCAGATCAGGAAGTCCCGGATGCGGGATAGTGTTTATTTAGGCGATGGACGAGTGATGGTGGTGGTGGTGAAGGGTGGAGGGTAGGTAGTAGTGCTGACGAACATTGCCACTACGCAGCGGGCAGGTTCAACGTCGCTTACCTCGGAAGGTTGCGAAATGGGACGTGCTAACATCCATCGTGCTGTGCTCATACATATTATATACATGTATGCGCGCACTTTGGTAGAGATACTGTGTAAGTTGGACGCCATCTTACTCAGCGTGCCGCAGCTGAGTTTGTCAGGCAATCCTCCGCGTGAGCTGGATGCGCCAGGACCCTGCCTGCCTGCATACAGCCTGCGTAAGACACACGACAAGCTGCGATCATTGCGTCGTTGAGGGAACTGTAATAATTTGAAGTTTGGATAGGTACACTGTGTTCAGCAGGGAAAACGCACCAGAGCCGTGTATTGCAGGACATACGTTACAAGGCAATCCGTCTCCTCAGCATCGGCAGCAAGCGCTGACGCTGGTGATGTCAGTGAGTCCTTATTATACACACCGAGACACACCTCTTTGCTGGTTGGTAATCCTGCCTGATAGGAACCCCGGCCCAGGACCCTGGGTACACGAGGCAACTCGGTGAGTTTATTAGAGAGGGCTGAGAGGATCAGTTCGGAGGATGAGCCACATGGATCCTCAACAGTGATCAACCTGACAGTCAGACTTTCTATTTCTACAGTCTAGGGACATATGCCTACGCCTACCTTAATAAGAGAGGGAGGTGACGTCGGTGTGTCTTGGCGGCGGCGTCTTAACCTACCTTTTTGTAGCGGGCAACAGCTCGGTAACAAGAAATAGACATACATGTATAAGGTACGCCCAATATAACTCAACAGTCTTCTAACTTCTAGGACTGTCATTCAGAAGTCAAGATAGGTAGGTAGCTGCTAATGTTGAACACATGCGGGGCACAATGAATGGATGTCCCTACCTCCCTATTCCCGCCCGGCTTTTAGTGGGAGATCCGGACCCGGATGGCTGGCAACGGACTGCCGAATTTGAACTTCCGTCTGTCACATGCGGGAAGGTCTACACCTGTTGCCCAACGTACTATCATGCCGCTGATCACCGAATGAGGCCTCAGGTACACTTGTGCAAGAGTTGATCCCCTCGTAGACATGTAGTAAAAACGAGCAGTGGACAATGAATAATATAAGTCGGACTACGACTTCCTCCTGGCTGAGATCGAGATCGATGTGGTGTGAATGAGACACTGGGAGTATTGACTCGCCTCAACGGATAGACTATTGAATAACCGATCTAGGAAAGCGATCTTGTCTCGCTTGGCTTCAATTGCACGCCTAGACTCGTAATTACTAAGAGTCTGTCTAACCGCCCTGGATTCCGCCTCTGTGTCCATCCTACCAAACCGGCCGAAATCTGCTTCCTACTACGAGCACCATCATAGTAGCTTAATGGGTACACATATGTTTAGATACAGGAGCACGACTGAAAGCGGTTGCATAGTGGAAAGTAGAAAACACCGCCACCCCCCGAGGAACAGCCTCCCTTGGGGCGGGCGTTCTTCAGTCCTGAAACCCCCAGATCGCCGTTTAGGGGCTGCACGGCGGGATCCAGACAAGGGATCTCGTGTGTGACAGGCACGCAGGCTGAGCTACCGCACGATTGGGATAGAAACCGGCACTCCCGCAACGCAACGCAGGGAGGATGGTTCTTCAACGAAGAGGGGTGGGCCGTTTCTGCAAGTCATCGGCCCCCAGGTGTGTAGGTTCAAGATTCTCCACCGTCCTAAGAAACAAGGAGGCGGATTGTGTTTGTTTTCACCCCTGGCAAGGTTCACTGCGAACGGCTAGTTAGTCATCAGATGAATTGTCTCAATTGTCGTGATGAACCCGTGGAGGTGGCGGTGTATAGGAAGCGGCCTCGCCATCAAAAGCGCCCGAATTAGCATGTCCATAGACATACATCCCAGTTCGCCCTTCCTGCAAAGATTCCGAGTCCATTCAGAGGTGCATCCCCAGCACCCTGGATGGTATTCACGAAGGCCAATGCTACCATGGGTGGAAAGCCCTCGCAGATATCATCGCTCCTGGGCTAGACGGCACGCACGACCAGCTGATTCTTCAAGCCTATTGAGTCTTGAACAGCAAGATAGCGCAGTGGCCCAGGTAGAAATAGATGAAGTGTTTGGTCTCTGAAGGAAGGTCAGTAGATGCATGATCGAAATCCAAGTGAGTAGGACATACCATGGGTGACGAAGCTGCCGAAATTTCGTCCCACGATACAGTGCCAGGTAGGCCCCTTACGCTCATCGAACTAATGCCCAAGTAAGCATTTCCCCAGCTATCTTCGGCCATTGCCTCATTGACGAAGCGTAGGGCTGGTCGTACCGTCTTCTTGATGTGTTGCGCGATGTCCTTCTCGATGGTAAACTTTCCCATTGCCTCCTGGGCTGTTCAACCCGTGTCAGACTCTGAAGCTCGGAGAGCGGGCAACATCATTACATACCAACGTCGATCGTTTCCTGCTGCATGTCTTCGGTCTAGTGGACAATCAGCACGTGGTCGCCTTGGGTCCGAGCTTGGGGTTCCTAACCATATCGGCCGACTTGATCTGAGCTATTGGGCAAAAGCACCTGTTAGCCAAAACATTCCGTTGTAGTGGTCGGTGGGTGGAAGCTGGCAAACGGACCTTCGAGCTTCTCGTGGCTGGCAGCCGGGGGAGGGGAGTTCTTCTCTGACATGACGATGGCGAGGGCGGTAAAGACGGATGTCGGCTGTGGAGACTGTGATTCGGTGAGCCTGTGAGCCGGAAATATTGTCAATGAAGGTAGCTCTAGTTGGAAGAACTGCAAGGGAAGCATGGGTGACATTGCGGCGGCGAGACGGACCTCAATGCGACAACCGGAGTAGCCTTTGCAATGAACTTGCTATCGTGCAAAGAAAGAGCGGCTGCTGACGTATACGACCACAAGTGTGCGGCTGAGCGGTTCGGAGGAAAGAAAAGGTCTTAGAAGGAGGTTGCTGCAGAATGGCAATATTTGTGCCCAATGTCGCGTGTGTTGACGATTGAAGCTGTGAGGCGTCGTAGCGTGTGCCTGGCAATTGGGGAGCATCAACTGCGGGGCCATGCAACGGCGCTTTGGGGTTCCCCGGCAGCGCCTGGAGCATGTGAGGAAGCTCGGGTCACTCCATATTCCTCAGCCCGTAGTCTGCAAGTGGAGAAAATAGCTCTATTCACGTGCAGATAAGCAAAGGCACCCCACCCTCTCTGATACGAAACTTTTTTTCTGGCCGTTCCATGAAGTCTTCGAGCCTGCCACTTGTGATACCTACCTACATACGAAACGAATCATGCCTCGCGCGTCTACTCTCAACACTGCCACCATTAATCACCCTGATACAACATATCGTTGAAACTTGCAGCGGTAGAATCGGACATGGAGACTTCACGGATCTTTATCAAGGGGCTTCCGCCCACAATTACGAATGATGAGCTGCAAAAGCATTTCTCCCAGAAAGCTCCTGTCACAGAGTACGTGATCCCCCTCGCGGCCGGAAGCAACCAATGGCAGCTGACAACCTTTCGACGATAGTGTCAAGTGCATACCACAGCGAAGAATAGGATATGTCGGCTACAAGAGCGCTGAAGAAGCGGCGAGGGCAGTCAAATACTTTAATCGAACCTTTATCCGCATGTCTCGAATCTCCGTCGAGCCTGCGAAGCCAGTGAGTAAGCTAGAGACAAGCAGCTGATGCCCAGTGCTGAACATGATGTAAAGGTCGCAGATCCATCTCTGTCCAGAGGCAGAGACGAAGAAGTGACTACAACTCCCAGAGCTTCGACCAACGCCCCACCGACATCTGAAGCGAACCCTGAAACTGCAAAGAAGCGGAAGCGAGACGATATTGACGAATCGGACCCGAAATTGCAAGAATTTCTTGATGTCATGAATCCTTCGAAGGGCGCGACAAACAAGATACACGAGTTCCAGGGTGAAGACGTCACTGAACCACCTACGAAGTATGCCGCAGTCGCTGCCGACGATGGCGAGTCCGATGATGACTATCAACCCCTGCCCAAGAAAGTTCCACAACGAGAGACCAGACATCCAGCCAGCCCTCCGCCACCCGTGGCAGCTCGTCATCTTTCACCAACTAGTATGGATGTCGGGCAGGATGGTACCGAAAGACAGATACCACAGGCTGCAGATGGCATTGCCGAGCCGGCGAAGACGGATGACGACTGGTTGCGTCAGCGGACGAACAGACTGCTCGATTTGGTTGACGACGATGATGTGCCCAATGTCACACCGACGAGGCAGTCGCCAGCCAAGTCGCCAGCCCCCGCGGAAATGCAGCTGGATGCCCCTCAGACCAAACCCGACGAGGTCTGCCAGACATCACCTCCGAATGATAACAAGCCGGCGACGAAGGACGATGTTCTCGACACCATACGTAAGAGCTCGAGATTGTTCGTACGGAATCTCCCATACTCTGCAACGGAAGATGATCTGCGAAAGGTTTTCCGAGAGTATGGAAGCCTTGAAGAGGTAAGGATCCAGTGCAGAGACTCGTCCCTCTGTGTTAAACCACCCACAGTGGGACGTTTGCCCTTCCTTCCTCGTTCTATTCGATTGATCCAATGATGAACCCCAGATAGGGACAGCTGATACTTCTGGTATTATGATTGATAACCCTGGGCGAGAATTTTAGTAGATGCCTCGTGTTCTGAGAATCATCCCTACGCAATATGAATATCCCTCATTTGGTCGTACATTCCAGCTAAGATGAGATTTAGGTCCACATCCCGTCAGCTGCGACCAAACCAAATCGCGGCATGGGTTTTGTTTTGTTCACAGACCCCGAAGATGCGGTTAAAGCATACCAGTCGGATCGGACGACATTTCAAGGCAGAATATTGCATGTGCTACCTGGTACAGCGAAACGCGAGCTGGATGAATTTGCTTTGTCCCGTTTGCCACTCAAGAAACAACAGCTCATCAAGAAGAAAAACAAGGCAGCAGTTGACAGGTTCAATTGGAATTCATTGTACATGAGCGCGGATGCTGTCAACTCTTCAGTCGCTTCTAAATTGGGGATATCGAAGAGTGAACTGCTGGATCCTACGAGTGCCGATGCGGCCGTGAAGCAAGCCATCGCAGAAACCTCAACGATACAGGACAGCAAATCCTACTTCGCCGCTAATGGTGTGAACCTCGATGCCTTTGCTTCAAAGTCGGCTCAAAGACGGGACGATGTCATACTAGTGAAGAACTTCTCGTATGGCACCACTACTCAAGAGATTCGAAGCCTCTTCGAAGAGCATGGCCAAGTGCTGAGGGTTCTCATGCCTCCAGCGGGAACCATAGCCATTGTTCAGTTTGCAGAAACTTCTGCGGCAAAGGCTGCATTCATGAAGCTTGCGTACCGTCGATTGAAGGACTCGATCATTTTTCTCGAAAAGGCACCGAGGGATTTGTTCAGTATCCAAGAGCAAGTCCAGCTGAGCAGGAGTGAGGAATCTGCCGGTCTTCAAAAGCCGTCTGTAGCAGAAATGCTGGCAAGAGATGACGGCAATATGATTGAGACGAGCTCTCTGTTTGTCAAGAATCTGGCATGGGAGACGAACACGAAAGAGCTTGCTGCAACGTTCGAACATCTTGAAGGTTTCCGGAGTGCGATCGTGAAGACCAAAAAGGATGCACAAAAGGGCCTTCTTTCCATGGGATTCGGATTTGTCGAGTTCCGGGACAAAGGAAGTGCAGAAGCAGCCGCCAAGGTCATGGATGGCCACGTACTAAGGGCGCACAAACTTCAAGTCAGAGCAGCCCACCGAGGACAGGAAGCAGCCGAGGAACGCAAGAAAGAAGACAGGGCGAACAAGGCGGCAGGGACCCGTCTGTTGATCAAGAATGTCCCCTTCCAGGTGACTTCTAAAAAGGATATCCGGACGCTGCTGGGTACATACGGAACACTCAAAGCCGTCAGGCTGCCGAAGAACTACGCTGGCAAGAGCAAAGGGTATTGCTTTGCGGACTTCGTGTCGCCGAAAGACGCGCAGTCTGCTCTCGATGCGCTCAAGGACACTCATTTGCTGGGCCGCCGCCTTGTGATAGAATATGCTGATACTGATGCAGTTGATGCAGAAGAAGAGATCGCCAAAATGCAGAAGAAGGTCGGCGGGCAAGCTAACAAGGTAGCCCTGCAGAAACTCCTGGGGCAGGGCAGCCGCAAGAAGGTAACGCTTGGGGCCGAGGATGAGGAGGGAGATCAATAACTACGGCACCATGCCTTCTAACGGGCAATTAACTGTGTCGATAATCCGCTTGCGTGCCCATGCGTGCCTCCTCTTGTTACAAGTAAGACTGGATACTGAAGGAGTGCAGGCCTTGCCACGTTGTTGGGAGACAGGGACATCGGTCTATCGGAGCTACCATCATCCCTTGTCAGGAGGAGGCTTACTTACACCCCCAGATTCCAAGGCCACCCCCCATCGCCCAGGGGCCCCCAATCGTCCCGACGATCCCAAGGGCTTGGGTCGTGCACCTGAAAATAGGTGCAGACTGCAGACTAGACTGCGCGAATCCTGTCAGGCAGCCCTGCAGGGGCAGCGAGTGAATGCGATGAATCACTCCTCCGCGGGTGACTTTGGGTACCCCTCCTCCATCGAATGTCTACAAGTCCAAGACGCGGCGATCGGTATTGCGTACATTAGTGCAAGTCACATTCCCCCGCGCCGCTCTCACGCTCCACGCTCACCACCGCTGTGTCGACGCCGGCCCGAGATGCTATGGGACTCACCACAACCGTGAGGCAGCTCGCAAATTGAACATTCCGCAGTAGGTCTGTCGTCGTACCTCAATACTATCTTGATCCCAGCTCCTTGCGTGCCAGTTGCACACTCACGCAAGTCGCTCGTCTGCCCGTCTGCCCGTCTGCTCTCGACTCCCCTCGACTGTGTGGCGCTTGAACTATTCGGGGTCTCTCTTGATGACGCCCTTGGCAGCCATCCTAGTATCTGGTGGGGTTCTAGGGTGGGTGTGTATCATGTGTCTGTTTGTTAGTAGGCAGATGCTATTTCGTCGATGGTACCTGGGGCCAAGGCCAGGGCAGGCAAGTATCTAGGTTCTTATAAGAAATGCGATCTTCTGTTTCCATACCAGCTCCTCTGTCCGGGAAACCATCTCCTTTCATATCTTAACGGGCATTCGTTGCCACTGCCATTCCTTTCTAAATATCTTAATCTGCCTCCCAGCGTTCTTGGGATCCATCCAGGCATTCGTTAGAATTCTCAGTCTTTCCATCAAGCATTATCCTCACTCTCATTGTCAACGATGCAGCTCCCACGGCCTGTCTTGCCATCCCAGAGGTATTCTCCAGCCTGTGACTACGCATACGATACGCATCACGAGTTAGTCCCTTCCACTCGAACGCCTCTTGGTGAGTCAACAGGCAACGTTCAACCCCACAGTCTGGCAACCTCGGCCTTCTGCTATACCAGTCCACTATCATTATCACCACCGATCCACACGATTCCGACACCACCGATACTCCCTACGCAAGCTCTGACCTCCAGTTACGGGACCAGCCTACGGGTTGGACGGTCTCTTCATCGAAATGTATCATTACAGGAGTCACCAATGGGTTATTCAAGGGGCAGCAAGAACCCCATCTATGCCTACAAGCATTTCGCAGATTACCGTAATAAGGTGATGCAAAAGGAGCTGGAGAAGGAAAACCCAACCTGGCCGTTATGGTTGGAAGATGCCTTTCTCGATGGTAGGTGGCAGGACCTGACATTCCCACACATCAAAATGTCCACGTGTACTGACTTGGTTGCGAAGCTCTTCTCTTAATTCCACAAATGGGTCGAAAGAAGTTCAGTTCGAAGACGGTTCTGTACGGCCGGAACATGCTCATCACAGAATACCTTTGGATATATCACTGGCTTCTCCACCCTCCTCAAAACGGCGAACGCATCCCGGATAGAAAGCAGAGGGAGAAGGGCCCTGATGGGAAGACCCACCCCATGTTCAGAACAAGAAAGCAAGTGTCGAGTCACATCCAGGTCTTGAAGGGGTTCTTCTCGACCCTGGTCACATGTAAGCAGGCACAAGTCCCTTCATTGGTTGCTTCTTGAAAACTAACTGTGTGATGGAAGTCCACTTTATCTTTCCGAGTAAGAAGCATAACAAGGATGATGACAAGAAACTGTTGAAAGAGGAGGAAGAGAGCGATTCCTTCAAGAACAACCGAGTCCTCATCTCTCTGGCCGATAGTCGTCTTCCAGATGAGAGGCCGAACTACGAATACTTTGCCCGGCTGCTGAACGCAGACAACGATGTCTTCCTCCGGCCGAAGCAATGCTGGATCTTCGTGTCTTCTACGAATGTCAGCCTCAAGGAGAAGCACATCACCACGGAAGAAGGCGCCACGAAGAAGCAAGTCCTGGGATATACGCCCGATGATCACTGGCTGAGTGAGGCTGACTATCCCCACCTCAAGCTCAACGACGGGAAGGACTACAAGGACCTTCCTCGCACGGGGAACCGTCCAACCGTACTCTTGCACGAATACACAAAACAACTGACGCAGAAGGAGTCGTCCTCTATCAAGGACATCTCCAACAAGTGGGAAGTGCGGTTCCCTGAGCTGAAAGAGAAGCTCGTCAAAGCCCTGAGCGACACCAGATCATCTGACGAGCGGAGCTCACGCTGTGTCGTTGGACCGTGCGATACGTTCCACTTCAAGGTAGTCCTCGACCTGCACGCGACGTCCAAGTTCCCCGACGGCTCCGAGCTCAACGGCCTGGTCGAGCTTTCGATCAGTCAGCCGAACCTGCACAACCACAGCTGGCGGTCCGTCACGTCGGTGGTCAAGCCGGACGAGCTGCACATCTCGGACGAGGAGCCCGACTTCTGGGAGCGCAGCAACCCCGTCGACGTCAGCCCCCAGCACCGCCCGGGCTGCAACAGCGTCGGGCGCTGCGACTGCACCGGCCGGGGCAACCGTGACTTCATCTCCGTGCCCTTCCCCGCCCACAGCTGGGCCAGCACGTTCATCAAGCTTGCGCCGTACGTGACCGCCGAGCGCGAACGCAAGGACCGCGAGCGAGCCGCCCGCGAAGCAGGGTCCCTGCGCGGCGGCCGTGCCGAGCACGAGGCAGCGCGCCTGAAGAAGGAGAAGGACGAGGCCTCTGCCTCCTCGTCATCGTCCTCGCACAAGTCAAAGATGCCGAGCCCCGTAGACCTGCTCGCCCAGGTCGCCATGTACCAAGAGATCTGGTCGGCGCCGATGACCAACGAGGCCAACACCATCAAGACCGACAACAACAATGGCACGACGACGAAGCAGCAGCAGCAGCAGCGGAGCGGCGCCAACTGGACGCGGCGGGCGGTGATCCTGTGGACGTTCGTGCCGGTGCACGACCACACGGACGACAAGGGCAAGACGGTGACGGTGCCGGCGGCGGCCAACTGGCGCTTCCTGACCAAGTTCGACCCGACGTCGCAGTACCACCAGAGGCACGCGTACTTTTCGGGTTCGCCGCCCGTCGTGGCCCGCGACAACGTCATGTCGCCCAATCCGGGGTACGCGCACCACGTCAACGCGGCCATGCACGAGAACTTCGGCGCGGCCGCGTACGGCGACGCCGCGGCCACTTCGGCTGCGCCGGGCCTGAATGGGCTCACGCTGCCGAGCCACGGACAACACCACCATCACCACCATCCGCATCATCTTGGTGGTGGCGGCGGTATGAACAACCTTATGGACAGCAGCTTCCCAACGCCGCCTCCGAGTGGGAATTTGCACGGCTCCTACGCGCACAGCTTCGACAACGGCGGCAACAACAACGTGAGCGTGAATGGTGGCAGCCAGACCATCGGCTCCGCCGACTCGCTGCACCACCACCTGAGCTTCATGTCGGACGGCACCACGAGCGGCACGGGCACGGACACGACGTCCACAACGACCGCCGCTGCCGAGGACCCGTTTCTGGGCGGCCTCGTGGCCGACTACATGCTCGCAGACGTCCAGCGCGGACACTACATGATCGATAGTAACGGCAACGTCAGTTCACACGGCCGCAGCCGTAACCAGCACCAGCAGGTCAGCTGGGTCGACAACAGTACTGGTACTGGTCTGACCAGCACGACGGAGCCGTCGCAGCAATGGGCTGCTGTTGCTGCTGCTGCGCTGGGACAGGGAGTGGGACAGGGACGCCATGGTGGCCAGGATCTACGCGATAATATCAGCGGTTCGTGGGGTGTGGCCGAGGAGGCGCATACGCCGCAGTCTCACCTGTCGTCGCAGCAGCATCATTCTCAACTTCAACACCAGCAACATGACGCCGGCGAGCTCATGGCGCCTGAACACCAGGACGCGTGGACGGCGTGGCAGGCGGCGGAGCTGGCGCGGCTGGATGGGAATGGTGGTGTGGGCGGTGGTGTCGGAGTTGGGTACGATAGCCAGAGCCACCATTCGTGGGACGACGAGGACAGCTTCGGTGCGGATGCCGGGACGGTCGGGGAGTTCGAACTGGGCGGGACGGGGTTGACGCCGTTGCGGAATCATGCGCTGAGCCAGCAGATGCATTCGCAATCTCAGTCTCAGTCTCAACCGCAACTGCTATCTCAGAGCCAGGACCAAAGCCAGAGCCAGAGCCAGAGTTTCTCCCAGCCTCAGTTTCAGGGCCTCTCCCACGTCCGAAGCGAAACCAGCAGCCACACCTCCCCGACCCTCCTCGCGCCAAACCGCAAGCGCTCGCGCGACGAGAGTGCGGATGTAGATGGTGACGATGGAAGCGATGATGGCTCGGTGTATGCGGCGGCGCACTCGAACACAATGCGGAGGAAGCTGTCTCATCCAAACCCGAACCCGAACCCGGGGTTTGGACAGCACCAGCACCAGAGTCACCTTCAACTGCATGATCTAAGTGGTCACGGGCATGGGCATGGGCTACATGCGGCGCCTACGGCTGTGATGGATGATGGGCTCCAAGGGCAGTCGTACTTGGGATAGGGGATCTATGGCGGTGCATCTTTCTGGTTCTGCATTTCTCGGGTTCAATCTTCACACACAAAAGGGAACCTTATGGTCATTCATCACCGTCATCGTCGTTGTCGTTGTCGAGGAAAGTGTGTTTGACCTTGAGTCACTCCTCACTTGGCTTGGCTTTTCTACCTACCCCTTTCAGTATCCATTCGCCAAGACGTTTTCCTGTGTGTTTAGGAAAGGAGCATTTGGCAGGTTTTGCTTCTCATGGGGAAAGGACAGGCAGGCAGGCAGGCAGGCATGGGCCTCATCATATCATTCATCATCCATAATTCACACCCACATTCAGATACACACAAAACAGGCGCGCGCATCAGAGCCTGCATTCCGACCTCTGTCGCTTTAATACCGATTTAATTAATCAAGCAAGCAAGCAAGTAATCATTCATATTGATGTTCAACTCGGAGAAGTGAGACTATCTTGACTACCTACCATTTGCTTACCTATGAGCTTTGACCTTGCGGTGTTTTAAAATGACTCCATCGTGTGATCCGTTAAGACGGGGCCGCGCGAGTCTGTCCGCCAGTCCACTATCCTACCGTGTTTGTAGGTGTCCACGTAAGGTTAGAGACCTGTCTCTACCAGGACTATCGACCCTCCGACGTGAGCCGGACCACGTTTGTCATTGTGTAATGCCAAATAGATGGCCCTCCCGCCACGCATCCGCTGGGCAGGGAAGGTGGTCGAGGAGACAAAAATGTGAATCGAGTTCCACGACATCGATTCCTCGCACTTGTAACGGTGGGAAGCGAAGTTGCACCGACAACGTTCGTGGCATAGCGAGTGATCTTAGGGAGACGATAGCACGGCCAGGGTCGATGTCTGAACCGCATCATATCGCACCGCGTCGCCTTTCTCTCCCTTGGCTTGCGGGTCCGCGTCTCCATCACAATCGCATTGTACTGGTCATTTGGCGACGACGACTTCAGAAGATCAACGAAACATGGGGCCGAGTGATAGAGTTAGAAAACAAACAGGAGATCATTCGAATACCCACCTTGGCACGACATGCTCGACAAGAAGCAATTGAAGATGAAGATAAACCGATATGTTAAAGACCGGGGCCGCCGGCGAAACACCTAGTAGGTCTAGACGATGAGAGCGGTTTTCTGCTTGCCGTTTCACCTCGTGGGCGAATGCGCACCTGGGCAGGCAGTACACGCGTAAAGTGGTAAAATGTCGTGGGGTCTTGACATTCTGTAACACCACGAGTTCCTCGTGCGACTCTCCCCCTTCAAGGCGCATCCGCAATTCGGGCAGCGGCACTGACCGGGCATGGAGTTCTTATCCCACAGACGGATGACTGTCCGGGGGAGGAAGCTTAGCGACGACCATGCAAGGGTGTTGCCGATGGTGAGCAGGGAGGCGGGCGATCACCAGCGATGGTGAAACCTGGAATGTCTGGATGTCAGGAACACGCAAGTACTGCCCGAGAGGGGCGAGGGAGGTCGCGACACGACAGCGCGGCACGCGACCGGCTCTCACATTTTGGGGGTCTCGCATTCCCGAGAAAGTGAATGACATTGAAGATGAAATAGGTATGCTAGGCACTTTATTAGAGTTGCGCACCTGCGTAACCTCGAGTACGTTGGGTAGTTGAAGTCGTCCACCTACGTTGCGCGCCTACACCGAGTAGTGGCATCGTGGTTGAACGTCGCAGACGACGGCACCGGACGAGGTGGCGCAGGTTGAGCCGCGCTGCTGGGCCGGCTTATTACCAGCAGACTCGTCGTTAATGCAATGCACTGCACTCCTTCCTATGGGGGTAGGTACTGTACTGGGGACAGGAAGATGCGTGATGAGTGAAAGTGCTTGCATCTGCTGATGCACAGCAGATCAGACACACCCCTGGAAACGAGCAAGAACACCCCCTTTGGTACGCACAGATCAACATTGAAGCTCGTGTGGCACGGGTTTGCCTCACCTGTACACTTGATGGAAATGTGCTCAATCGCATCAACCCTAGTCGGAAAGAGCCATGTAGACGTTGCCCGGGAAGTCTGATGGGACTCACTTTGCCTGCGTGTATGGCAGAACGTGGCAGCGCCTATCTCAAGACACACGGACCCGTAGGAAACCATCGCGGTTATGGGAGACTGCAAAGAACAGAAATAGTGAGACACGGTCGATAAAACCTGAATTGCTGCCAAGACGGCGGCAAAAAGGGCCAACCACGAGGGTGAAGCTTGGGTAGGAGCGCGGAAGCTGTTGCAGTATGGGCCATTCTCGTCTTCACCCGGTCGCTTCATGAAGAGTAAAATAAGACGGTCGTGAGAAGGGTCCGAGTTTGAAGTGAAGCTAACCGCCACACCTTGATAAGAGATTGCAGCCTCTCGACGGGGTGTCGTCAGCTCGCGCCCGTTACGGACAGGGGTCTGCGACGACATTTGAGTGGTGGAGATGCAAAGATGGGAAAGGCGAGGCGTTTGGAGAAGATGAAATGGCCGGGCCAGATGCGAACGATGCACGATGCCAGATGCAAGGCACGACTTGCCCAAGCGATAGGCCACGACGAAAAGATACCTGGGTACCTGCTGATAGCTGCGGGGTGCACGTCCCCTCTGTCGTTACAGATCGGGAAGGGCACAGACCACGTCTGGATTATCGGACAATGGAAGAGGTCACTTTACTAGCAATTGCGGGCGAGGGGTACATGCTTGGCGACATTAAAGTCCTGACACCCCTGGCACGCCTAGGTAGGCTCGTGCGCTAACACCCTAGCCCGCAGAGCCCCTGATGGGCCCTGCAGGGTCCCTACCGGCGGGGCCAACCGGCTCGCCGGCCAATCAAAGAAGGTTAGCTTTAGGCTCATACAGCCTCCCCCACCACATCGAACCCGAGCCAGTTCGTCCAACCTTTGATCGTCAACCTCACTCATCTGGCCCCATCTGCAAAACACAAAACACCATCCCCTGCGCCGGTCTTGAGCGACTGGTGCGCATCAACCGCCCTGTCAGACGCCCCAGTTATCATGCTAGAAACATGTCCGCCTGTCGTGCAGCTCATGGTCCCTAATATGCCGCCAGACTCCCCTGTTCTCCTCCGTCTGATACTTCTTGCTGAGATGCCTCAGCCTCATGTCTGCCGGTCTTCATAGCTCCATACAGCAGTTGGCCGAGGTCGTAAAACATGGCTACTCAAATAGACCCGCACGCTATCTCACCTTTTGACCTCTTGCCCTCTTGAGTCTTGACGTCCGGCTACCCGGCTATTTGGGCCTACGCACCTTCACACGTACGTGTTCTAGTTCAAGTCTAAACATTCTCATGTTTGAGGTGACGCCGTGAGGACCCGCCATCCTTTACTATCCGAAGTGATTCGACACGAGTAGACCAACACCCTATCATCTCAAGATAGCCCGATAATCCCACCAACCGACCTTGACTCGATCTGACCTTGACCCGATCTGTCAACACGGCGAGTAGCAGTCATAAGAAGTACAGAAGCCGCCACACCCCAAATCGCCAAGTCTCTGATTGATCGTCACCATCCCGGCCACATCTTATCTTGCCCCGTGCTGCAGGTCCTCGAACACCCTTGCGCCGCTCCTCGTGCCCTCAGTCCAGCACCTCCCAACATCTGGGCCCCAAGGTACTTCATTGTCACTTGGCGCTCACCACCCCTTCATCACTCGTCCTCGTACTCCTCACTACCTTATTCTCGCGAACAACGCCGACCAGAGCTATCCTCTTTATCCATTGTCCGACATCTAGGGCTCGGTTGTCTGCCGTCCTTCGCCATGCGAGTCTAAGCCACACAAAGACTTAGTTTCTTCCTATTTCTATTCTCCGAGTCAGCCAGTTTGACTCTTAGGCGCTGAGCGTCTTTGATTCCTTTACACTTTCTTTCAGACACGCATACTCACCCCGTACATCAATCTTCGTACTTCTACTCGAGCGCCAGCCGCAACTCCTCGACTTCTCCCACGCCCACTTTCAACATCCACTACACCAAAGCGAATCCAAGCACCTTCTCGACAACGCGCAATACACACCTTTGCATTCAGCATCTGAAATCCGACACGCACTTTCCTCTGCGTCTCCTGGTGAGGTCCAGAGATTACATCGTCTCATTCTCCACTCCTTCTCCTACCACCGTCAGAAAATGCTCTCCAAGAGTACTACCACCTACGCGATTGCGTTGGTGGCCGCATCGCAAGTCAACGCGCACACCTGGGTCGAGCAACTGTTCCATATCGACTCTACCGGCGCCTTCACGGGAGAGCCGGGATACCCCTTCGGCTTCGTGCCCAGAAACCAGAACGTTGTAGATGACGTCCACCAGAACAAAATCCTCGATACCAGTACAAACCCTGTTGTTTGTAAGCCGAGATCTTCAAGCAACTACGCCAAATACCCTCCCCTGGAAGCCGCCGCTGGAGACTACATTGCCATGACCTATGAGGAAAATGGGCATGTGTCGCAACCCAACCTAACTCCTCGACCGTACCGCGGAGGGAATGTCTTCGTCTATGGCAGTTTGAAACATGAGGACTCGGAAGGCATCAACGATGTCCTTAACGCTTGGACAGTTGACGGCAAAGGCGGTAACGGCAATGGTCGTCTTATCGCCACGCACTACTTCGACGACGGTCAGTGCTACCAGAACAATCCGGACAACGCAATCGTGCAATCCCGAATGAAGGCCGTCAACGGGCCTGCCGAACTGCGGTGCCAATCGGACTTGCAGCTTCCGGAGGACCTGCCCTCCGAGGGGATCTACACCATTTACTGGGTTTGGGACTGGCCATTGATCACTAGCGACACACAGAACACGACTGAGATCTACACGTCATGCGCCGATATCACGCTTGGTGGCGCCAAAGTCAGCAGCACCAAGTCTCAGATGAAGTACGCCAAACCCGACAACGTCGCAGGCGCGGGTATCTCATCTCAGCTGAACATCCTCGTCGAGGCGACTGCTCTGGGCATTGGTACTTCCAGCCCAGCCGCACCGCCGAGCCCCACCGCTCAGCCAGACCAGACCACCGATGCCCCCGATGCCCCTTCCCCTTCCGAATCCACGTCGACCAAGAACCACAAGGGTGGTGTCAAGACGGTCACTGTCACTGCTGACGCCGCCACTGTCACTCAATGGACGACGGTGACCTTGGGCGCCGGGGACGGCACCGCTCAGCCTTCCGGACACACAACTGCTGCTTCGCAGTCGACTCAGCAGACCGATGCTGCTCCGTCCGCTCCCACAAGCTTAGTGCCCGTGAGCCACGTCGAGGGCTTCCTGAAGGCTCGAACGACGGGTCAGGCCCGACGAGAATCTTCGGTGGAATAAAAACCCAAGCATGAGTCAGTCACCCGGATTGTTCACGAATAGACAATCCCATACACGACGTCCTCGGCGCCAACTCTTCTCTGCACATACTTTCGTTGTCAGCACGCGACAGACAACGGGCCATGGACATAACGACCTTATATAGGGGAGCAGGGTCCACGGGCGCGGTTTCATTTCCTTGTGTCGGTCGCATTTACATAGGTAGACTGCTGCATGCCAGGGGGCGGGGGCAGGCGTTTCCGGTTTCTTATATAGGGTTGGAAATGATACCCCCTTTGCACCTGCACCTTTCTTTCGCACACATGACATCGGACAAATGAGGCGTTGATGGCACATGGCATCATGGATCTCTGCTTCGCATACGCACATATCGGTCAATGGAGCGTTTGGTGGAATCTCCATACTTCACTTGTACATACAGCATATCGCCTAGGGCTACTGGTAGTCTCTAGGCAGATTAAGAAAAGTTCCTCTTCTGGAAATCAGATCCTCTTTGTGACATTGTTTGGGTGATACATGACGCTGTCTCGCCAATGCTTGTGGGCTACTATGAGCATATGCATGTGGCCATGGTTGGCGACTACGGGTGCTGCTGCGCTCTTGTGGCTCTAGAGTTGGGACTGCGCCTACTTCAGTCGGACTCGTAATACTTAAGTTAGTCGTCCGTTCAAGGCACAGTTCAAACCCTATTGTTAGAGAACGGCCCTTCCTCGTGGCACGGCTTATATGGACAAGGTAGATGATATTCACGAGCACTGTGATTGCCAAGTACACCTACGAGCACTCATAGGTATGTAGGGCAGAAAGAATGTGGAATGAAGTTATATACACTGCTCCATGGACGTATGTACACTCCCCGAACAAGAGCACCCCGCTCACTCCGCAACCCTAGTAAGTGACGAGAAGAAGAAAAATATAGATTCAAGAATGGACTGCGGCGACTGCTAGTTAGCCATTATTCCCGATGAACTATTCGGCAACCGATGGTGTCACTTACAACATAGGTAGGTCTTGCCTATCAGCCCAAGGGTTCTGCTAGGTAGCCATCTAGCAGCTGAAACCGCAGTCGAGATCCACGGTCTCATGCTCATCGAAGGTGCTGGCGAGGTCCCAGTCGCCGACCTTGCAGCGGGAGTTGGGGTTCTTGGCGTTGCCGCTGGTCCAGCCTTGGTCGCCGTAGGTGAAGGAAGCCTGGTAAATCACACGCGCGGTTTAGCCCATGCCCTTTGGGTTGCGTGTCGGAGAAAAGAACAATGAGGAGGAGGAGGAGAATAGCAAGAAGTACAGGAAGTGAAAGGGAAAAGGGAGAAGGGAGGGGACAACATACGACATTGTCATCCTGTTTGTCCTGCGTGACGATGATGTGCAGGTTCGCGGGCATGCCGCCCTCCTGGATGTCGACCGTCACGGTCCCCTCGTCCGAGTGCACCTTGGCGGGCGCCGCGATCAGGATGCCGTTGCCGTCGAACACCTTGGCCGTGACGTCCTCCATGTCGTTGTCGCCCGAGGAGACGTGCAGGTGCAGGCCGCACCAGCCGCCGTTGAAGCGCTTCTCGACCTTTGCCAGGGGCGTGGCGATGGAGGCGCCGGCGAGGGCGAGGAGGGAGATGGTGGCGGTGGTGAAGTGCATTTTCGATGCGGGTGGTTGTGGTAGTTGGGTGAAGAGTGAATTTGTGGAAGATGGAAAAGAATCCGAGAAGAGGAAGAAGTAGATGAAGTAGATGAAGTTATGAAACTGGTTGCTCTTGTTGTAGCTGTGTTGATGTTGTTCTGTCCAGGAGAAAAGAGATCGAGGGGTGATATCTTGCCCCCTTTATAGACGACTCGGTGCCCGTTCAGATTCTCCCGACTCTGTGAACCTCTCTCAGCCGCATCGATGCCATCATTGCTTCCGCGAATATCAAAATAGCAACAACGTCTTGCATGAAACAATCGCTCTCACCCATGACGAGCTCGACGCCGGAATATTACCATTTCTCCCCACTTACCCGCACTCTCAGCCCTGTGAGCCTCTCATCGTCCAATTTTGTCTTTCGGGAGGATCAAATTAGCAACACGTTTTAATACGAAACACCCACGCCAAGACAGATCCGAGATCGAGCTTTGCTAATCCTCCTAGCTCGGCCCGTTACGCAATGAGTCTGTTATGCTTGTGGAGTAACTACTGACACCTCAGATACCCCGGCCGGCGACCAAAAGCCATGGCCTCATGGAGACCCTTACTTTTAGTCAAAGGAGTTACTTGTCAGGGTCCCGAGGCTGTGTTACCTCGTATGATCGGCAAGGCTCGTGACACACTCGCCGGTATACTACTCCTCTAGCCTAAGAACGGCTGAAGACCCCTTAGGTTAGGTCGCCGACCAATAAAAGGTGCTCAATTGCACCGGTCGCTCCACGGGTAGCTAAGTTAAGAACCACCTATCAGAACTCATTGCATAAACCAGCGACAGGTATAAAGCGGTGGTACTTGAGCTTGCGAAGGATTTACACTACATTCTATGTACCTAAGCTTAATTCCTTCCCGCTCATGCGCCGTTTCCTTGGTCGGCGACCTACAGTAGGGGTACCTATTCAGAAGAGACCCGGCGCCGTTATTAGGCTAGGGGGGTGACAGTCACTAGTGGTAGAGGCTAGTTATTTCTAGAACTTCGGTGACCAGGGCTGCTTCTCGGACCTCGGAGCCGAAGATATGGCTGGGGATGCCGGTGCCCGTGGACTAGAAGACAGCGGTTTCGGGCTTCTCGAAGCCCGTCCGGACCAGTACTGAGCAGTGGCTTAGATGGACACCGGGTCAGATGATGGATCACGCCCGTGCCGATGTGTATACCCTACTTGGGTCTGGATCTTTCTTTCACATCTCCCGGTCGATCCAGCAAGATGATCGATCTATATGATAGCACTATCTTTTCGCAAAAAACCAGGGTCGTGGCGCCCAGCTGAAGCCACGAACCTTCCAGCCGCTACACATGAAACAGGCATGCTTTGTCTTCCACGTTTGAGATACGACGAGACATCTTACTAGAAATGACATGTCAGAAGCTGCGATAGCGGTAAGTTTTTGTCGGATGTCGGATTGGGAGATATAAATAAAACCATGCCGACCACACAAATATACTGTAGATAACCACAATTTCACACACCAACACTTCCATCTAGGCCCAGGACACCTTCACCACCACAACCCTTCTTCATAAACGAAACTCAGCACTCAAACCAGCAAGATGAACAGACACCCGCTACTCCAGTGCTCTGATCCGAAATGCGGATTCCCCAATCGGTGTGCAAGATGTCATCGAAATATAAGGGAAGCGGTGCGCCAAATGAATCATCGGAGCGGGTACTTTGGGCCGGCCCCGCAGTCAGACTGGTTCACGGATGGCGATGGTCTCATCGGGACATACTGTCTCATCCCAGCAACCTGCCTGATGTTCTTTCCCACTTGGTACTATTCTTCTTATTTTTAAGTTAGAGAGACAAACAGTAGACCAATGGGCAGGGCTGGTACACACCGACAGGAATAACTTACGGCCATAGTCTAATCGGGTCCTAGAATAGTCGTAGGAGCTGTGAGGATTCGCCTCACGAGTCACGTTGCGTTCAAGGAGTACACTTCGGAAGATAAGGCAGGAGTTATGGGATGGTCTCAGGATGATATTGATACATCCTGACTTGCTCTTACACGGTGGATAACCTAGCAATTGTCTTCTCATTATCTCAGTTATGCAAAATTGTGTCAGGACGTAACCGTTTTACTACTGTCAAGTTTCATGTGAAAAAGTGAGTAGCTTAATTTCAAACAACTAAGCGACTTTCTTGTATATAACCCCTCGGGGGCTTCTCGTTGTTGCAACGCCTTGTAGATAACCGGTACACGCGCCCTGGGCTTGGAGGGACCGGATGAGGTGTTCGCGCAAGGGGAGTACTCATCTGTTCTCTGGTGGATGACGCGCTCTGGAGCCGTCTATCCCTCGTCGGCGCTGGAGATGACGTCTTCTGGCGACGCCTTCTTCTCTGCGCTCCCTGCTGGCGACGCCCTCAAGCTCGCCGTGCTACGTGACGGCGATAGTGATGATGATGATCGTCACACGCGACCGTGGTCTTCGAGGCTCTGACTAGGTCAATCAGCCGTCGCAGATAAGCTACCATGTCGGTAATCCTCATTCGTGCGGAACAGGGGTAGATTGCCTTCTTGCTTGCTTGTTCTTTCCATGGGTCTGGAGCTGGAAAACGGTACCAAATACACACTCATCCCACAATGCAGGGCTCATCCTTAGAGCATCCCGACAATGCTTCATTGTCCACCCACTTCCATCTGCATCCTTTAACCCGACGTGACCATCAAAGCCACCACTCCTCACAGTTTATACATCAACGCTATGTTATTATTTCCTTAGTAGAGGCTTAATAGTTAGTTTATTGCCAGCTAACTAGTAGGTAGGAGGCTATATTAAGGTGTAAGTAAGGATATTAGGTGAGGTGTAAAGAACAGAACTCTTTAACGAAAGGAACAACCCTACATCGTTGCAAAGCTTTCACACCACACCATTATTAGCTGGCGAGGTATTGCCAGTCTCGTTTATAGCATACGACATTAGCACATCTAGATGACAGGCCGAAGTGGCTGCCTTAGGCCATGAGCTAAGGTGTTTATGTGCAGGCAGCCATAGCAAACACTTCCCCTCCGAGCAACGAATTTTATAGCAAAATTACACCAACGCAATCATTCACTCCGGATTCTACTCTAGAACTCGTCCACAGCCAAATAATTTCCATTCACACCAGTCACTCTTCCCACAAGCATATCTCTTGGTTACGTTGACCATTTCGGCGGAAATACCAAATATGAGGTTGGTGTCGTACCCGTTCACACAATTCTCTGCTCATAAGCCTTGCCGACCAACGTAACGCCCGCTCATCGCTACCCGAAATGTCTGCATCGGTACCATCCTTCCTCCCTGTACTCTTCGGTCACGGATGCTTTCTCTTTGACGAGTCCAACGATGTCCAGCGAGATTGCAAAGGGCAACCTGTCTTCTTGGTGCCTACAAACGACGCGTCTCTTTACATTTGACCGAGCCTCGGAGCCCGCCAATATTGGCCTCGCAACATCACGTCCTATTCTCACGGCACTCAGCCGAAGGCATCAGTGGTTCTCTTTATTCCCATGTGAACACCCTCTATTTCAACAACCATGTTGTCACTAAGGTGGCTTGCATGTTATACGACACCGCATCGATCTACGATAAAGCCCAGAAGAGTGCAGACCGACGCACTACACTTGCTAGATGCATTTCTCCAGGCCCCCGCGCGGAAAATATCTACAATTAGAAAAGATGCATCCAGCAAGGTCTGCATCCACTAGGGGGAAAGAACGGCTTAGGGATAAAAGTAATAATAGCTCGAAGAAAAATATAGAATACTGCAAAAAGCTCAGTCTAGAATCTGACCCTATTGAACGTGCTTTGTCCTGAGCGAAACCCTATCCACTTGCTTGCCAGCACGTCCTGGAATCGAACCCTAGACTTACGAAAAACCCCGAAAGGATTTTACCTCATACCAATGTACAAGAGGACTTAAGTATTGTCGTTGGCACAGGGCGTCGGAAAGATTGGGCTTGTATTGCGGTACATATAGCTGGTTACTAGGGGTTTTTGTTGGTTGCTGGGTCATCGTCTCCGACACCACTCAGCACCACCTTGGAACCTACTCTTTGGTCAAACATACCGCACAGTCTTTTCCATTTTACTTTCGGAAACCCGGATTTCTTGACCGTCAGAAAGTGCAATCACATCACTGCTTGAGTCCGCCTTCGACCTCGCTTCTACGCAGGGTCTGAGCCCATACGAAATCCGTACAGGTTCTTGTCGACCCGTGATCCTCCCGGGCTGGGGAGACTCAAACCACCATGCCGCTATAAAGGCTACCTCGTGGTATGCCCAGCATGGCTTCTTGCAACACTGGGACAACCGTCAGCACCCTCTCATCAAACAACGATTCCCCGATGGAACAACCTCATTCATCGCATCGCTGGATGCGTTTGGTATCCGCCACCGAATCAACGGCCATTCCATCGCCGATAATGCGGGCAATCGTTCCGCCTTTGCTTTGCGTCTTCTGCTGGGCCTGTACTTCCTTACCGAAGACCAACGCGAGCTCGACACCAAAGATGTGGACTTGGACGAGACCAGCGGTTTCCCCGGTCCGGAGAAAACCCTAGCCAGAGACAACCGCCCGCCTGGCTCTGTACCCCTCCCATCTACCTTCGTGCCGTACCGCCATTAATTGGAATCTGCTAAGACCTGTTTTATCTACTTGGCTACTGCAAAAGTGGTCCTCAGGGGTCCTTAGCCCTAATAAAAAGGAACTTCTTACTTCTAAATATCAGTCATACTATCCTTGCCACATCGGATTGACGCTGTTATGTAATTCCGACTGACAAGACAAGATGTTTATCCGAGTAGGACATTCCTTTCGGAGCGCAACTAGACAAACTCAGACTTTCGGTCAGTGCAGATCGAAAACCGGTACATGCCCGTGGAGATTCAAGAGCATCGCGCTCTCAACGGATAGATAAATGCTGGATTTCACGGAGATGACTTGCAGTTACGGGTGTGGATCGAGGCTGCCCGTGTATGATTGATTGATTTTGTTTATCGTGGGTGCAGTCCCTCAACAGGGCAAACCACGCTTCCCAAAGCCATTGCATCGCAAGGTTGTAGAGGTGTCAGTCTAGATACATTCAGATCCGCGCACGAGCCCATCCTCGCTGTAGCGGTACCAACCTGGAGTGACCAGATGGTTTTAGTCAATACCCAAGCACGATTCCGTCAGAAAAACCTCCTGTCCAGCGACAAAGCGACCCAGTGGACCTCAGTCCTCTGGTGTATATATCGTTCCAGTAGCCGTTCGATATATGTCGTATTAGTGGATGAAGCAGGTGTTTGTTATCTGCTGGCAAAGGAAACCACAAGGGGAAAAACCTCACAGGAGTGGGTGTTATGGAGACAAGCTGCTTGACTATCGGGCTCTGCGATAATAGGGCCTCTCCACTATCGTGTACTGGTAGTCGACTCGCACAAACCGGGTCAGAAAGGGGGCCGTAGCAGGATTCGAACCCACTTGTTCTCGTCGCCCACCGCACAAACGAGAACACAACCAGGCGCATTTGACCATTGCGCCATACGGCCGGCTGCCCGTGTATGGGGAAACTCTCGCACAGACGAAGGGCTCTTCGGTAACACCCACTGACGCTATAGCTGAACCACCGCTTGTCCCATAGCAAGAGTTCGACTGCATGTACAAATCTTCCGATCACTGGTTACTACCTTTTGGCCAGCGGTGATATGGTATTGTATAAGAAGTAATCGCCATCTTCCTATCGTCCGTTGGGGACCGACCGTAGTCCATAGCACAGCAGTTCCATAGTTCAGCAAAACACAGAGTATCCGTCAAAGTTAAGTGTGGCTTGATGACGATGCAAGCTCTCATCGGAATCTTCCCGCATCAGAGTGCCAGACCAAGCACAGAATACAGTGTTGCCTCTAGGGTACCCAAGTGTTGTATTTACTCCTACTACACTACGTCGCCGCGTTTTCGCGGCATGGCTTAGTTCAAAACATGGTATTCCTGCTAGACTCCGTTTCCGAACTCTGGCAAACAGGGAGTATATGGTTTATATGATGATTATTGGCGTATTTACCGCTGATTGTGTTGTTCTGAAGGTCTGTTGTCGTGCCCAGTTGGCCCAAACCCCCCAATGGCCCCTGTTGCAGTGCATTGCCACCTCCCTAGCGCCACGGTGGCTTGTGTGCCATCCAACAAGCTCTGTGTTTGACTGCCATGCATTGGTTGCGAATCCCTCCAAAAGTGGCATTATGTGTCGAGGGGGCAGAGCTCGCGGTTCAAGAACTTTCTCATGTCCTCCGTCATGAACTTCTGGACATAATGAGTGCTGGATGGGAGGTGCGTGGGTGTCATCATTCTGTCACGGCACTAGAAGACAGCCCCACAGCTCCAGGGGTCAACGAGGGAACTCTGGGCATCAGTATCGAGCTTGCCGACATGGCTGACGACTCATATGATTGAAACTAATGACCGAACACATCAACATTCCTAACCTGGCCTGCTTCTTCCACAAATCAAGAAGACCAAGATACCCTAGACAAGATAATTCCGCACAGGCCCAGGATATCTGTGGCAACATTCCAAGTACACTAGCCATTGTGCTCGTGACTGACTCTGACATCGTTATCTATGCGAATTGAATAGAGTGGAACGTCCTCAACGATGCCTTCCCCTAGCCCTGTAGGCTGTACATGTACGATGTAATTCTCGTCAGCCGCTGATAGGTTCAATCGCTCACCTTGATACTCCTCGTTGGATTGATGCTCCCTGTGTGCTTAGGTACGTATTACCGGTGTCGGATACCTTTGTTCGACGTTGCTCTGTCCCATACGGCTCTCTTAAGTTTGAGAAGTTTCCGCTTTTACTTCTGAGCGTGCTGCGACCTTGGTATTGAGATATACTGCTGCTGGTTACGAAGGAAGCCACTTTGCTTGCAAGTGGCTCGACGTATCGATGGCCCAACTGTCGGCCCAAGGGTAACATGGCGGGGAGGCAGACGCAGAGTATCGTTACAGGAGTTTCGGCTGATAACCAGTAGAATAGTGATATGGCGGCATCTATCCGGATGTTAGAGCGAGCACTACTCCATTCTGGTAGATGCATGAACGATTACTTACATGATGTGTCGTCGTTCAAGGCTTGTCCAGTAACGACAACGGTCACGAGACGGCCAAGAGACACTACAATGCCGCTATAACCGTTAGTCTGCGAAGTATGTTACCATTCAGTCACCAACTTACGAATAACCCAGGATGAAAATGACGCCCAGTCCACTCTCCTTCCAATGCTGGTATGCAAGCCCCAGATTTTAGGGAGCGGCAATAGCATGATGATGAGATCAATCACCACACTCGGTATTGCACTTCCGAGAAAGAGAGAGGCCGTCGTGCCACAAGTCCCGGGAAGGAACGGGTTCCAACCCTTCTGAACCGGGTCGCAAAGAAATATTGTTCCGAAGTACACACCGATAAGCCAGGCCGCCTTGAGGCCATGTGTCACCCACAGGGCGATATTAAACCATCTCGAATTCAGACGCGCGGGGAAGACACGGCTGAGGAAGAGCAGTCCAGAGAACTTGGAGGTGGCCAGTGCTGAATCGTATATGTAGTCGCCCAGGTATTCTAGCTTGAAGAATAGCGATATTTCCTCGGCCGATAAGGTGTCAATGTGGCGTCCGAAGCCCGCATGGTCGATTAAGGCGATTGTGATAGCCAACTGAGCTATGACAATAACCTGGAAATGTCAGCTACGAGTCTTGAGAGGCATCTACGCTCGGATCCAATCTAGAAGAAACAGAACGGAATGAACATACGGAAGCTATCAGCGCGACCCAGTCATCCCACCAGAAATGAAAGACGTGTTGTCGTGCTTCTCGGGGAGTAAGGCTCCTGGACCAGAACCGCAGAACAGTAGCATTCGTCGTGACGACGATCATGACGACAAGAAACGCCCGAAGCCCGGGGCCAATGTCGTCACGGTCGTCAGCCATTCTCTCCGTCAACAGGGAACTGCGAGCTAGGCGAGAATACATGGGGGGAAAGAGTATGAGGAGGGTCTCGGGCAATTGATGGTATTTCTGTTGGATCGTTCGATTAGAGTCTCGTCTCCGAGTGAATGACTTCAGTCACCATGGATCTTGGATACAGCGCGGTATTAGGAACGGATGATAAAGTAGGGAACTGGAGTTTAGTTTGGTTCTTCTTAAGAGTGTTGGACTCCATAGGCTCTTTCCAGTTACAGGCGCCCGAGAATGGTGTTCAGGGATACGGCTGTACATGCCTATCGCCACTACAACCAACACCAGAGGATCCGACTTCTTTCATTGGCCAGGAGGGCGTTGTGTAGTCGCTTACCTAGCCTCGGGGTATGCTTATGCATGCACTCCATTCTATAAGACCGGGAAATGTCACCCTGGGATACCATTCTCATGTCAATGAGAATGCCAAGGCATAGGGACGAAGCCCTGCAGACTTGTCACACAAATATCGAGCTCCGCCACGAACATCACGGCCGCGGCCAGCTCCCAGTCTAATTATCATGCTCACCACAACTAAACAAAAACAACTATTTTTCTTGGTGCCCCGCTGTTAGGGCGCAACCTCGATATCTGCACTAAAGCAGGCACTTCTCTCAGTAACTGACTATCTTTGCCAAGACACAAGAGAAAATTTCTCATAAGCCGGATGGCACCCTTTCACAACGGGCCCCCAAACACGCCCATGGCCGTCCCAAAGACGACCACCAGCGGCGTGTTCAAATCCCCGGTCCCCAGAAAGACATACGGCCCGGCAACTCCGAGCAGGCTCCGCCAGGCGCTGCTTGACGACATCAGCAGCAACCCGTCACAGGTCTCTGAGGCTGACTTCACTGTTATTTCCCCTCTGAAAGGAAAATCCTGAAATATCAATGACAGCAGCACCACTAGGATAAAATGACCTTAATTAAACAAAATCTCTACAGACCAAGCCATTACACGCGATATAGGGAATAAAGCCTCTTCCTCAGAGTGCCAGAACCAAGTTGCCAAAATACTGACTAAAGACAAGTACCTCTATGTAACCAGGGTGACAATGTTTTAAGAGTGTGCTGCAGTAGTTGATAAGACACTTGAGAAAGCTGGAACCAAATTATACTCTCATGCCAAGAAGTTTAGCGCTTTCTTTTCTAAATGCCTGAACAAGTGGCTGGAAATCTGAGATCCGCCCAAAAAAAAGACCATTCCTGGGGGAATAGGGATGGTGAAGTCCACCATGACCTTTACCCAAGTTGTCCCCTCTAGCCAACGACAGCATCGACGGGTGGTCAACACTACTATGAAAAAAACACAACCTGGGGCCCTCATCGCTGCTAACCAATTAAAGAAAAAGCAGGATAATCTCCAGGTCTTTGTCCGTATGGATAATAGCCACCTAGAGCCCTACGGAATAAAGTCTATACTAAACAGAAGACTTAAGCTCTACCCTTAAGAGCTTAGAGAAGTGACCTAGTGCCCCTCCGGATTTACTTTATACCCAAGGGACAAGCCAACTCAGGCTAAGCTCCTGGCCTTCCAAGAAGAAATCACTGATATTCTCAAGACAGAAAAGATCAAGACCCACACGGTCTGGCATTACTATAAGGTCAATGGATGCCCAAAAAAGGTCATCAGTGCGGAAGGATTGACAATCGACATTACCGACATTGCTGTTACTAATGAAGTTAAAGCCCAAATAAGTGACAGACCTTTAAGGTACATACTCTCAAGGAACACAGTTGATTCTGATCTGGAGACCACATAGGTGATCTCTCTGCCCCGTGTAGCAAAGAAACTATTCACGCTTTTTGCTCACTTAATGACCTCAAGGCACATTCAATACTCCCCCAAGGTTCACCAGTGTGCGAGCTGCTTCAGATACCATGGTAGGAACTACCGATGTAAAAAGCAATTATGTGCACATTGTGCCAGTACAGTACACCAGGGGGGAGTGCAAAAAACCAATCCCAAAATGTGTCAACTGTAAAGGACCTCATGCTGCCAATTTCGACAAATGCCCTGCACGCCCCAAGGTTGTGAAAGGCATCATCCATAAGCACACATGGGAGCAAATCCAGGAAATAAGGCTGGCTGGAGAAAGAGCCAGATCCAAGGCCTTTAATGAAACAGGCAGAAACCAAGCTGGGTGAACACCCAGCAACAATAACGAAGACATCACAATACAAATCGACACAACAGATACAACTCATCCCAGAGATGCCGATACCATTGTTGTCAGTCAATATTAGGTACATCAAACGAAACACATTGACACAGGCATCTAGTCATCCATTCTATGAATACAACAGGAGGACAAAAGAGTGCAAGCCCTACAGAGTTAGCCATCAACCTGGCTGACTACAAAGGAGAACAAGCAGACATTATTCTGATACAAGAGCCCTGGGTTGGCATACCACCAGGCAGGAGAATGGGAATAAAGACACACCCCAATTACGATATATACTCCCCAGTGGATTCCTGGGACAGCAACAGTACACGGCCCAGATCTCTCATCTATGTGAGAAAACACCTTTAAGCGGATCAACTTTGGCCCTATGCTACACGAGACATCACCTGGGTCAAGGTACAAGGCATTACATTTGCCAGTGTCTACCGGCCATGTGACAACCCGCAGGAAATGGATGATATTCTGGAAGTATGGACTCCACCTTTTGGCTGTGTTATAGCTGGAGATTTCAATGCTGGCGACATATCCTGGGACTCGAGCAATCCAGGATATCATGGTGGTGTCATACTTACACAGACTATGGCAGACCACGGACTGGATCTGATTTCTGAACCAGATGTCCCAACACATGATGACGGAAATGTACTAGATCTGGTGTTCTCAGATGTCCCCATGGCCAAAGCCTCAGTGAATGATGCACTCCAGTGCACTTCAGATCATAAGACATTACGAATAGTCATTCCAATTCAGGGAGATCTAGACCGAGTCCCTAAGGCCAATCATTGGATAGTACCGGATGATAAACTACAAGAGCTGGCAGATAATGTCCAAACCAGGATTCATGAACTCCCCCGGCTGGGTGTATCCCCTGACCAGGTAGATGCCTTTACACAAAGCTTGATCAACATGATCCAAGGCTGTATCAGGACAGTGGGCAAGAAGCCCCGTCAATTTAGGCCCACTGCTTGGTGGAATGATGACTGCAAAGCAGCTGTTCAGACATACAAGGCCCTTTCTAAACAGATTACAAGCCAAAAAGGTCGGAATTCAGCCCGACAGGAATTTCGCCGCGTGGTTCAGAAAGCTAGGAGAGAGTACTGGCAGACTCTAATTGATTCAGTAACTGAGCCAAAGGACCTATACAGAATCGTCTCTTGGCACAAGCTATCAGCAGGATTGCGTTCCCCTCCAATCATCATAGGAGACCAAATATTCGAGTCACAAGAAAGCAAGGCAAATGCATTACGCTCAGCCACGCTTGAACAAAATACCTCAGACAACGATATCATCGACCCCTGGTCCGCTCAGATCACACAACCCAAGCCATACATCTCCCTTGAATACCATGTCGGACTGGAAGAGGCTGAAGGGTGTACTTTAGGGACCAAGAACAACTCCCTGGGAGTAGACACCCTCACAGTACGGATTCTGAAAGCTTGCTGGCCATTCATTGGGGAATATATCAGAGCCCTTTTCCAGACCTGTCTACAGATTGGACACCACCCTAAACCATTCAAAGTAACTGAGGTAGTGATGATCCCAAAACCAGGAAAGAAAGACTACTCCAATCCCAGGGCCTACAGACCAATATTGCTATTGTCGTGTCTTGGCAAAGGCTTAGAACCACTTATCGCAAAAAGAATTACCTGGTTTGTTGTTAAACTTGGAATTCTAGCTCCACAACATTTTGGAGCTCTACCAAAGCGCTCTGCCACTGACCTGGTAGCTGCACTTATACACGATATTGAGCAGGCCCTCGATCAAGGCCTCGTTGCAACAGTAGTCACGTCAGATGTGAAAGGGGCCTTTAATGCTGCCCTAATGGGACAGCTGGTGGTTTGCATAAGAGAACAGGGCTGGCCGGGCTTTCTTATAAGATGGGTCCAGTCATTCATGTCCGAGCGGTCCGCAAGGGTTCAGTTTGAAGGTATTGTGACCGATATTAAAGCTCTCATTTGTGGGCTACCATAAGGCTCACCAGCCTCTCTAATCCTTTATATGCTGTATACAGAGCCAATCTGTGCCCAACTTAATATGAAAAAAAGACGCTTTGGATATATAGACAACCTAGCGACTCTCTGCATTAGAAAGAATCTTAAAGAAACAGCTATAAAGGCTTCTGAAAATCTTTACTTGTTCAGTTAATGGAGATATAACAACGCTATTGAATTTAACCCTGATAAAACTGAGATCATGCACTTCTCAAAGAAAAAGAACTCAGACAACCCTCCAGTCCGCCACAAAATAATGAATAAAATAGCAAAGGACTCCATGCAATGACTGGGTGTCTTCCTGGATAGAAAACTAAACTTCAAAGATCACGTTTCCTACTGGGCCAAGAAAGCTAATAAGGTAGCAAATCACCTTTAAGGACTATGCAGCACAGTCAAAGGACTTCCAGTAAAGTCAATCAAAAGGGCTATGAAAACTTGTGTTATTCTTATTCTTACACACAGCCTGGAGGCCTGGTACCCGGGAATCAAAAAATTTAGGAGCTTAGGTGAGACATCAGCATATTACATTAAGGGGCTTCTTAGAACAATAAATGCCGTACTATGAACAGCGATCAGGGCTATCCTGCCGGTCTGGAAAACACACCCTGGACATATCCTACACTTTGAATCACAGATTCCTCCAGCAGGAGTTCTTGCAGAGGTAATAAGACGGCGTCACGGCCTACGACTCGGACGTTTAGACCAAAGACACTGTAACGGCCTGCACAGACCTTCCTACATGACAAGCCGATACTTCCCAATAAGGGAAGGATCTGACCAGAGGATTCCCTTAAAGGGGCAACCTCTTACTGTACCTATCTCTCTCTCTCTCTCTCTTCCTTTTCTCTCTAGTCTTGATATTCTCGTCAATAGAGTAATAGCTGCTTGCTGCAGGCCATGTCCCAGCTCCCCAGTATGCTCGCCGTGACAGACACCCTCTTGTTGGCAGGCTCCAAGTACAAGCTCGTAAGGAACCAGCAAGGCTACAAAGGAACTTCCAGCTAGTCCCTGACTTCCAGAGACCTATACTCACCAAGCTATCATGGAAAAAGCCCCCAATCCAAAAAGATAAAGATAAAGAGATAAAGCTCTTCAAGGAATGGTTACAAAAGAAAAACGTGAACACTAACCTTGTCATTTACTCGGATGGATCACAGTTGAACGACCAAGGCACAACCCGCACTGGATGGGGTTATACCATCAGGAAAGGCGGCACCATACAAGAAGTATACCGGGGAAAAGACAGACTTCTTTAAGCAGAAGTAGTAGATACTAAAGTCCATAATGCTCTCTAAGGTCTCGCAGCAGCCAGGACAATTAGACACAGAAAATGGCTATATGTCTGCCTGGCCAACACGTCAGTGGTAGATGGGCTCAATGGGACTCCACCCGAGACATCACAGAACATTTTTTTATGATTCCAAGAACTTGTCACGGCACACACTCCTGGAGTGACCGTCAAGTGGATTCCTGGACACAGGAATATTAATGGTAACAAAGCTGCTGATATACTAGCAAAAGAAGATGCCATGCTAGAAACAGACACAATAAACCTTCCTATAATCTCTTGGGTCAAGAGAGATCTCAAAAAAAAGGGCAAGAAAGAGTTTAACCAATAATAGAAAGACCAATCAGAACCTAAGTATCAAGAAATATATTCATATGCAGTAACTAAAAGAGACCTTATATATTTTTAAGAAGAGTACTTTATACAGACTTCTAGTGGCCAGATCTGGACATGGCGACTTTGCCAGATATCACGAACGTTTTGGGCATACAGACTCGAATGATCACTGTAACTGTGATAAAAAGAAAACACCATAACATATTTTCTTTTATAAGAGGCTTAGGAAAAACTGACTGCTGCCCAGGTACTCGCCTAGGGCAGCCTGTTTACAATACTTGGGGGAGAGGAGCACGGAATAGACAAGATTTGTTGAGAAGAGCAAGTTCTTTTCATCAATCTGCCCCTGATAGATAGCTGTTCTTAAAGGACCAGATAGATGACCCCAAAGTCATACAGCCGTAACAACGGGGATGGGCTCGTGAGCGGGACTGACTGTACTTATTATCTTGATACCTCACAACCCTGCGATGCAGAGGCTCTGGGAGGCGTGGTTTGCACTACTGAGGAGCGATCCCCCACGTTAAATACAATCAATCAATCAATCAATCAAACATATCTTGGAGAAGATGATGGCCAGGGTTCCCCACCAAAACTACGAACAAGAACTCATCGAGCTTGGTGGGCTCTTGCATACCAGGCGACTGGTCGAGATGAATTCTCTCAAGTCAGCACAGGACTTGAGACTCGCTCCCTACGAGGCCATCCAGACAGACCTGAGTGCTGATATTTCAATCGCAGTATGCTCCAGGCCACTGGGCCAGGTGAATACTATCCAATATGTTGAAGGACCCCCGCTCCCAGCAGCCGAGTCTGATGATGCCGTGGATGTCAAGGTGAAGGCCGTCGTACTTGAGAGCCAGCTCTGTTTCGCGACTGCCAACGACGACGGAAGTCGAAGTCTTGGCAGGTTCTTTCAGGCGTTGTGGTGAAAGCCGGCCCGACTGCCAACTTTCGTCCTGGCGGTAGCGTCTTCGCCGTATTTACATCCCAGTTCAATTCCCACATCAGGGTATCTTCAACAGCACTAACGCGGCTACCACTCGGTTCGTCATTCAAAGAAGCTTGTGTGCGTGTTCCACCACTCGCAGCTGCGTACGACGCACTTTTCCTGACGGGCCGAGTTCAGGTTGAAGATGCTGTACTGATTCATAACTGTGCTAATCCGCATGGATCAGCTGCGCTACTGCTACTGACCGAAAGAGGAGTCAGAAACGTATGGGTTACGGTCGCTACTGGGAACGAGAGCACATGGATGAGGAACAACTCACCTTTCCCATCTGAGCGTATCCTTCCAAGCTCTTGATTTGACAATCATTCGGCCTCTACAGCACAGTTGGGGCAACGATTTGATGTTGTCTTGTCGGTGGATGGAGCGACCACACCTGTGCTCTTCATGGGCTTTGTGAAAACGGGCGGTCGATTCGTCAAGCTCCACACGAGCTCAACGTCCTCCAGGGACACCTTCTCGCAGACCCTGCATGCCGCGCCCGCAAACATGTCTTTCTCGGTGGTCGACCTCACCGAAAAGACTCCTTCGTACGAAGCTCTCCAGTACGCGACCTCAATCCCCTGGAGGAAAGGGGGAGAATTGGCGTGGCAGAAGACATCTCTGTTTCCTGCGTCATCGTTCAATCGCGCTCTTTCTAGCCTGCGAGGATCGAAGGGTCAGGAAGCTTTCGTCCTTACCTTCGACGACGGTGACATTATCGACGTAAGAATGCTCCTCTCCTACATAAGGTATACTACTGATCTGTCATGTGCACAGCTTATGGTCCCCACCAAGCACACATATAAGATGCATCGTGATGCCACCTATGTGATTGCCGGTGGTCTAGGAGGTCTGGGTAGAGCAGTCGCACGTTGGCTCGTCAGTCGTGGCGCGCATCATCTAATATTGATTTCTCGATCGGGCCCACGAACACCCGACGCCCTGCAACTCTTGGAAGAACTCAGAGAGCAGCGGGTGTACGTTGAAACACCATGTTGTGACGTGTCTGATGAGGCTGCATTGAAGTCGGTGCTGTCACATTATTCCGAAAGAATGCCACCAATCGAGGGATGCATACAAACATCTATGGTAATGACGGTAAGAGAAACAGCAAATTGTACCTTTGGCCGAATAATTCGCTGATTTCTATCCAGGAGATTCTTTTCGAGGAAATGGACTTTCCCGATTGGAAAGCCACCATCGACCCCAAGGTGAAAGGATCGTGGAACCTCCACGCTCTCCTTCCAAAGGGCCTGGACTTCTTTATCCTTGTATCGTCGCTCATGGGCATCTTGGGAACAGGGCTACTTTCCGGATACAATGCTGGCAATACGTATCAAGATGCGTTAGCAAGACTTCGAGTAGCCCAAGGTGAGCGTGCCGTGTCAATCGACTTAGGCGGCGTTGTAGACGGCGGCTTCGTTGCTGAAAATACACGTCACAGGGACATATTTCAGCGCAACCGAAACTTAGCACCGCTGAAGTTGGAAGAGATATGCGCAGTACTGGACATATACTGTGATCCGAACAGCTCTCTTTCACGGAACACAAGTTCCTGCCAGACCATCATTGGCATTAGTCAGCCTAGACATTGGAAGCAGGGTGACGCAGAGCCATACACGATGAGACAGCCATTCTGGGGCCACATACATCATGTTCCCCACTCATCGAGTGACAGTCGAGGAGCAGCGGCTGGGGACGACTTCGATGTTGTCCAAAGGAAGCGGGGGGTCGATTTGGCTGAGAGAATTGCCTCGGCAGGGTCGCCCACCAAGAAAGCCGACGTTGTACGTGAGGCACTCGCACACCGCATCGAGGTCTTGCTTGGAACCCCTGAGGATCGCCTTGATCTACAAAAGCCATTGAACACCTATGGCATCGACTCTCTCTCGGCCATTGACCTACGCAACTGGATCAGCAAGGCCTTCGACGTGGACTTGCCTGTGTTCGAGATCCTGGGCGGAGCAACTTTGGCAAGCGCGGGCATGACCATTGCTGAAAAGCTGTCCCTCAAGCAGTGAGGTTCAGTCACGATGGTACTTCTGTTATGTGGTCTCTGTTGAATATTCTAGGGTCTGAAGTTAGTCGTTGTTCTTCGAGCTCATATTGTGATTGCCAGTCTTTCCATAATCAGTGCTAAGCCATCTTGACCACCCCCAAGTAGGTAAATCGAGCCGTCGACGTCAATATTGTCACTTATGTCATACACCACCATGTCAAGCAATCGTTTCAATCAATACGAATGCAGTGTTCAACAGCCTGGGCTGGTGGTATATGTCCACAGATCCAGATGCGTCCATGACACAGCACCACAAATTCTCAGGAGTAGCTTACCGGCGGGCCGGGTCGGAATGGCGATCGTATATCCAGCCCCTACACGAAAGTGAAGAAAGGACAATATTGCAATTCTGCAGTAAGCCACACACAGTAAGCCACAGACACCAGGTCCAGACTGAGCCACTGATGCGGGTGAGATGCCCCAGGGCGTCTGATTTGTTGATCTCACGAACAAACCGTTAGTGGCTGAGGTGAGACAGGTGTGATTGGCCTGACATGCAGGACTGAAGGATGAGACGCTCAGGAACAACGGTCCGCGAGCGCGGCTACCATGTCGACGGACAACTGTGTTGCCAATATTATGCGGACTTTCTGCGAGGTCGCTGTTATCGTAAGCAGGGCTTCGGACGGTGGTGCTTATGCTCCGTTGATGAGAAGACGACTGCCCGTGTGTAACTTTACAGGCAGTGCCAGTAGACGGGCATATAAAGATGGATGACTCTGTTTGTATGGTTCTGAGGTGGTTCTGAGCGACTATTCAGTCTGTGTAGTCTTTCCAAGAGACAATATTATACCATGATATATCAGAGCGGCTCCAGGGCCGTCCGAGTGCCGTACTTACTGGCTATACTCGTGTTCTCGACTCTTGCCTCTGCCCAGTTCCCATGGGCATCCACCATCCCCCGTACAGGATGGACCGTCACAGCAGACAGCTACCAAGCGGGCAACGAGCCCGCCAAAGCTCTCGATGGCAACTCCAGCACGTTCTGGCACACCCAGTACAGCCCCAGCGATGCGCCGCTCCCGCACTACATCCAGGTAGACATGCAGAAGAGCTACGTTGTCAGCGGATTCTCCTATCGGCCTCGTCAAGACGGGAACAGCAACGGTAATATCGGCCAGCATACTGTTACGTTGAGCAACGACGGCACCACGTGGAGTGATCCCGTGCAGTTCGGGTTATACCTCAACGATTCCACGGACAAGACGACCTTCTTCTCGAATGCCAGCGCGAGATATGTGCGTCTCACAGCACAGACCGAGGCCCAGGGGACCGGCAACGCCTGGTCAAGCGTGGTGGAGCTCAATGTGTACAGCCCCGACCCCACACTTTCTGCCACCCAGTTCACGTCTCCGCCAACTAGTCAAGGCTGCTGGGACACGACAGTCGTCCTGCCCATAGTCCCGGCCGCCGGGGCCATCTCAGAGACCGGCAACGTAGTCTTCTGGTCGGCGTTCCGCCCGGATCTCTTCACCAGTGGCACGGGCCAAACCTTCACCTCATCCTGGACGCCTGGATTGCAGGCCGTGACGGAGCGCACCGTCACAAACACGCAGCATGACATGTTTTGCCCGGGCATCTCCCTAGACGCCGACGGGCGCATCACGGTGACCGGCGGCAACGACAACAAGAAGACGAGCATCTACGACCCGGCAACCGCCGGGTGGGCGGCCGCGGCGCAAATGAACCTCCCGCGTGGATATCAGTCCCAAGCGACGCTGTCCGACGGGCGGATCTTCACCATCGGCGGCTCGTGGAGCGGCGACGGCGTCAAGAACGGCGAGATCTATACCCCGGGCACTAACACCTGGAAGGCATTGGCGGGCTGTGCCGTGGTCCCCATGCTCACGAACGATGCCCAGGGCGTCTACCGCGGCGACAACCACGCGTGGTTATTCGCGTACAAGGGGAACTCGGTCTTCCAGGCCGGACCGAGTCGCAACATGAACTGGTATAATGTCAGCGGGGGGACGTCGGGCTCGTACACGAGTGCCGGGACTCGCGCCGCGGACTCGGATGCCATGTGCGGCAACGCAGTCATGTACGATGCGGTAGCCGGACTGATCCTCGCGGCCGGCGGATCGCCTTCATATCAGGACTCCGACGCGACGTCCAACACGCACGTCATTAAGCTCGGAACTGCCAATGCGGCCCCCACGGTCACGAAGTTGCCGAGTATGGCCTACGCGCGCGCCTTCGCCAACGGCGTTGTGCTGCCCGATGGGAAAGTGCTGATTGTGGGCGGCCAATCATATCCCATACCCTTCACGGACACGACGCCGGCGTTCCCGGCGGAGCTGTTTGATCCCGCGACCGGCACGTGGGCTGTGATGGCGTCCATCGCCGTGCCGCGGACCTACCATAGCATCGCGTTGCTACTCCCCGACGCGACGGTCTTGAATGGCGGCGGCGGCCTTTGCGGCACTGGCTGCGTCCAGAACCACTTCGATGTGCAGATCTTTTCGCCGCCATACCTGTTCAATGGTGATGGCACGCGCGCCGCGAGGCCTGCCATCGAAGCGGTCTCTGCGGCGCAGATGGCGCCGGGAGCCGCGTTTACGGTGACGACGGACTCGCTGGTTGATGGGTTCGCGTTAGTCCGGTATGGGTCGGCGACGCATACTGTGAATACGGACCAGCGACGCGTGCCGCTTTCTGCGACTGGCGTGAGCGGGTTGACTTATACCCTTCAGCTTCCTGCCGATCCGGGGGTCCTGGTCCCCGGGTACTGGATGCTGTTTGCTTTGAACGCGGGTGGCGTGCCGAGCGTGGCCGCGACTGTCAAGATTCTGGTACCATGATTGATTGGTTGGGATCAGCCAACCTATGGGACGGAAGACCAGTATTAGGGTGGCAGATCTAGAAATACAAGGGGCATACAATACAGTATATAGTAATACCAGAGTGGTTGTGTTTTAGTAGTGGAAGTTCCACAAGAGTCTGATGATAAGATCCACGGGTATTTGTGTTCAAGGCCGATGATCGGATCTTGTCGGACGGAAGCGGCTCCGGCATTGATTGACGGATATGACCTCATCTGGACACCTCATCGCGGCATATGCCATAAACACAACTCAGCAAACATCACCGTTCCAGCATTCCCACGAACGCTGCTCCTTATTCGACCCACCAACGACCGCTGAAATCATTAGTTCGCACAATAGAGACTCCCACCATGCCGCCCACCAAGATAGCCGTCCTTGATGATTATCAGGAGCTCTCGAAACCCCACTACGAGCCCCTGGGGTCCTCTGGGTACGAAGTGACCACCTTCACCGACACCCTCTTACCCTATAACCACCCCGATACGCCTCAAGATGTCAAGGACGAGTTGGTGAAGCGACTGGAGCCATTCAATATCATATGTAAGCGCGGGCGCTGCACCCACGAGTCGTGATCTGATCCAAGCAGGCTCCATGAGAGAACGAACACCCTTTCCAGCAGAGCTTATCAACAGGCTACCGAATCTCAAGTTGCTACTTACGACGGGCGGCCGCAACGCATCTATCGACGTCAAGGCTTGTCTGGCTCGGGGTGTGCCGGTAGCTGGCACCACTGGAGGAAAGGGCAGCCCAGATAGCACCACCCAGCACTGCGTGGCTCTGATCCTTGCTCTGGCGCGAAACATCCCTCAAGACGATGCCACCATGAAGAGCGAAGGCTGGCAGACCACAGCGGCGACTGGGTTGGCAGGATGTGTGTTTGGAACCCTCGGCCTGGGCAGACTTGGTGCCTCGGTCTCGAGGATCATGCACTTGGCTTTCGGCATGAAGATCATTGCGTGGAGCACAAACCTGACGCAGGAGGCGGCAGACGAAAAGGCAAAGGGTGCCGGCCTGCCTGTCGAAGATGCGAACGGTGACAAGACCTTCAAGATGGTGAGTCGAGATGAATTGTTCAGCACTGCAGATGTGGTCAGCGTTCAACTCGTGCTGTCTGATCGATCGAGGGGTCTGATAGCAGGCGACGACTTGGCCAAGATGAAGAAGACGGCGTTGTTCGTCAATACCTCGAGAGGCCCGATAGTGGTGGAAGAGGACCTGCTCGAGGCGGCGAAGAATGGCCTGATCCGAGGCATTGGCTTGGATGTGTATGGAATAGAGCCGTTGCCTAAGCATAGTGAGTGGAGGACGACGAAATGGGGAGCGGAAGGACGAAGCCAGGTGGTGCTTACGCCTCATATGGGCTACGTCGAAGGCGACAACATCTCGGGTTGGTATGCGCAGCAGGTTGAGAACATCTTGCGGTGGCAAAAGGGGGAGACCATGGCAACGGTCTTCAGTGACAGCGGGTATTAGGGGGCCTGAACCCTGGACTGAACTGATTAATGCTGCCCCCGTAGCAACGAGCCTGTGGAGCCCTAATATGCGAGCCATGCAACTAATAGAGCTGCATGAAAGGACGTGCAGTTTGTTTCTGCCTGTCCCCGAATTGGTGTTTTCTCTGAGACTGCCTTACCTGGAAAGAGGGACCTGCTCTTTATGTTGTTACCCGCCTAATCCTGAAGAAGGCACAAACAATTTCACTCTCAACCCTCTCCTTCCTCAGCGACAGACAACGAGAGTGCACCGAGCTGCACCTTCCACGGCGACTTCCACAATCACGAAGGCAACTTCCAATTGCCACAGGCTTAAAGGTAAGCCTTCCTTCCCTTGGTGTCACATCCATACGGATCCAATGCTTCCAGGTTTCTGTCCCTCGCCGAATCGCCATCTCACAATCTCCTCCGTCCCATTGCATCTGCATCTGCACCTTCACCCATCCCGGTCCGTCCAAGGTCACCGTGCACGTACCTCGTCCCCAGCGCTCATACTTACCGGCCTCACCTACCTACCTAGGTACTTCGACTCTCGTTCACGATGGCCGTTATGGACCCCCTCAGTCCTCCTGGCATCGCCGACGAGAGCGCTGCTGCTGCTGCGCCCAATGGTGAGGCGAGTGGAGGTACGCCATCACTGCCCGACTGCCTAAATCACCAGCCCATCACGAATTCCACCCGGAATATTTGAGCTGACTTTCAATGTCTGTGCCTGATTTGTAGGATTGCCCTCTGCTCCCACTAGTCACCCTCAGGCCGTGACTCCGGCGGGTGCTTCCACCGTTCCAGGACATCAACTCTCCCTGCCTATCGCCGACCAGGCCCCCGCTGCTCCTGTTGGCGAGTTCAAGCCTACTCCTGCCATTGACCTTCTACGCGCTGCCATAATGGATCGATTCAAGAATCGTGCTGGCCCTGTCGCTGGCCCTGCCAAGGACCTATCAAGTGCTGCGTCGACCTCTGGCAGCTCAACCAATGCTCAGGGTTCGAAGCGTCAGCTTGGCCCGAGCCCGGAGAAAGGCTCCGGCCAAGAACGCTTTCGCCACATGCTGAAGGGCACGGTAAACCTCGCTGCCAACGCTGCCAACAAGAAGAACGACAAGGATAAGGAGAACATCAACAAGGACACCATGGCTACTGCCAGAGTCTGTAAGTCGTCTAGCTCTTCCTCCCACCCTATGAAACAACAACTTGCTCAATGTCTTTGATAGCGTCTGATGCCACCTCGCGCCACCCCGGCCCTGGTCTCACTGGTGGCTTCATTGTTCCCACAGCCACTCAATTCGCCCAGAGTCCCTATTCTCTCCCGCTCCAGGGTGGGCTGGGTGCATATCCCAGTGGGATAAACATCGGCCACCCAACCACCCTGCCGGCTGCAAGCAAGACCGCACAGATTGCATCACCTCAGGTTAAGACAGAGCGCGACCGTGAGCGTGAGCGTGAGCGAAACCGTGGTAGAGGCGATGGCCGACGCGATGACCGACGTGATGACCGACGCGATGACCGACGCGATAACAGAGGTGGTGCCAGAGGAGAAGCCGGCAGACACAATGTGCAGAACGCGGCTGGTAGGCTGAGCCTCGCGTGCCAGTTGCGCCGTTTCAATCCGAAGTTCCGCGAGTGGGTTACCAGAGACGGCTTCCACCAATGCTCCGTTGACTTAATGGGTCGCGTGCTTCAGTATGTATTCATTTCTTTCGTTCGCACTCCCAACATGGTTCAGCGTTATCAACTCCTGTATGCGATGGCTGGACACACAAGCATACGCCAAGTTCTGAAAATGATTTGGGGAAGCATTTCTAACAAGTATGAGCAGAGATCCCAATGGCAAATTCGACACTGCCTTGGAAGCCAAAGAATCGATTGCCGAGAAGGCCATTAGCGAGATTCGCACCTGGCCATGCTCGGATCCTCCTCCCGGAGCAGCAGTGAAAGCCGCAAGAGGGGATCTGGTCGCTTATGACTCAGCCCGTGGCGGCAATGAGCCCGGGGTCAAGAAGGAGGGCTCGGCCACCCCGCACCAAGCTGGCGGTGGTCGGCTCGATCGCTATTCTGGCGGTGGTCGACCTGACCACTACTCCGGCACTCCTTTCGTTGGCGGTGGTCGGGTTGACCACTATTCCGGCGCTCCTCTCGTGACCCACCCGGGCCAGGGAAACCCGGGTGTGGTACACCCGTACACTGGATACGATCGAGGAGAGGAACAGAAATCACTTATTGCCCGCATCCAAGTGCTTTATGGCCAATCTAACGGACCTAGCCTGCTCACCATGGCAGATCCCTTGGAAGCGAAGGCATTCCTGGAGGGATTTGCCTTGGGCGGTCGCCTTCAGGAGGCATCGCATCGCTCTCACACCGAGCCTGTCGAGGCCACCTCCTACACGTACTACCAGCAACGTGAGCGTTCCCCTGCGCCGGCCACCAGCCGGAACTATCGGGAGCGTTCGCCTGCCGGACGTCGGGGTTAGGGCGCTTGATCGCCCCAGGTTGGAAGACGAGTAACCGTAGTTACGCTCGCAAGTAAGCCAGCTGACGATGCCACGGTTATTGGCCTCCTTGGAAACGCCTTGATCAAAAGATGGGGTCGCAGAAAGATGGGATCACAGATTGGGAAGGAACCTCGGATGCTTGTATGTAGATTTCAGGAGGGTGGTCTAGTGGCAAGTTGCCCTTGCGGCTACAGTCGCCTGCTGATCCGCTCACCTGCTAAGTTGCAGAGCTCTCGGATACGGGCAATATGATTTGTCTTCTGACACACAGTGAACGTTGGCTCAGTTTAGTTGTGAGGTGATCTTCAGATCTTGCTAGGCATTCTAAGACCTCCGTCCAGTCTAAGAACAGTGCCGTTAAGCATGGGATTTTCAATGACTTGCCGCACTAGTTGTGCGAATTCCTCGGGCTTGCCCGCACGACGGGGGAACTCCATGACCGACTGCAGACCGGTGGCTAGTTTCTTGGGCATCACCGAAGTCATGCGTGTCTCAAACAGGCCGGGAGCAATGGTCATGCAGCGGATGCCAAACCGCGCAAGGTCTCTCGTCATGGGCAGCGTCATCGACACCACCGCGCCCTTGCTCGCAGCATAAGCAACCTGTCCCATCTGGCCGTCAAAGGCGGCACACGATGCCACCATGATGACCACGCCACGCTCCCTGTCTTCGCCCACGGGCTCCGTCTTGGCCAGGTGGACGAGGCACTGCCGCACTAGGTCCATGGTGCCGCGCAGGTTAATGTTGACGACGAAGTCGAAGGACTCCAGGCTGAAGGCCTCGCCATGTCTATCGAGGATCTGATTTGATGTGTCAGTCAGCCACCACCACCACCACCGATGAAGTAGGTAATGAGGTCGTCGGTTCGGCCACTCGAATGCGTACCGTAGAAGGGTTTCCGACGCCCGCGGCGGGGATGATGCCGCCCAGCGGCTTGCCCGTCTGCGCGATCCAGTCCATCGTGCCCTTCACGGCGGCGGCGATGCTGTCCGTCTCCAGCACGTCGCAGGCGAAGAACCGGGCTGTGCCGCTGGGTAGTTGGGCGACTAGTGCCGCTCCGAGGTCCTCGTTTAGGTCGAGGATCGCGACGTTGCCGCTGCCGCTGCCGGTTCGGCAGATGTTCTCTACGCATGCTTGGCCTAGGCCGGAGGCGCTGTGGTGGTGAGTGTGTTTGTCAGCTTGTGGGGGCGAGGGAGTGTTGGCATGTGATCTTAGAAAGGGGGGCTGTTTACCCGCCGGAGACTATGAAGGTCCTGCCTTCGATCTTCATTATGAATCACTGCGTTTTTAAGATATTACAAGATGGAGATGTAGTTTTGATTCATGAAATATATAGGTGGGTAGAAGTATAGAAGATGTTCAGGTTAAGACATGAAGTCAAGTTGCATTCCGACCTATGAGCGTTGAACCGCGGCATGGCTGAGTCGGGTGGCAGCTCATTGGTTCAATTGGTGACGGATGAAGTGCTTGCTGCTGGGATGACGCACGGGCCCCGGCTTCGACCCAATGGCACCAGGTGGCGCTCTGTCAGATGCCCGACTGCCAGTTGGCCAAGTCAGATCAACAGCCAATCCCTGCTGGGACAGCTCCATTTCGTCACCAACGCAGCAACGCCCGCTGATAAGGACGGGACGGCTGAAACTAATCGGCGTAGCACTAATTTGGAATTGGAGCTGCTCCCAACTTTCCAACGTCTGTCTTCGAATACCAGCTTGACCACTTCTTGGTTTCCTTTGGCTTTTCCCTCATGGTCGATTTCAGAAATTGTAGCAATCAAACCGAGCACCGTTCGCAAACCATACGAAAGCGGCGTCCAATATGACGCGTCCGCGACGCTCGTCCGCCGCGAGCGAGGAGAGCACGGGGACAGCAGGCGACCAGGTATGCGATAACGATCAGGACCCTTGCCGGCGAATGGTGGAGGCTGATGCGGCATAGGAGCTCGGGAGCATGTACGACTACCTCGCGAAGATTATATTGTTGGGACCCAGTGGCACGGGAAAGTGAGTTTGACCGATCCCATGCGAACCGAGCGATGCTGGAACACCGGATGGGCGATGATTCGGCAGCAACGTCTGGACATGGCATTAGATCGTGGAGTGGAAAAGCTGGAAATATACTAGCCGGGAGATTCGAAGCATACTCGAAGAGAAGACGGCTGCTAACCTTGCCCGCTTCCGAATAGATCATGTCTGCTGCACCGCTTCGTCAAGAACGAATGGCGGGTTCTATCTTCACAAACTATAGGCGTCGAGTTCGCTAGTAAGATCATCAAAGTTGGGACAGGTGCGCGACGGAAACGGGTAAAGCTTCAGGTACATATTCCACATGGTCCGGGCCGTGGGCACCGTAATCCTGTCAGCACCGCTGACAAACCGCCAGCTGTGGGACACGGCGGGTACAGAACGATTCCGATCCGTCTCGCGATCATACTACAGAGGGGCTGCCGGTGCGATTCTAGTCTACGATGTCACATCACATAACTCGTTCCAGGGGTTACAGCCCTTCCTCAACGACGCCCGCGCTCTTGCCTCGCCGAACCTGACCTCGCTCCTCGTCGGCAACAAACTTGACCTAGCGAACGACGAACTCATCGACACGAGCCTCCCCCCACCCACACCCACACCCTCGAGCTCGAGCTCCTCCATGCCGTACGGCACGTCGGTCGGCACGATCAGCGCCGGCCTCGGCTCGCAGCTGCGGGCGACCATCGCGCCCGAGGGCCGCGAGGTGTCGTCGACGGAAGCGACGCGGTGGGCCAGCGGCGTCAACGTGCCCGTCACGATGGAGGTGTCCGCGTTCTCGGGCGAGGGCGTGGACGAGGTGTTCGGGCGGCTGGCGCGCATGATCCTGACCAAGATCGAGCTGGGCGAGATCGACCCGGACGACCCGATGAGCGGTATCCAGTACGGCGACGGCGGCATGTGGAACGCGGGCGCCAGCGACGGCGCCAGCATCAAAAGCACCATGACGGCCGACGAGGCGGGCATCCCCGGCGTGCCGCGCAGCCGGCGCGGCCGGGGCAAGAGCCGCGGTGCGCAGAACTGGGGCATGCGCGACTGGGAGGAGGTGTTCACGCTGAGTCGGGGGCGTGGGAGGGGGAACTGCTGCTAGTGCCGAGCTGCTTTTGTTGTGCTAGCTGTGTAGAACTATCGAATCGAGGCGGGTTGGAGCTGGGAAACACCTACATACGATGACCCGGCGCGTTTTGATGTACAGAGAAGGCAGGGATGAAGGAAGCATATCTGTGGCGTGAGTTGGCTGGGTTGATGGATGGATGGGGCGGGACACAATGATACCTACTGACGAACGGACGCACTCGTTCGTACTATGGCGTTTGGCGCAGCTGCGTTTTTTTGCAGTCGAGGCTTTGGAACGGGATGTTGATAGAGTATCTACTTTAACTTACTTAATACGAGATTCTTTTGTTCTATTCGATAGGTTGGTCGTCGCGGTTGTTCGGGTAGGTTTACAGGATATGCCTGCTCGCCACCGAAGCAGGATCAAGAGCTTCTTACGGGACTTCCTGGATCGAGCTATAACAGATCTTCTCGGCACACCATTCTCTATCCCCAGCCAGCAGTCCAGCAGGTCCGATCTCCGCATGTAATGCCGACCATATTACCGTTGGACGGTGGCGGACATGCGACCGGTATATATACTTGCTTAGTTAATATTCCTTTCACCGGTGGCCAGTGGTGGCACGAGCAATCTATTACACCACGCAAACCACTGTACACTAGCCACCGGTCTGTAGGTCCATGATACACGACGTGTGATATGTATAACGCCAAGAGAGGCTCTCTGCTCCTGCGATCTGGGCCAGCTGGAGGCCCACATCACTTTTACACACACATACAACACAATTCTAAGCTGGTGCTAGACAACTAAAAGTACGTTTTTTAATGACAACGCTTTTGGACCACCGTTATATATATTATTTCGTATATTTTTTAATAGCGTTAAGTTGTTTAAAGTATGTTTTTAAATAGCTTTAAGTTGTTTAAAAACATATGGAATAATATATATAACGGTGGTTTAAAAGCGCTATTGTATAATTAGTGTCCCGGCGAGCGTTACTGAGGAGCTGGGACATGGCCGGCAGCAAGCAGCTATTACTCTATTGACGAGAATATCAAGGCTAGAGAGGAAAGGAAGAGAGAGAGAGATATAGATACAGCGGGAGGTTGCCCCTTTAAGGGGATCCTCTGGTCAGATCCTTCCCTTATTGAGAAGTATCGGTTTGTCATGTGGGAAGGTCTGTGCAGGCCGTCACAATTACGTAGTTTATGATAATAATAAAGTCACGATATCTAAAGTTATTATTATTATCAAAACGTTATATATATTAACATATATATAGAAATATTAATAGCCTTAATTTATCCCTATTAATATATGTTTAAATTAATATCTATGACGTTAATATAACAACGTAATAGTTATAAAGCGTACTTTTATCGTATTTATAACGTAATTTACGAAAAATGCCGAGGTTTATTACCTTTTATACGGTTAAAATATTAAATTAACGGCAACAATAATAAAAAGTATTACTACGCTTTTAAATTAACGATCGTGTCAAACTTCGGTGTGTGGAATACTGTTTATTCGTTCGTAGATTATCTAAGTGTTCCACTGCTACCTTGGGTAGATGTATTTGTATGCAGATACAGTACTAACGCGTCTAACTGGCGTTGTGTCAGATTTGAGCCAATCGTGAGGTTAAAGTATGTGTGTCTGTATTCTGTCTCTCTAGAGTGTCCTCGTGCGACCGTGGCAGTTTTGTGCCAGAGGGGGCTGGATCGGGACGGAACAACTACGCTCCGGTGTCTACCTATCAAGGTGCCCTCTTGGCTCACCTTTAATCCAACACGTTGCGGCTGAGCAGTGGGGCAACGGTTGCTAGTCGACCATTCCCATAGCGCTCGGACCACCCTGATCCCACGTGCACAGACCACCTCTAAAACACACCCTGAGCCACCACATCCGACAGATCGTATATATTAAATATATAATTTTAAGTAAATAAGAATTAACGCTATTTGAAACTATACGTTTGATAAATATGGCCGTTAATTTAAAAGCGTAGGTATTAAAACCCGTACTTTTGTCGTTATCGCATGCTAGCTTAAAATTATATTGTGTGTATGTGTAAAGGTGATGTGGGGCTGGACACCTCGAATGTTAAAGGCAGTAGCCCGATATAGATGCGGAGGTCGATCCTCCGCGTCTGTGTGGGTACTCGTGGTTGGGGAAGTTTGAGCAACAGGGATCGGTTCGTCGCTCAAGAATTGGAGAAGGCTTCCCGGGCTATCGAAGTCCTGACCCGAGTACTTGACTTTGGAGTGCTGCAAGGTGTGTGTGTTACACTTCAAAAAGGCTTTGGCAGCATGAGCATTGGTCGGCATTGGGTGTCATGTCATCACTCCGAGCAGAAAGCTCCCGGCACCAGGATGAGGATACACATCTTCAGACTTAAAATCGCTGGTTGGAGACAGCTTGTCGTGGCTCCTAACAGAATCACGCGCTTCTCCAATTTCCAAACCTCCATCACCTGCAGCAGCCCGGATGCATTGCCGCGACCAAACGCTGAGCGAGCCACGGATTGCCCACGGCGGAAGGGGATTGGTATCTCACAGTCACAGCACCAACTGCAGATCAAGATCAATCTCGGCGTGTGTCAGCCCGTGGCCTTGACAGTCTGCCAAGGGCGGCCAGGATGCGTACCATCTTGTGATAGGTTCGTTCCCGCATTGCAACTGGCGAGGTGCATGGAAGGTGAGGTCAACACTGTCAGTAGCAGTTGCTCCTTACATACAGTACCTTACCTATAAAACACCTGCTGGTTTGTATCTTACGTTGCCAGAAATCCTTCTAGCTGACCATACCAAGCAATGCTCTGCCCTGCCTACTCTCTGACATAGAGAGTCGTGAAGGGAAGCCTAGGTCATTCTGAGGTCTTGAAGATTTACTGCGCATCTTGAGACGCATAATCTGACATCCCACCTTCATCACCCTCTACAACTTCTACCAACTGCTCCGCATCTCTTCTTAATCTCTTTGAACCAGAGCAGCGCGTCACATGTTGTACCGAAGACTACACCCAGCACAAGACTGAATTTCACCGTCAACCCCGCAACCGCAGTCAGCCATGGAGCCCCGCATCGCGGTCCCCATCGACCAGAACTGGCAGTTCAAGCAAGCCGACAAAGAGGACAGCACATATCTGTCCGTCGGCCAGTTCCCAACCAACGTGCACCTGGACCTGCTGGCGCACAAGTTGATCCCAGACCCCTACATCGGCAAGAACGAGCTCGACGTGCAATGGATCGGCGAGGCCGTCTGGGTCTACCGGACCAGCTTCGCGTCCCCTGCCACGTCGAGCAACAAGACTGGGGCCGCCGTGAAGGCGGTCCTTGCCTTCGACGGCTTGGATACCTTCGCCACTGTCGTGCTGAACGGCAAGACCATCCTCGAGACGGAGAACATGTTCATCCCCGAGCGCGTGGACGTCACGGATGTCCTGAAGAAGGACGGCGATAACAAGCTCGTCATCACGTTCGATAGTGCGTACTTGCGCGGGTGGAAGCTGGTCGAGAAGTACCCTGATCACAAGTGGGGGTGCTGGAATGGCGACAATTCGAGGCTGGCGGTTCGCAAGTCACAGTACCACTGGGTAAGCTGAAGATCACGGGATTTAGGTGCGATTTGGTAGGAGAGTTTCTAACCTTTGTGTTCAGGGCTGGGATTGGGGCCCAACACTCCTCACCTGCGGTCCTTGGAGACCGATCAACCTTGAGATCTACGAGTCTCGCATCACTGACCTCTGGTGTGACGTTGATGTCGACAAGTCTCTAAAGACCGCCACTGTCGTCGTTCATGCTCCCATTGAAGGCAAGGCGTCGAAGCTACGCCTAGACATTTCGCTGGACGGCACCGCAGTGGCAAGTCAGACCATCGACGCCGGCTCCAGTGCCTCGTTCAGAATTTCCGACCCTGAACTTTGGTACCCTGTCCGGTATGGTAAACAGCCATTGTACACGGTAAAGGCAATGATAGAAGAGGATGGCAAAGACATTGACAGCCTATCCAAGAAGATCGGCCTTCGAAGAGCCGAGTTGGTTCAGAGGCCCCTGAAGGAGCAGCCCGGCACCTCGTTCTTCTTTGAGGTCAACGGCATTCCCATCTTCTGCGGCGGGAGCGACTGGATCCCCGCAGACAACTTCATCCCCCGCATCAGCAAGGAGAGATACTACGATTGGGTGAAGATGGTAGCCGACGGGAACCAATTCATGATACGGGTGTGGGGCGGTGGCATCTACGAGGAACAAGCCTTCTACGATGCCTGCGACGAGCTGGGCGTCCTCGTGTGGCAGGATTTCATGTTCGGCTGCGGCAACTACCCGGCGTGGCCAGAGCTACTCGCTTCCATCAAGACGGAGGCCGAGGAGAACGTCAAGCTGCTGCGCCACCACCCCAGCATCGTCATCTGGGCCGGCAACAACGAGGACTACCAGTACGCCGAGAGCGTCAACCTGACCTGGGACCAGAACAACACGGATGCCGAGTCCTGGCTCAAGACCGATTTCCCCGCGCGCTACATCTACGAGAAGATACTGGCGGACGCGTGTCGCGACCTGTGTCCTGCCGTGCCCTACCACCCGGGCAGCCCCTGGGGCGGCGTCGACACGCGCGACCCGACGGTCGGCGACATCCACCAGTGGAACGTGTGGCACGGCACGCAGGAGAAGTACCAGAACTTCGACAAGCTGGGCGGGCGGTTCGTGTCCGAGTTTGGGATGGAGGCCTTCCCATCAGTAAAAACCATCGACGCGTTCCTGCCTTTGGGGAAGGACGACCCGGACCGGTACCCGCAGTCCAGCACCATCGACTTCCACAACAAGGCCGACGGCCACGAGCGCCGCATCGCGCTGTACCTGGTCGAGAACATGCGGTACGCGCCCGACCCGCTGGAGCAGTTCGTGCACGCGACGCAGCTGATGCAGGCCGAGTGCCTGGCGAGCGCGTACCGCTTGTGGAAGCGGCAGTGGCGCGGGCCGGGGCGCGAGTACTGCGCTGGTGCCCTGGTGTGGCAGATCAATGATTGTTGGCCTGTGACTTCGTGGGCGATTTGCGATTATTATCTCAGGCCGAAGCATGCGTATTTCGCGGTCAAGCGCGAGATGGCGCCGCTGAGCGTGGGCATGACGCGTCGCGAGCACCGCACGCCGAGGGATAAGTATACGCGCGTGCACGTCGACACGCGCACGGAGGTCGAGATCTGGGGCTCTAATTTGGGGCTGGAGGATTTGAAAGGTCTGGATTGTGTTGTTAAGGGCTGGGATGTGGAGACCGGGGAGGAGATTTATGAGAAGGTTGTTAAGAAGGGGTTGTTGTTGGAGAAGAATCGGTCTACGGAGATTGTGGCGTTGGATGTCCCGGCGAGGGAGAAGGGCGGGGAGGGGAGGACTGTTGTTGCGGCGTACTTGTTGAGCTCGGCTGAAGATGGTGCGGAGACGGGAGAGACGGGAGAGAAGGGGGACAAGGGGGACAAGGGGGACAAGGGGGACAAGGGGGACAAGGGGGAGAAAGGAGGGAAGAAGCAGCTGGCGCGCTACGTCAACTGGCCCGAGCCGCTCAAGTACCTGCACCTGGCCACGCCGAAGCAGCTCAAGGCGGAGCTGAGCGCGGATGGTACCTACCTATACGTCAGCGCTGAGGTGCCGGTCAAGGGCGTGGCGGTCGAGTGCGAGAACGACGCGGTTAGGTTTGAGGATAACCTTGTGGATATTGTCCCCGGCGAGGTTGTGAGGATTGGGGTGAGGGGCGCGGGGACGGGGACGGTTTTTACTACGCGGTATTTGGGGATGGTTTAGAGGGCTTGGGGTTGCGGTTAGGGGTTGAAAGGGGGTAAGGGATGTGGTGGAATGAAAAGGGTAGTAGGTAGGTTGACCTGTGATGTAGACTTGGCTTCACGCTTATATAGTTGGCATACATCAAATATCCTCGCCCAACCTGCCTGGGCATTCCGAGCAGAAGCTCCAATCATAAGCGATACCCGGACGGACGTGGCAAACGCCGGACTTTCTTTCCTAGCATGCGACTCGTTGTCACACCTGAGCATCCCTGTTGGGAGACACATAACTGTATAAACAGACCCCTGTCGTGTCTCATTGGAAGTATTGCAACGACGGCCCTGCTTCTTTCCCGGCGCTACAGATGTCCATTGGCAGCTTATGTGGCAATGTTGCTGGTATTAGAGAAGTCATCACGCCTCAACCCACCAGCATCAAGGCTAACCATGATTCACACATATATACCTTGCTTTGCGTCCTCGATTCGTACAATTAAAAGAACGCCTCACTTAAATCCACTACATCACAGCAGGTCTTTTTCACTCCTTTTTTTTTTAAACCGAGATCTAGGGCAGACTGTTCGGGGCGTTGAGATTTACTGCTGTTTTCGCCGTATGATTTCAGATATTTCGAGGCAAGCTGGATAAAACTTTTCAAGCTGACGTATTGATCACACACGGTCTGGGGCAAATGTAGCATTACAAGTCAGCATAACGAGCCAGCATAATAATTCAGCATAGCGAGCTAGCAGTTCTATATTTGCCTTAACTTATACTAAATGTTTCCGCCTGAGAGCCAAATACAGGGCTATCACTATCGTTGCCCGTAAGGCCTTCCACAAAGCACTCTCCCACAAACTCGAAACATACGGTAGACTCCAAACCCACGGGCCGGAGGAGGTAAGGCACCTGACCCCCGTCCAGAGTCACAATGATATCATTGACACGTGCTGCCCAAGGACACAGGCCGTACTGGCCGGCTGTTGCCAGAAAGTAGCAAGGGTGGATGCACGATGGAATGTGCGAGGCATCTGCAAGATCAAACGATGGGGCATTCCCAGCGTGTTCGTTTAGGACTTGGGCAGGCGGTGGAGGAAAATAGGCATGGTGGGCCCTCAGATGGTCGTAGTATACCATGGAAGAGTCCCGAAAATTGACAGAATGCCGGGGGTTTCGTTCCAACGGCCGGGTCCAGCTTCCATGGTAACCGCATGGATCGAGCAGATGTACAAAGACCGACAGTACGCTCGGCTTCAATTGAACATCGCCGTTGGCGACTGCCTCAAATGAGGCGAGCATGCTTCTTGGGGGGTATCCTATCGCCTCGATGGCACCGATCCGGCGTCCGCGCAGCTTCAAAACGGGAGGGTCGCTTTCCACGTCTTCCAGGACGAGAGAAGGATCTGGCTCGAGATTGCCCCCAACGTTTAGTAGTGAAAACTTGCTCAGAAGATTCATATCGACCCATGTCGAATAGCCCTCGGAGCCGAGCGCCCACGTAGTCCCCGAAGAGCTACGAGTTGACGACACAGGGTCTGTGCAGCGCCAGCCTCTCGAGGGCTGGCAATGGATCATGGAGAGTACCCTGAGGGACCGCTGTTTGACAATGCACCATCGAGTGAAATCAGCCATTGCCTTCCCCAGTGTCTTGCTGTAGTCGGGACGAAGCGCCGTCGGGATTTCTGCGAGCCCCTTGATCTCATGGCTTAGACCCAACAGCGCAAAAAGCCGGTCTCTCGGGTCGGTGGCTCGCATGTCGAGCGTTGCGAGAAATAGATCAAGGAGTGGTACATCTTTCTCGCGGCCAAGCTTGTTCCAGACGGGGGGCATCATTAAGCCAGTGTGCAGGTGACGCCTGTGCATTATGTACTGCGGTTCGCACACCCACTCGGCCACTTGGGCGAGCTCACGCCATTCAACGGTGGACGTCCCGCAGTGCACAAGTGCCCTCTGAGCTCTCAGAGCTTCCTGGAGGACCCAGACACGCATGAACCATGGATTGCGCAACAGCACCCATATTGTCCAAACATGCCAGTGGTTGCCGCCGTCTCTGGCAGTTTGTTCCTCATCAAACAACTCTTTGTGGAACTCGAAGAGTTCATCCAGATGATGCCAGGAGCTCTTACTCTGACCTTGCACATAGTGCTTTAGCGATTCTAGGCCGGAGTGTGGCGACCCCTCGCACAAACAGTGGCGACCGCCTTGACAGCCCTGGTCAACGTCGAGGTTGTAAGCATCTCGTATGACCCTAAGCGTTGGGCCGGAACCGCACTCTCCCTCACCAAGCCAGATGTGCACTGCCCTGGCCCGGGAATAGATACTGCCCATCAAGTTGACTTGGTGTTCCCTCTCTCCCAAATCGGCTTGGTTGATGCAAATAGCATCAACCCAGATCCTGAGGGGTTTGTCCTTGCAACGCAAACTTTTGATTGCCGACGTGACCGTGTGCGACACACTGAAGGCAACTGTTGAAGACGATGATTCTCCCGAGTCCCCATTCGTGATGCAAATATGATCTCGATTTGACCGTGGCCCCCAAAAGTAGGACAATGCCTCATAATCCAGCGTGCCGGCACCGGATTCACCAATACTTTCATATCTAAAGCTTCCGTGGATCGTGTCCTGAAAGGCTCCGGGCTCAACGATCAGTATGCGAATAGTATCATGGAATTTGTCGTCTTGTAGCTTTCGGGTGTAGAAAGCACAGTTGGTGGGGGAGATGACGCCTGTCGGTACAGGTTCATCGTCGAGTCCAGATGACTGATATTCGACCAAGATAGAGGCCTCTTTGACAATATTGACCCAGCCTCTGAATTCTGCTCGAGGAATGAGCTGAATCACGTCCTCGCCTTGTAGCTCTTGATGAAAAGCCCGCACGCCTAACGAGCTGCTATCGATATCCTGGGAACTCCACGCAAACTTCGCGGTGCGAAATTCCGGGTCCCCAGGGGTGTTTCTGTTCAAATGCAGCGGTGCGACGGACGGTCTGCCTGGCGGACGAAGTAATTCGGCTTCGAACCAGGTGAAAGAAGGAGAACCTGAGTCGGCCCATCCTAGGAGTGTGTTAGCCGTCGCCTGTGATACCTTGTCCAGCTTTGTAGTTATATTGCACATGCCTTGATCCCGAGAGACAATCTCAAATGTAACAGCGAGGACTTTGCCTGCATCGGGAGGGATCTCAAGTTCCACATAGGGCCGAGTGGGACAATATTGGTGTACCGTCACAAGGCCCGTATGTTGAGCGGAGACGATTTTCGACTTGGCTGGCATATTGCAGGAGCGGCTGGGGCGTCCGACTAACGCAAATGCAACTCAGTTGTAGAGAAACCAAAGAAGATGTGAAATAACCTCATGTTCGAATAATACACTCTTTGGTCGAGTGTTTGGTGTCGTTGCTAGCTTTAGATTCAAGTCTATAGAAAATCATTGTCAGGAACGGTATGCGGCGCACCGTTGGGGCGGGGAAGGTGTTTAGGCAGCGGTGAAGAACCAGAGCCCGACGGCTAAATTGGGGGAAATTGGGACATGGCACCGCCAGCAGTCCTAAGCGAATCAGTTCTACCCTCTAGGGTAGACTGGAGCGCAAAGTTCCTGACCCTGGTTTTCGCGCTGAACAGCGAATCAAAGCTGCGGCAAGGCCTCACGTAAGCAAGCTATCGACATGTTGAATGCTATCAGATATCATTTGGAAGCTGTGATCGTGGGCTGTTTGTTGGCTGTGGCTGGTGGTCGTGGACTTGTCTGAGGCTCGATGAACCAGACAACAAACAACTCGTGAAGACCAAAGTTCCCAGTATGGTTCATGTGATGATATCTACGGTCATCGGGATGATTCGATCGTACTCAGAACCCAAACTATGCCCATAAAACAACGAGCCTAGATCAAGATGCAATAAATCATACCCGACCACGCAATAGCACGTCTACTAGATGACTACCTACGCTCCAATGCATGCAACCCTCTCGGTGTAAACCATCGGCACAACTATGCTATAACGTCCTACAAGATCAACTAGCTGCAACGATAACAGCGGCGGAGAACCCTACAGCTTCTCATTGGGACCCGCGATCAGCATCTTGATGACCTCGCCCTCCTTGACCTTCTTGAAGGCGTCCTCGGCCTCCTTGAACGGCACCGTGCCGCTGATCAGCCTCTTGACGTCGACCTTGCCGCCGGCCACCAGGTCGATAGCGAGCTTGTAGTCGCCGCTGCCGTAGCGGAAGCTGCCCTTGGCCGTCACCTCCTTCAGACACATGGCCATGATGGGGAAGGTGATGTCGGACTTGCCCATGCCGCCCTGGACGTAGGTGCCGCCCATGCGCACGACGTGCAGGCTGGTCTGGATGCTGGGCTCGGCGCCGCTGGCGTCGATGACGACGTCGGCGCCGCCCTCGAGATCCGCTTCGCGCTTTATGTTGGCCGCGTTGTCCTCGGCCGCGATGCGCTGGGAGGTATAGATGTGCGTCGAGCAGAACGACTTGGCGAAGGCGAGCTTGGACTCGACGATGTCGACCGAGACGACCTTGGAGGCGCCGAACGCGCGCGCCACGGCCGCGCAGAGGAGGCCGACGGGGCCGGCACCCATGACTACGACGGATTGCCCCGGCGTCACGGCAGCTTGCCGCACGATGTGCACGGCCACGGCTAGCGGCTCGATCAGCGCGCCTTCTTGGAGGGACACGTTGTCGGGCAGCTTGTAGCAGAAGTCGGCGGGCGCGACCCAGAAGCCCGTCAGCGTGCCGTCGTAGGGCGGCGTCGCGGCGAACCGCATGTCCGGGCACAGGTTGTAGCGGCCGCCGAGGCATGGCGCGCACCGGCGGCACGGGTAGCCCGGCTCCAACGCGATGCGGTCGCCGGCACTGAGGGTGGTGACGGCGGACCCGACCTCGACGACGGTGCCGGCCGACTCGTGGCCTAGCACCATGGGGTCCTTGACGACGAAGTGGCCGATGGCGCCGTGCTCCCAGTAGTGCACGTCCGACCCGCAGATGCCCGTGTAGTTTACGCCGACTAGCACGTCGTGCGGGCCCTGCAGCGAGGGCACCGGCCGGTCGGCGAACGCGACATCGTGCGGCTTGTTGAGGATGAATGAGAGGTTCTGGTGGGTGAGTGTCAGTGAGATTCGTAGATGAGGGTGAGATGGGCACGCACGCTGGCGGACTTGGGGTCCATTGTGTAAGTGGGAAGCTCAAGCTTGTCTGACCCGGTAAAATAGTCCACGAGTATAATGGCGGGGATGCTGCGTGGGTGTTGTGTTTGAGTGAGCTGGAGGGTGAGAAGTGTTACAAGTGTGTCTGAATATCAGGAGGGGCCACTTGACGATGGTAGCGCATCTGTTGTCCTTCCCGCACCGCACTCGGAGCACTTTCCATGGCCAAATACATGCAAACTCATAACCACGATGGCGGGGCAGCTCTCCAAAGAATGTCGTAATGGCACCGCCGCGCCAGCGGAATGGCGGGTCATCGTGGGCGGTTCAGTACATACTGTATAGTGAATCGCACGCAGATAACCGCCTTTCCGATTTGGCTACATGTAGCACTAGCAACTTCAAATGCAGCTGCGGCTGGAGTTTATCCATTGACTTATGCGCTCCAATCGACTTGGACCTACTATCCGCACTTGGGGAATTGTGTCCATTGGGTTGGGATTGACGGGGTCGGGTTTTACGGCTGCTGTTAGGAACAGGTAGCTCAGGCAAGGAAAGCGACCTGACTATTGGGACCATGCGATACGATCTGGCAGGAAAGATGTAACTGCTTGAGTTACTGTGATGTCGACTTGAAGATGTGAAGTTCGGGGCCGTTCGCTCTTAAGCTGGTCATTGGCACTATACTACACAGTGACTGGTCCTGCTGAATCTGATATCGCACTGTATGCCGATCATAAGCGTGAGGAAGCCGCCCAGCCGCCGCGGGGCCATTAGGTGGGGCACAGACGGGAATCATGGATGGGGAGGAAATATGTCCGGCAGAATGGTTCACCGCCAAGAAAGTTCTCGATACCGCCTTTACAGCTTCCTCTTCGCTTTGCGCAACTCGAACCTCCAAGACTTGCCGAGACGAGGACCTGCCAGCTCTTTCGGAAGTAGTCCATGATGGATATTTTGAAGGTGCTTTCGCGCGGCACAAAGCGCGTACCCAACAAGCCTTCCAGCACCGTCGATTCCAAGTCTGCCACCAGACCTACGAACCCGCAACTTTACGGCGGATTGAAGCGCAAAAGAGAAGAGGAGCAGCCGCGGCTGGACGAAAACAAGACCAGTAAAGGACAGGAAGATTTCGATTTCTTTGCACTGCCAAAGCCCGAGAAGCCGACCCACGACACTGCCCGTGAGCAGCCACCGAAGCAAGAATGCGAAACGCCACTCTTGGATGAGCAGCAGGTCCGCCAGATACTGAAGACTCATCGGTTGAAATTCACTCTCTTGAGCTCCCACGATGAAAGGAGAACGAAGGTCAAGAAGTCCAAGAAGAAGGATACGACCAAGTCGAAAGCGAAAGATTCCAAGAAGCAACTCTTCCCACAGCCATTGACAGCCTTCTCCGAGCTACGAACGGCTTACAATGTATCGGCTCGATTGGCGGACAATATTGCGAAACAAGGATACCGGATACCTACCGAGGTGCAGCTGGGCAGCTTGCCGCTCTTGCTCCACCCGGAAAAGGCCATTCCGCCGGCTGCCGCAAGTGAGATGAACATTGCGACTGATGATGGAATTCATTTCTTGGGCGTTAGCCCGACGGGCTCTGGCAAAACACTGAACTTCCTCATACCCACAATCAACAGCTTGTTACGGCGGCGTGCCGGAGACGCAGACCAGAAGGCGCACGTCTTGGAATCCATCATCATTGCCCCTACGAGAGAATTGGTTCACCAAATCGTCAACGAGGGTCGGAAGCTTACCCAGGGCCTGGGTATCAGAATAGTAGGGATGAAGAAGGGTATGAAGATCCCCGCCGAAGGGCAGCCTGTCGACGTGCCAGATTTCCAAACAGAGTCGGGAAGCGAGTCTGAAGACGACAGCTCCAGTAACGACGAGGAAAAGTCGTGGACAGCTAAAAGAGCGACGACCACGAAGCCTGATATACTCGTCGCGACACCGCGGCTCCTGCAGATGTTCCTGAGATCTAGAACACTGCCGACTGTTCGGTCGCTGGTGCTGGACGAGGGAGACGTTATTCTCTCCGACCTGTTCCTCGATCAAGTATTGAGTATATGGTCCGCCTGCACCCATCAATCTTTACGGCTCACGTGTTGGTCAGCCACCATGGGGTCTCACATCGAGGAACTGGTACTGAAACAAGTTCAATCGCGAGATCCTCCCGGCCAGCCTGTGCCACTGATTAGACTTGTGGTGGGTCTGAAAGACACCGCGGTCCCACGAATCAATCATAAACTCGTGTACACCGCTACCGAGCAAGGCAAGCTCTTCGCTCTTCGCCAGATATTCCACCCCAAGTCGTCAGATGACTCGATGCCGCCTATGCGACTCCCTCTGTTGGTGTTTACGCAAAGCATAGAACGGGCGACTGCCCTATACGACGAGCTAAAGTTCGATGTTCCAGCAGAAGCCGGTGGCTCAACACGGATTGCCGCGTTACATTCATCACTTTCAGATTCTGCTCGCTCCGGGATTGTTTCCCGCTTCCGCGCCGGCGAGATTTGGTTCTTGATTACGACGGACCTGCTGATGAGGGGAATGGATTTCCGTGGCGTGAACGGAGGTGAGTCCTACAGCCCCTTGACCTGTCCCACTCATTCTCCACCTTGCGTCATTCTCCTATTTCCTTCCCCTCCTGACTGTCTCTTCCCCCTTCTCCTGTCTATTGGTCTACTGTGCGTCTTTCCTGCAGTGTTTCCTGACGTGTATGGTCTCCAGTCATCAATTATGATATCCCAACATCTGCCGCAGCATACGTACACCGGGTTGGAAGAACGGGTCGCGCAGGGGAGAGCGGTAATGCGGTGACTTTCTATACCCAGGACGATGTGGTACACTTGAAGACTATCGCCAACGTCATTGCCTTGAGCGAGAAACAGGCAGGGAAGGAAGGTGATGAAGGGGTACCAAAGTGGCTGATTGATTCGCTGCCAAAAGTGAGCAAAGAGGAGAAGAAAAACCTCAAAGAGAGGGGTGTCGAGTCACGACGCGGCACCAAAGCCAAGATCACTTCGCAAAGTGCCTGGGAGAGGCGGAAGGAGAACAACAAGCGAGGCGCCATTGAGGGCAGCAAGAAACGCAAGATGCAGGGGACCGCGGACAATGCCCGAGGAGGCGGAAGGAATGAAAGCGAGTGGAGTGGCATCGATGATTGAATACCACCAAATCCACCGGACCGATACTGGTTACTTGATCTGACACAATCGCGTACCCTTCCATGGACGCTTCCGGTCATCAGTGTCATTTGTTGGTGTACCCGTTGGTCATATGGAAGCCAACATTCCTCGGTGATCATTTGCAGTACTTGTCGACTCGTTGTGTCACCGCGGAATACCGACAAGGCGGATGGGATGGCCTGTGCACAGCTACAATGCGTTGGAATGGCCATCGAGAAGCGAAACAGCCACGGTCAGGAAACCCCAGGAAATCGATATCGCCGTTTGCAGATGGCCATGTCAGTTGGTCAATCGTGTAACTGTGCGTCACCCCTCATCATGACCGAGCCGGTCAATGCCAAACCTCGGACCAACCTCAAGGGTTCACCCTGCACTGCAGGTGATTTTGTGTGGGCGGCGTTTGTCACCTAGCACCAGGACCTTGCTGTCTTCTGGTCTTCTTCTGTTTGTTGGTATCCTTTAGATGAACGTTCCCCCAGCATGATTCTGTCTCCCATGGGCGCGGGTTGGTCATCGCTCTTCGAGAACAAAGAGATTCGCCAACGCGATTGACTCCCAACATGCTCCGCATCGCATCACCCGTACCGTGGGTAGTCAACTGTCTATAAGTAATCGAGTTTTTCGTTTCCAGCTCGCTTTTCCGATCTTCTGCTACCTCACCCGGCTTCTGCACTCAGTACCTAGGTATAGCTCATGCGACACCTTATTGCGCACCACTCGGTCCACTTGATCGTATTTTCTTCCCTGAAACCCTCTAGCCTCTACTGCCTACTTGCCTGCGCGATGTCCGAAGAGGCCTCTCGGGAGATGCAGGGGCCTGCGCCGATATCTGGTGATGTCCGAGCCACAGCACTCGATCTAGAAAAGATGCGAGGGAAACTCATTAAGGACCCCAAAGGAAGACGGCTCTAGATCGTAGAGAGAGAGAGCCAACTACTGGAACTTCGACAAGTCGCTGATCAGAGGACCCAAACATCTCAATGACCAGAAGTTCTTTGCACTGCCGAAGCCCAAGCGGCTTGAATATTCAGAGCCCAGGCCGGTATTGAAGAAGAGTACGTGATAGGCCCTTCCTTTCTTTTTTCATGATGCTCACGTAGTCTTTCATGAACTCTAACGCGTGCTAGCCGTCCCCTCAAGTACTTCAATCCATGGCCTGGGAAGACCATGCCGTGGATCGACATCCACTGTCCCGTCGGTGTGGAGGTAATCAACAAGATGATCGACGAGGCTCTGAAACAATTGGAATAAAATGCAGTCCTACAAAGGCTCCTTGCCTTGCAAGGTACGGGAGGCGATCAAGGCTATACCTAAGCCTGAACGCATCAGGAAAGTCGTGTGCATTGGTCTAGGCAGCTTTGCGCTTCCATCCACTGGAACGCTTGGACCATCTCCGGAAAACAGGAGAGACGAGCGTCCGATACCCGGCCCTAAAGACGCACCAGCTCTAAACCCTGGTGGACTTATCCAGCATGTTCTCGCAATCTCCACCGTCAAGCAACTATACGAGTTGACAGGCAAGACTCCCCAGCTTTACGCCGCTGATCCAGGTTACACCCAACCCCACAAAGAGGCCCTTGAGAACCTATCAAATGTCAAGTTCAAGATTCTTGACCCCAGCTATGGTTTTCACGAGCAATTCGTTGAGATAGACGACTCCACGATGGTCATATCTATCCTCCCACAGTCACCAGTTGAGTTGCTTGTGAGCGAATATGCTCGACCGGTGGCCATGATTCGGACAAATGGCTGGACGCGTGGACCGCCGTTTAGCGAAAAAAAGGATCCAGACGAGGATATGTACTGGTACGAGGCGGAAGTTGGGGAGCCTGACGGACAGACTATGAAAACTCCTGGTTGTCGGTAAGTGCATTGACCCTCTAAGTTAACGTTACTGTCCTTAGCGCTATCCCCCTGCTTGGCTCTGTCATCGCTAACAGCCTAATTTCTAGGTGGTTGGATATGCCTCGAAGAGTTCATGCCATGATCAGCACAGACTACAAGCTATGTGAGAAGTTTCCTGTTGAAGCACCCGCCAATGACAACGGGGACGGATATGATCTGCTGTCCAACATTGAGCACGGACATTACCGCGATGTCCGTGCTGATGGTTACTGGAAGTCTTATACTCACATGTACGTGCGAAAGTACTAGCTGGGCTCGCTGCGACTTTGAAACTCTTTTGTTGCCGAGCCGGTCAGAGAGCTTCGACGGACGGGCGCGGAGCATTGTTTGGCGGCTGATTTTCACGGATAAGGCGGCTTCCTTGGCAATACTGGTTCTTAGAATATCACGTCTTACTTCGCTCTAGTAAATACTTTCTAGTTTCCCATTTAGGACATGCTGTCATTTGACATTTTCCCCTTAGACGTTGGCACAGGAACAACTGAACACCCGCTCGTCCTAGATGGCTCTTCGCGTATGTCGACAGTGTTTGAGACGGCACAGAAGATTCAAGTGTCCTGGCAAATCCATAGGGTGATGATGTCAGCGGCCATAGTGCCAAGTCAGAGAAGACGCCAGAAGCCATCACAGACTCGCGCGGACAGCTGGGGTAGCCATGTTGAACGTTTGGGCTCGTGGCGTACAGAAATAGAGAGAAGGCTGGCTGGCTCCCAAGTACAAGAGTTTTCCCTTGCTCATTGAGCGTGGAGGCGACGCAGTTCTACGATATGAACCATTTTGGGAGCGCAAGAGGAGTGCTAAAATTGGGAAGGAAGTCGATCCTAAATGCGCTAGTCACATTGTGTGAGATTTCAAAGTGTTCTAGTATTAGACGGGAAGAGAAGAAGGTCTCTGGGAGAGAAGCCCCCAAATATATGTACAGGTGTGCCATCAGGGTGACCAGATAGTCGTACGATAATACCGCCAGGGTGACCAGATAATCATCTGATAGTGGCGCAAGGTGAATGCCATGAAGCTAAGCCTATCAGCGCATTCACCACCGAAAGCCTCAGCCTGGTACGATATCCAACACATTGATACGTCAATGGAGATATGAGCCCTAAAGTCGTTGCGCGAACGATAGGCCGGGGACGGATCCAGAAGCAGAGCTATCTTCTCCGCCACATCCTATGTAAATATACTATTAATCACAGGGCTGCTAACTTGACGACTCCCCTCAACCTCCGATGACTTCAGAGGTATCTGCACGGGTAAAATATAGGGCTATATACAGAGCCAGGCCCTCCAGCATAGTGTTTGTTCTTCTATTTTGGATGCTGATGACCTGTATATGTGCAGCGTACACGTACACAAACGAGTATATTTCGTATGAAGGATCGGGCCCCTGGCGGATCCGCCGCGGGTCGATAGCTGGCGTGGGACTACGTAGGCGACCGGGGTCCGGCACTGGAATAGACACGAGAGCGGGATCTAGGCCGACTGAGAGAAAGGCTACAAGGGTCAAATGACGTTAGTCTCGACACATTTAGGACAGCTCCAGGAGTTGCACGCCGCTGAGGATTGGGTTCCCTGGGTAGATCAGAATAGCTGCTCGCTACAGGGAAACACCGGACCAGTTGAAATAGAGTACGTTCAAGGTGTGGCTCCGGTTTCGATATGAAGAGTGTATTGCTATTGGCACATATATTTGCTATACTCTTTATGTAGTTACATTATCAATCCAAATCTTGATGCACATTCATCCTGCCGGACACTCCTGTCCGCCACCTTGCCTGATGGATTCACCCGCTGCAAAGACAGTGGACCTTGCGGGGCATTTCGCTCTCTATGCTAATTATATCATAGACAACGGGAACGTTAAGATGTTGATCGTCATGTGGCGAAATACTGCTATTATAGGTGACAAGGCCATGTTTCTAGTGGTGCGTAGCTTTAGAGTTTTAGCCGTGCTGTCTTAAACGTTACATATAGAAAGAACAAGGCCCGCTGGTTGAACGGTTGCATCGACCTAACCTCTGTGGTGTCTATCAACCCATCCTCGCAACTCACTAAGTGTATCGAATTAAACTATCAACCAGCTCCGTCCTCGCCATCATACATCCAAGCAACATGAAGTCGACCCTCATGGGGGCGGTCCTGTCTTTAGCGGCCCTCACCGGTACGTTGGCCGCGAGTTTGGGAAATTCATCGTCTCTGAGCACCAAGGTAAAGCATGTCCATCTTTTCGGCCCTCGAGTAGCACCTAATAGGTCCCCTTGCCGTCGTTCAGCCCATTATTATGAGCTTTGCTGACCAGAGCCCGACTCGCAGCGCGGCGGCAAACAATATCACGATGATGATGTCGATCTCACAAGATGGAACGATGCCAGCTTCATAAGGGAACAAGAGGACTACATCCAGCATATACAGCCCTCGTGGAACTCGCCTGTAGTATACGATAGAAATGATCTGGCGAAGGTCGAGAGGAAGATCGCGGCGAAATCCACAAAGTTCCCCTTTTGGGCGTGCAAATGGGGGAGCATATGCACATCGGGGCTCGTGGCTCGGGGGGACTTCAACTGCAAGGCCTGCATTAGGTTCGTTCCACAGTACAAGACCAAGGCTGGCGTACAAGTGGAACCCCTCGAGGAAGGCAAGGGGTATACGGTGGACAGTATCTGAAGCTATGCAAGCATCAGGCAAAGAGGCCGATTATTTGCAAAGCTGGTTTGGGTCTGGCTTCCCCTCTTTTTCGATCATTCTGCAGACAGTAGGGCGTTATCATAGAACTTCCTCAGCGGTGTAGATCACAGTGACCTCCAAGTTCTCATTCATCGTTGCGCTGGTCGCAGCATCTGATCTAGCACGTCGGAACAACTCAACTTGCAAATAGCTATGTGTTGTGTTACAAGATGGAAGCCCCCAGGGCAAGATGCTTGTATGAGTCACTGCAAGGGTGCTTCATTGTCTCTGCTAGGGCAGAAAGCATATGTGTCTGATATCTCTACCAAAGGTTTAACCGTAAGCCCGAAAAAACTGCCATAGGAGTGACCTCGCGCTTCGCCAGTCGGTAGCCCAGCCATATGTATACGAGCGGCATAACAACGCGAAGCACAGTGAGTAGGGCTATTCTAATGCTTCGCAAAAATCCCAGCGTGAAGCGGCGGTTCACGCCAGCCGTCTCATTCACGTGCGGGAACGGCACATCCGGGGTATCCTTTTCGAGAAACCTGGCCAGGGGCTCCCAGCCATCGCCCATCTTGTACTCGAGCAGCTGCTGGGGCCGGACCAGGGCGCGGACCACGCGATGATGCTCGTCGTACTTGTGGCGGCACCGCGCGCGCGCTTCCGCCAGGCTGTTGGCTTCGAGCCACCCTGACAGTAGACTGCGTAGTCCCCACATTGTGTTGGGGGTCGGGCCTAGAGGCTCCAGCACGTGTTGCCAGATGGCCGGTAGTGGCCCGAATACGCCCTTTAGGAGCGTGTCCTCGATCGACTTCTTCCATTTGTCAAACGGGCGCACGACTAGGACGACCTTGGCGTTGGGGTATGTCTTGATCAGTTCGGGTGCTAGGAAGCCAGCTGCGTCGGTGACGCCTTGATACTGGCCTGGTTTTCAAGATATGTCGTTAGCCACGGACATCACTTCTAAGAAAACTGTGAGTGGCGAGATTGCCATGGACGACATTTGATGGTTGATGAAGAAAATGTGGTTGCATGTACTTACCAAACCAGCTGTCCCATCTCTCCTTGGGCCACGGTCTTGCCTTCCCATCACGGCCTTGCAGGTAGGGGAAGTGATCATGCGCTGCCATCCCCCATTTGCGAAACTCGTCGTCAGAGACGAACTTCATTATGTGGTGGACATGGCTGTAACCGAGAGTGTTGAGCGCCATGGCCATGGAAAGCGAGCCGGTGCGAGGCAAACCAACTGATAGAATACCCTCACCTGACGCGAGGCTACCCCTGATGAGATCGGGAGGAGGGGCGTGGCAAGTCATCTTTGCTTCGAAACCCGTGTCAAGCTTCGGACACTGTCTCAATCAAAGGCTATCGGGGAATATTATAGAGCTGTGATGCCATGGCTGGGCTTCCCACAACGCATCGAAGCAGTAACGTTACATGACATCGCAACAGATCGCAACATACCTGATTCGCCGTCGCAGGTATCATCTCTCATTGGTAGCTACCCTGCAAGTCTCGTCATCAGCTGACTTTGGAACTGTCAGCTTTAATGTCGCCTCTTTGGGTGCTGACAACCCCGTGTTCCCTTTTCTTGGTAGCCTTTCTTGGTAACCGCTGATTTCTCCAACTTGCGGCATACGTCGGACACTCAAGCTTGGCCTAGCTAAGCTTGAGGCAGACGGACCCGGGCACAGCCGCAGCCGGTGTACAGGGAACGGGTCCAGGACACGTGTGTGTATAGTGACCGTTGAAAGTTAGGAGCTATGGTGATCCATTTTTAACCCTGGGTACAAGTAAGTATAGAAAATTCACAACCTGCAGGATGCTGAGTCAACCGCAGGGCGCTGGGAGCCCAGATCTTACCATCCTCACCCAAGCCTCCACAAGTCTTCGGCGTATCGTCTCATGTTGGCGAGCTAGAGGATATGGTCGGAGGCATGCGGGTTGAACCTGACGGCATCAATACCACCTCAACCCTATATGACCTCACACCGCAGTAATCGCTCGGCAATAGACGAAGAGTTTCGCACGCCGCACTGCAGTGCGCACGCAACTCTCGAATGGAAGCGTGATCTCGAGGTTTTGGTTCATAAATGCCCTGGTTGCAGTATTTGGTGCATTCGTCGAGGCTCGACCGGGGCAGGGCTCGGATCGCACAGGCTGCATCGTGGAGGGTACTGTATCACACTGTGGTCCAAAGTCGACGAGCCTGACGCGCTCAGCAATCGGGTCTTGTTCGGTGGCTATGACTGGGGCAGGTTCTTCGGCATTTTGCTTCGGCGTGATCGAGGACCCAGCACATCTATGTGAAGGTTCTCTCTGGGGGTGTGGTTCTAGAGGCTGGGTATGGGATGGCTCTGCTTGCTGGGCGTACTATGAGTGTTAGTAGAGTCTGCCAGTGATCATGAATCTCTTTCTTTCCGTTTTCTTACGTGCGAGTGGGAAGTGTGCTCGAGCAGTGTGGTTTGCTGATAGCCATCGCCTTTCGTCTTCGACACCTTGCGTGACGACAAGGCTCGCCAAGCAAAGTTTGCGTGAGCTGACCAGATGTCACCACCGATTTTAATGGTGTTGGGTGAGCTGTTGGCTGAGATTTGCCCCGATACCTGTTCAACTCGGTCTTGAATGATTGCAAGTGTGGCAGGTCGAGAATGCATGCAGGGGGGGACGACACAGGCTCGCCGCGAGTGTTGGGGAACATGGGGATCAGAAGGCGAGATGTTTGCGGCACTGATCACATACCAGTCTATGTGTAACCCAACCGAGGTCATTGGTTGTAGGGCTGGGGGTTGATGGAATGAACGTTGGGTATGACACACTTTGAGATCTTCAGGGGAAGCAAGGGGTCCCCGGGAAGGCGACGAACTTCTGTGCGACGGACATCTCGGCTAATAATTCTTGACCAATTCCAAGCGTGCCTCTGCAGGTTGGTCTCTTTCACGGTTTGACATCGCTTGGCCAGATGTACGAATACCTCGCGTGTGACTCGCTTGTCACCCCAACGGCTTCACCTTGCCTCCAACGACGTGACGTTTCCGGTCACTTGATAGCCACAAACCAGTTAACATGACCTGCTTGCCGTCTCATAGACGTCGGCTATCACCAGCACGCGACACCGCCAGAGCAGGACAAAGAGTGATGCCTATGCTCCCAACATCGAACGGTGACGGCACTCGAGGGAGTTTGTTGTTTGTTTTGTTTGTTTTGTATTTAACGTGGGGGGTAGCTCCTCAGTAGTGCAAACCACGCCTCCCAGAGCCTCTGTATCGCAGGGTTGTGGAGGTCTCAAGATAATAAGTACAGTCAGTCCCGCTCACGGGCCCATCCCCGTTGTTGCGGCGGTATGACCTTGGGGTCATCCATCTGGTCCTTCAAGAAAAGCTATCTATCAGGGACAGATTGTTAAAAAGAACTTGCTCTTCTTTACGAATTTTGCCCATTCTGTGCTTCTCTCCCCTAAGTATTGTAAACAAGCTGTTTTAGGCAAGTACCTAAGTAGTAGCCGGTTTTTCCCCAGCCTCTTACAAAAGAAAATATATTGTGGTGTTTTCTTTTTACCATAGCTGTAGTGATCATTCGAGTCTATATGCCCAAAGCGTTCATGGTATCTGGCAAAGTCGCCATGTCCAGATCTGGCCGCTAGAAGTCTGTATAAAGTACTCTTCTTAAAAAGATATAAGGTCTCTTTTAGTTACTGCATATGAATATATTTCTTGATACTTAGGTTCTGATTGGTCTTTTCATTATTGGTTAAACTCTTTCTTGCCCTTTTTTTTGAGATCTCTCTTGACCCAAGAGATTATAGGAAGGTTTGTTATGTCTGTTTCTAGCATGGCATCCTTTTTTATTAGTATGTTAGCAGCTTTGTTACCATCAATATTCCTGTGTCTAGGAATCCACTTGACGGTCACTCCAGGAGTGTGTGCCGTGGCAAGTTCTTGGAATCATAGAAAAATGTTCTGTGATGTCTCGGGTGGAGTCCCATTGAGCCCATCTATCACTGACGTGTTGTCCAGGCAGACATATAGCCATTTTCTGTGTCTAATTGTCCTGGCTGCTGCGAGACCTTAGAGAGCGCTATGGACTTCAGTATCTATTATTTCTGCTTGAAGAAGTCTGTCTTTTCCCCGGTATACTTCTTGTATGGTGCCGCCTTTCCTGATGGTATAACCCCATCCAGTGCGGGTTGTGCCTTGGTCGTTCAATTGTGATCCATCTGAATAGATGACAAGGTCAGTGTTCACGTTTCTTTCCTGTAGCCATTGGTTGAAGAGCTCTATTTTTTTGTCTTTGTCTTTGCGGATTGGGGGCTTCTTTTATGATGGCCTGGTAAGTGTTAATCTCTGGAAGTCAGGGACTGTGACGGCTGTGGCGGCCTGCACAGACCTTCCCACATGACAAGTGGATACCTCCCAATAGGGGAAGGATCTGACCAGAGGATCCCCTTAAAGGGGCAACCTCCCACTGTACCTATCTCTCTCTCTCTCTTCCTTTCCTCTCTAGTCTTGATATTCTCGTCAATAGAGTAATAGCTGCTTGCTGCCGGCCATGTCCCAGCTCCTCAGTACGCTCGCCGTGACAGGGACTAGCTGGAAGCTCCTTTATAGCCTTGTTGGATTCTTGCGAGCTTGTATTTGGAGCCTGTCAACAAAAGGGTGTCTCTGGTCTATTCGTCCTAGTCGGAGGCCGTGACGTCGTTTTATTGACTCTGCAAGAACTCCTGCTGGGGGAATCTGCAATTTAAAGTATAGGATATGTCCAGGGTGTGTTTTCCAGACTGGCAAGATAGCCCTGATCGCTATTCATAGTACGGCATCTATCGTTCCAAGAAGCCCCTTAATATGACATGCTGATGTCCCACCTAAGCTCCCAACTTTCTGGATTCCTGGGTACCAGGCCTCCAGGCCGTGTGTAAGAATAGGAATAACACAAGCTTTCACAGCCCTCTTAGTTGACTTTACTGGAAGTCTTTTGACTGTGTTGCATAGTCCTCGAAGGTGATTTGCTACCTTATTAGCTTTCTTGGCCCAGTAAGAAACGTGATTTTTGAAGTTTAGTTTTCTATCCAGAAAGACACTCAGTCATTGTATGGAGTCCTTTGCTATTTTATTCATTATCCTGTGGCAGACTGGAGGGTTGTCTGAGTTCTTTTTTTTTGAGAAGTGCATGATCTCAGTTTTGTCAGGGTCAAATTCAATAGCGTTGTTATGTCCCTATTAACTGAGCAAATAAAGATTTTTAAAAGCCTCTATAGCTGTTTCCTTAAGATTCTTTCCAATACAGAGATTCGCTAGGTCGTCTGCATATCTAAAGCGTCTCTTTTTCATATCAAGTCGGGCACAGATTGGCTCTGTATACAGCATGTAAAGGATTGAAGAGGCTGGTGAGCCTTGTAGTAGCCCACAAATGAGAGCTTTAATATCGGTCACAATACCTTCAAACCGAACCCTTGCGGACCGTTCGGACATGAATGACTGGACCCATCTTATGAGAAAGCCCGGCCAGCCCTGTTCTCTCATGCGAACCACCAGCCGTCCCATTAGGGCAGCATTAAAGGCCCCTTTCACATCTGACGTGACTATTGTTACAACGAGGCCTTGGTCAAAGGCCTGCTCAATATCGTGTATAAGTGCAGCTACCAGGTCAGTGGCAGAGCGCTTTGGTAGAGCTCCAAAATATTGTGGAGCTAGAATTCTAAGTTTAACAACAAACCAGGTAATTCTTTTTGCGATAAGTGGTTCTAAGTCTTTGCCAAGACACGACAATAGCAATATTGGTCTGTAGGCCCTGGGATTGGAGTAGTCTTTCTTTCCTGGTTTTGGGATCATCACTACCTCAGTTACTTTGAATGGTTTAGGGTGGTGTCCAATCTGTAGACAGGTCTGGAAAAGGGCTCTGATATATTCCCCAATGAATGGCCAGCAAGCTTTCAGAATCCGTACTGTGAGGGTGTCTACTCCCAGGGAGTTGTTCTTGGTCCCTAAAGTACACCCTTCAGCCTCTTCCAGTCCGACATGGTATTCAAGGGAGATGTATGGCTTGGGTTGTGTGATCTGAGCGGACCAGGGGTCGATGATATTGTTGTCTGAGGTATTTTGTTCAAGCGTGGCTGAGCGTAATGCATTTGCCTTGCTTTCTTGTGACTCGAATATTTGGTCTCCTATGATGATTGGAGGGGAACGCAATCCTGCTGATAGCTTGTGCCAAGAGACGATTCTGTATAGGTCCTTTGGCTCAGTTGCTGAATCAATTAGAGTCTGCCAGTACTCTCTCCTAGCTTTCTGAACCACGCGGCGAAATTCCCGTCGGGCTGAATTCTGACCTTTTTGGCTTGTAATCTGTTTAGAAAGGGCCTTGTATGTCTGAACAGCTACTTTGCAGTCATCATTCCACCAAGCAGTGGGCCTAAATTGACGGGGCTTCTTGCCCACTGTCCTGATACAGCCTTGGATCATGTTGATCAAGCTTTGTGTAAAGGCATCCACCTGGTCAGGGGATACACCCAGCCGGGGGAGTTCATGAATCCTGGTTTGGACATTATCTGCCAGCTCTTGTAGTTTATCATCCGGTACTATCCAATGATTGGCCTTGGGGACTCGGTCTAGATCTCTATGAATTGGAATGACTATTCGTAATGTCTCATGATCTGAAGTGCACTGGAGTGCATCATTCACTGAGGCTTCGGCCATAGGGACATCTGAGAACACCAGATCTAGTACATTTCTGTCATCATGTGTTGTGACATCTGGTTCAGAAATCAGATCCAGTCCGTGGTCTGCCATAGTCTGTGTAAGTATGACACCACCATGATATCCTGGATTGCTCGAGTCCCAGGATGTATCGCCAGCATTGAAATCTCCAGCTATAACGCAGCCAAAAGGTGGAGTCCATACTTCCAGAATGTCATCCACTTCCTGTGGGTTGTCACATGGCCGGTAGACACTGGCAAATGTAATGCCTTGTACCTTGACCCAGGTGATGTCTCGTGTAGCATAGGGCCGAAATTGATCCGCTTAAAGGTATTTTCTCACATAGATGAGAGATCTGGGCCGTGTACTGTCGCTGTCCCAGGAATCCACTGGGGAGAATATATCGTAATTAGGGTGTGTCTTTACTCCCATTCTCCTGCCTGGTGGTATGCCAACCCAGGGCTCTTGCATCAGAATGATGTCTGCTTGTTCTCCTTTATAGTCAGCCAGGTTGATGGCTAACTCTGTAGGGCCTGCACTCTTTTGTCCCCCTGCTGTATTCACAGAATGGATGACTAGATGCCTGTGTCGATATGTTTCGTTTGATGTACCTAATATTGACTGACAACAATGGTATCGGCATCTCTGGGATGATTTGTATCTGTTGTGTCGATTTGCATTGTGGTGTCTTTGTTATTGTTGCTAGGTGTTGACCCAGCTTGGTTTCTGCCTGCTTCGTTGAAGGCCTTGGATCTGGCTCTTTCTCCGGCTAGCCTTATTTCCTGGATTTGCTCCCATGTGTGCTTATGGATGGTACCTTTCACAACCTTGGGGCGGGCAGGGCATTTGTCGAAGTTGGCAGCATGAGGTCCTTTGCAGTTGACACACTTTGGGATTGGTTTTTCGCACTCTCCCTGGTGTACTGTGTTGGCGCAGTGTGCACATACTTGCTTTTCGCATCGGTAATTCCTACCATGGTATCTGAAGCAGCTTGCACACTGGTGAACCTTGGGGGGGTGTTGAATATGCCTTGAGGTCATTGAGTGGGCAAAAAGCGTGAATGGTTTCCTTGCTGCACTGGGCAGAGAGATTATCCATGTAGTTTCCAGATCAGAATCAATTGTGTTCCTTGAGAGTATGCATCTTAAAGGTCTGTCATCTGTTTAGGCTTTAATTTCATTAGTAACAATAATGTCGGTAATATCGATTATCAATCCTTCTGTATTGATGACCTTTCTTGGGCATCTATCGATCTTATAGTGATGTCAGACTGTGTGGGTCTTGATCTTTTCTGCCTTAAGAATATCAGTAATTTCTTTTTAGAAGGCCAGGAGCTTAGCCTGAGTTGGCTTGTCCCTTGGGTGTAAGGTAAATCCGGAGGGGCACCGGGTCACTTCTCTAAGCTCTTGAAGGTGGAGCTTAAGTCTTCTGTTCAGTATAGACTTTATTCTGTAAGGCTCTAGGTGGCTATTATCCATGTGGACAAAGACCCGGAGATTATCTTGTTTCTTTTTCAGTTGGTTGGTAGTGATGCGGGCGTCAGGCTGTGTTTTCTTTATGGTAGTGTTGACTGTTTGTGGATGCTGTCATTAGCTAGAGGAGACAGCTTGGGCAAAGGTTATGGTGGGCTTTACCATTCCTATCCCCCCAGGGATGGTCTTCTTTTTGGGTAGATCTTGGGTTTCCAGCCACTCAATCAGACATTTAGAGAAGAAAGCGCTGAATTCCTTGGCATAAGAGTATAGTTCGGTTCCAGCTTTCTCAAGTGTCTTATCAACCGCTGTAACACACTCTTGAAATATTGTCATCCTGGCTTCATAAAGATGCTTGTCTTTAGCCAGTATTCTGGCAACTTGGTCTTGGCACTCTGAGGAGGAGGTTTTATTCCCTATATCGCGTATAATGGCTTGGTCTGTCGAGATTTTGTTCAATTGAGGCTGTTTCATTCCAGTGGTGCTGCTGTCATTAATATTTTGGGATTTTCCTTTTAGAGGGGAAATAACGGTGAAGTCAGCCTCAGAGACCTGTGACGGGCTGCTGCTGATGTCGTCAAGAAGCGCCTGGCGGAGCCTGCTCGGAGTTGCCGGGCCGTATGTCTTTCTAGGGACCAGGGATTTGAGCACGCCGCCGGTGGTCGTCTTTGGGACAGCCATAGGCGTGTTTGGGGGCCCGTTATGGAAGGGTGCCATCCGGCTTGTGAGAAAATTCTCTTGTGCCTTGGCAGAGATAGTCAGTTATTGAGAGAAGTGCCTGCTTTAGTGCAAATATCAAGGTTGCGCCCTAACAGCGGGGCGCCAAGAAAAATAGTTGTTTTTGTGAGGCTGTGTGGCACTCGAGAGAGGATCTGTGATTCCGATGACTATAAAGGATGTCCATTTTCTCCTGTCTCCTGATTTCACTTCATCATCATCGTTCACCGCCGCGCCCCTTGCATCAGAGTCCACGACTTGGCTCTTGAGCCTCAGCGGAGCTACAGCATCCATCCGAACCTTTCTCGTGCTGGCCAGCGCTTCTGATCACCCATCTTCGCCGACAAGATGTTCAACGCACAAGACAATTCGGGCTTTGAAGAATTCGAGGCTTCAATTGCCTCGAGATACAGTCATATCGAAAATAATTTCCTGGACCTTGAAAAGATGAGGAAGCTGCGAAAGGACGATCTGGCTGAACGCGAACGTCTAATCAAAGCGATATGCAATTACTGGCTTTTTGACAATCCCTCTATCCGATACGGTCCTATGTGGTACAGCACATGGTTAGAGACTACGGGGACTTTTGACGATGATAAGGACATCAAGCCAGAGTACTTGAAAGTCAACACCGGACTTGCATTGAATCCACCACACAAGTATGTCCTGCGTCAAATGTTACCCATATGGAGAGTTACTAAGACAAGCCAGATTTTCGAAGATCATTTTCACAGGTGGCCTCAGAACTCCAAGGGTTGGCATTTGCATCAAGATTCTTTCATGCATCCCAAATTCATGTACGACATCTTTGAAATGGCTTTGAAACATGGGCATCAGGGTACCAGCAGATCAAAAGCCCTGGACAGGGCAATCGAAAGTATCCCGAACCCTGAGCGGATCAAGAAGGTGGTCTGCATTGGACTCGGCAAGGTTTTCAAGTCTACCTACCTCGCAAAATGTCACGAGCTGCAAGTCAACATCCACCCTAGTCACCTTGCTCAGCACACTGCGGCAAGGGCCATTGTTGAGATTCTGCGATCGAAAACACATCAAGATGTCCAGCTGCACGCAGCTGATCCTGCTTACGGTCGCAGACACGAAGAAGTCCTGACGAACCTCCCTGGAGTGAAGTTCAATGTTCTCAACCCTATCTACGGACACCATTAGCAGTTTCCTAAGATTGACAATTCCACATTGGTCATTGCTATCTCTGCTTGCGGATGTCCCGCCCGTTTCACAACGACTGAATATGCCCGACCTGTAGCGTTTATAACGGAAGGTCTTTATAGAGATGTCAGGGACAAGCACGGGGAAGAGTTCACCGGTCCAGACAAGCCCCTACTCTGGTACGAAGTTGACGACCGCACCCACGACCCGGCCAACGAACCAGATTCTGGGAAGAGCCGGAAACGTGTGCCAATACCCGGCTGCCGGTGAGAAGAGACCATCTATTGCCTCCACTCTCCAACACGTCCGCTACCGAATACCCTTTCTCTCCTTCCTCTGATCACACGACAATCGGGTTTCACCACAGTTGACGTTTAGCATAGGAGCCACACCGTGACCAAGAGGATCTATGACATATTCGATACTGAATATGAACTCTTTGAGCCATTCCCAGTCGAACCTCTGGTAGGGGCTAAGGGAAGGTTTGACCTCGTTTCAGAGTACATGTTCGACAACCATGTCACCAAGATTCCTGTACCAACTGATGCGGAATTGGCAGAAAATCCTGGGCTTCACCCTGATTTGTACCATTACTACAACCCCTCTGTTCGCATGCACATCCGCAAGGATTGACCGGTGAAGAGTGAGAGAGCTTTTCGTAGTACGAGGTGGAATAATAGGAGTTGGGCCACTTGAAAGGACGTCGCGAGGGAGACCTTCGCTGGGTATGGTGTTGGGATCTTGACTGATGGTTCTGGAACGCTACAAGGACGATGTCTGTCAGATTTGAGCCAATCGTCAGAGTGAAGTGTGTGTGTGTATTCTCTCTGTCTGGAGTGTCTCTGTGCGACCGTGGCAGTTTTGTGCCAGAGGGGGCTGGATCGGGACGGAGCAACTAGGTTCCGGTGTCTACCTATCAAGGTGCCCTCTGGGCTCACCTTTAATCCAACAATGTTGGACTTCTACGGCTTTCTTTTTTCTTTTCCTTGTTTCCTTGTTTCTCTTGGGGTCTTTCGGTAGTACTTTGTTTTCGAGGAGTTGGCGTAAGTTTTCAGTTGAAGTCTAATGTGGACTGCCGGGATCGTCATGGACGAAGCTGTGACGGCCTGCACAGACCTTCCCACATGACAAGCGGATACTTCCCAATAGGGGAAGGATCTGACCAGAGGATCCCCTTAAAGGGGCAACTTCCCACTGTACCTATCTCTCTCTCTGTCTCTCTTCCTTTCCTCTCTAGTCTTGATATTCTCGTCAATAGAGTAATAGCTGCTTGCTGCAGGCCATGTCCCAGCTCCCCAGTATGCTCGCCGTGACAGTATGAGTGGTCACGTGACAGCAAGCAACTAGCCGCCGGACCCCGTAATATGAATATTCTGCTTACGGCGATCAGCAGTATGACTCACCCCAACTTGGCATTACCAGGTAACTGATTGGCCTCCTCTCTGTTTCTTCCCCCTAGACAACTCTGTTACCACATCACCAGTACTTACTGTACCTTTCGCCTATCGCTGCTCCGAACAAGGCATGCCAGGGTTGAGATCTGACGCCGCGGGGCAGGACCAGAAAACCCGGCCTCGTGTCTCGGTCGTGTTGATACCATGGGACCCAGACTCGGCAGAGCATGTTGAACGTATGCGTCTGCAGCGAATTGCATGCGGATGGCATGTCGAGAGAGTCGAAGCCTGGAGAGACCTACAAAGACAAGGGCTTGTTGGAATTCATTGGATTGTGAGTCATGAAGTCTCGTAGGCTTGGATATATGGTCGCTATGGCCCATACCCTGAGACGGCTATGCAGCCACTCGCTAGGCTGTTGCGAATGAAGCCTCGAGATGCAGGTCCATTGACTTTCTAACATTCTCTTTCTAGGTACTTCAACCAACGCACCCCGAGACCCCTTCCCGGGACCAGGCGCATGTAGACGCCTTCCCGAACCAGGCAGAGACCCTCCGAGATACCTGCAAGAGCGTACTGGGACGTACACACACCACCGACCCGGCAACTAGAACGTTCCACCCCGTAGGGCACATTTCGCTTTATGTTGTGGCTCCCGAAGCCGAGCTGATGACAAATCCTTCCAATGGCATCTATTCTCTCATGACCTTCTACATCTCAGATCCCTTGCAGAAATTTGGTCTCGGTGGAGCCTCAATGGACTCCTGCGAAAGGTATGCCTAAGTTTATAGTACGATGTGCTCAAGCTTCGGCAGACTAATATCGCGCTGCGCATAGAATGGCTAGAGATGACTTTGACGCCAAGGCCATCACTTTGAAGACAATCTCGAACGAGGAACACATTGTAGATAACCCTCGCCGCTTGGCTATGAAACGCCCCCCACCAAAGGTGAGCGACCACGGCTGCCGATGTTTGTTTCGGTGTCCACTCACAGCTGTGCCCTAGATATCGAACCAGGATTGGTACCAGCGCCGGGGTTACGTTGTATATACTCACAAACAAAATGCCTGGTTCGAAACGGACCCAACAGGCAAGGCATGGGGCGTAAGGGCGGTATTCCTACGAAAGAATCTCGTCTAGCGGTGGGTATGAGATTTGGAGGTCATACGCAGAGCCTCCCTCCTATGACTGAGGGGCTATATGTGTCCTGCGAACAGCGGGATTTCACTTAGGGACTTGTCGAGTCCTTGATTCCTAATCACATAGCATCAATACCACTCGATGACGTAGTCTTACTCAAACTGACGTAGCAAACAAAAAGAGGTTGCATACGAGCGGAGACCTTACCACACGCAATCCTCAGGGGCTAGCCTCTACCATAGTTTCTTCCATCTCACCTTCATATCGCGGTCAGGAGGCATGGCTTCAGCCCCAACATAGTCCGCATTATCTTGAGCCGGTCGATCCGACGGCGAACCATCCATCTTCGTCCACTCAACGAACTCAACATTGAACTTAGCAATGATTAAGCCCAACGTCAACATGATCTCCTGCTTCGAAAAGTGGCGACCGGGACAGACTGGCTGCCCACCCCCTGAGAATAAAGTCAATATCATATTGACCGAGCAAGACAGGTGGCCCTTACCATATGGAAAGAAAGAGCTTGGTCGACCAGCCATGACAAACTCACGCTTCCAGACGGTGCCGCCTTTCTCGTCCTTCGACTCGACGTACTTGACATGTCGCTCTGCCCAGAACTCGGATGCGGGATGTTCGGGGACACCCCACACGGCTTCGTCGAGATGAGCTAGCTGCATGGGCGCCTGGATCTGGGACCCCTTTCCAATCTCGTAACCATCCATCGCAATAGGCTCGTTTACCGCTCGTACGATATTGAACGACATGTGCATCCGCAAAGTCTCAACATAGACAGACTGCAGCAGAGGTAAGGCCACTAGCTTGGCAACGTCCACTGATGTCTTTCCAGTCTCGGGATCAACTACGACGGCCTGCTGGACTTCTTCCCGCAAATCCTTGAACAATTTCGGATCATGAACAGCCTCCATGAGGCACCAAGAGGTGATTGGGATTGTGTTCGCATTGGCCCTGTAATACGGATTAGTCCCACCAATTGCAGAGCCGACATCAAATACTCACGCAAACACGAATTGCGCAATACTCGCCGCAGCAGTTCGATCGGCGAATCCCTCGTCCTTCAACCACTTGGCAATCTCCCGCAGAACAGCCGCGCCGAAATGGGGATCCCAGTCCAACTCCCCACGCTTGCTCCAGTCGAAGTTGGCAAAGGCCGCGGCCAGATAGTTCTCGACCATACCGAAGTACCGCTCGCGGTCTCTGTACGGCTTGGGGTTCCACCAGGAGGGAACACCGCGAAATAGCGGCCCGACAGCGGCCTCGAAGTCCCAGAAGGCTTCGAGCAGATCCGGATTGAGCTCGAAGATCTTTGGGCCAAACAGAGCCTCGGTTGCGGCCTTTCCCATTTGGTTCCTGCAGAAGTCGACGAGACCCAGGGTGACCCACTCGCCAACCGGGTGGCTGTCGAGCTTTCCCACAAGATTTTTGTGGTAGATCTCGGTGAGCCGGTTTGTGCTCTTGGTGCGGGCCAGGTACTCGGTGTAGATGTGGTGATTGGCATGCCAGAGGCGCTGCTCCGCGGGCGTGCTCTCGGTTCCGGGATTCGGGTTCTTCGCCCGCCCCGTGACGTCCCCCTTGAACCGGTCGACTTCGTGCTTTGGCATGCCGATGATCATGGGGAAGATGATCTCTGTCATCAACGCCTCGCTGCCGATCTTGGTCGACGGTTTGAACAGGGTCTGGATGTTGCGGGCACCGACTATCAGGTATACGGGCACGGTGCCTAGGTTGAAGCGGATGATGCTGTTCTTCTCAAGGAGACGGCTGAGTGATGTGATAAGTCAGATGCTTCGCGCGCATTGATGCACTTCTTGTCTTTGATGTGTCTGCTCACCCTGATCGTTCCAGAAATCGCTTCTGGTTTATGACAAAGTCATAGGTATTAGAGACGAATGGGATTGTCTCCGGAAGCCATGGTGGTTGCTTCGGAGCTCTCGATCGCAGGATTAAAGCTGCCAATACAGCAGATGACAGGACTGCGAGTAGAAAGATGGGACTTTGTATGCCAGTCCAATCGCGTAGCTGCGACGCGACAGCCTGGCTACGGTCCATGGCGATGCACGAGTTGGCAGTGCCGAGAAGGTTGAAGACGGGAATGGGTGATACAGACCGCGGAATGCGTATATATTTAATTCATGGCGCATGCCCTCGAACGGAAGGATGCCTCCACAGCCTTCATGATCATCACGTCAGCCCGAGACATCCTTCTCGATTGCGCTTGCGCGGTCGTTAAATCCTCGACCGATCAATCATCCCATAGGTTGGACCGGGGACCGTAGAGCATGGTTCAGACATGGTTGTAAGCGGAGGATCATGCCCCTGACGCGGTGTTCGTCTGATCCTTCACGCCACTGGCCCAGTAGCTTCGGTGGGTCAGCCGATGTGATATCTCTTCGAAGGTCCCAGTATCTTAGTCAGCAAATACCGCATATAGAGATAAAGACTATCTGGATCAGATTAAAAAGAATGCGCGATTTTAAAAACCATGGATACTGCCCTTCGAACTGTGTATGATATACACATAGCATCATTACCGGGGCTCGTGTTAAGTGACCTTGTCCGCGGAGAGACTCCGACTTACAAGACGCGAGCACCACGAGGAATACAATAGGAGACCAAGAGAGGGCGAAGTCGTTTTCATTGAGATTCGGTGTCTTTATTACTGGATAGCCGACTATCGAATAGGGGAGTGGACACTACGACGATCGCATTCCTGGGCCGGATGGTGTGGCCTGTTCTGCAAGTCTTTTGAAGATAAACTGACGAAGAACACGAGATACTAATGACAATGTCGAGATCGAAGATCTACGAGCGATCATACGTGCAGCATGACCTGCGACTTTTGAGCTTGAGCCTTGTGATTAACAGTCCCTTCTTGAGAGACGGCGCCTTTCAAATGGTCACAGGCCCACTCCGTCCACCCCCCTTTATCGTGGCCCAGACTAAGAAGATAAACAGTAAGCTATAGGCGACGGACCAGGAGCCCGTAATCCGAGAGCTGACTTAGGCCCTACTCGCAACGAGATATGACGATGGAGATGGTTTGATAATGCTTCGGGTCCGAAACAAGCCTCGGCCAACTTGTCGGGAAGAATGAGACTCTGGAAGAAGCGTCGCTGGTCGAAAGCCTATGGATCCCCTGAGAGATGACGACTTTCGCGAAGCGCACCTTGTCAATGTCCCTGCTCTCGTCGTTGAGAACCTTGTCGTCCGAGCCCGAGGCCATCAGCCCGAGAGCCGACTTTGCCGTGGGCTCCCATCCGGAGTGCGTGCGACTGCTAGGAGTGAGTCCATAAGTACCAATGGACTGGACTATCACGAATGGCTCATTGTGTCGATGGCTTAAGAAGACTGAAGTGCAGCCAGTGTTACCCAGTGATCAGCCGAAATATTTTGGGCGACCACTAGCCACACCACATCAGCCACCGACCCAGCCACAGCCAGCAACCAAGCCACAATCAGCCACAATCAGTCCCTGGCGCGGGGTTACCAGGCAGTCAATGCAACCTCCTGACATCCATCCACCTTTACGCGGCTCCCTGGTAGACTACGGCGACCACGACCAAATGCAGCCCCCAACGGAGGACGTACCATGGCTGCATAATGTAGATGCCCGAAGGTTGGGAGGCGCAGGCCAACAAGCCGCTATGATTAACTCATGGCCACCCCACGCGAATCCTGCCATCCGAATCTACCTTCTCAAGGACTCTTCGCAACACATCGACCGAGCAATTGCTACGAGGTATTAAAGTTTATCAGCCGCTGAACCGCGAACGGCGGGAGTTCCGACTGGTGCGCATACACGATGACACCCCTGGCAATGGAAGTCCCCCGAGCCAAATTGTGCTCACCTTCGAACACGCTTCGCTGGACGACCCGCCTCCTTATGTCGCCCTTTTATACACTTGGGGAGACGAGAGGTATGCTCCCGCCGTGGCTATCAACGGCATTTCCACCACTCTACGACAGAATCTCTATGATGCACTACTTCAATTACGCAAGAACGGCTTACGCTCGTGGATCTGGATTGATGCTATATGTATCAACCAGAGCGACAACCAGAGCGATGATGCCGAGAGAAGTTGGCAGGTCAACGAGATGCGCACAGTCTTGTCTCAGGCCGAGCAAGTCTACACTTGGCTTGGGCCCGAAGCCGACGATAGCGATGTTGCTATGCACCTGATTCGAGCAATCGCGAGGGAGGCCAAAGATGCCGGTCTAACCAAAGAAGATCTGACAGGGTTAAAGTGGAAGAAAGGAAACGAAATGCTGTCTTTGGAACATAGGGACCATCGCGAGAAAGCGGCCTACAGTCTGGGTCGAACATTGACCCAGTATGAGGACCTGAAGTCAGAAGATGGGAAACAGAGTCGAGCCGTCAGGATGCTCGAAGCTCTGTTGCACCGCGACTATTTCTCCCGCGTATGGGTGATACAAGAGTTGGCCCTTGCAAAAGAGTGTGAACTCATCTGCGGCGAAAGTACTGTGCTTTTGCAAGAGCTGCTCATCGCGATCGCAGCAATAAAGCTCGCGATCAGCTATTTCGAAGCCACTTTAGCCCCGGGAAAGAGGCGCGAGGACTTCTTCTTCCCATTTGACTGGACCTATACCAGACTGAAGGCTTTGGAAGTCCGTAGAGCATTGGCTACAAAGTCGGGCGTTCGTTTCTGCTATATCCTGCAGATTTACCACGCCGCCCCGAGTCGGCCGGTATATGCAGCTACCGACCCAAGAGATGTGGTGTTTGGCCTTCTGGGGTGCGTACGAGATGCGGAAGCCCTAGGGATCCGTGCAGACTACACTATATCAGCTGCGAGGGTTTTTGCAGATATGACTCGAGCTTTCCTGGCCCAGTGCCCAGAGTACAAGCTAGAGTACTGCGCCTTTCCCAAAGAAACGCCGAACCTGCCCTCGTGGGTGCCAGATTGGCAGCTTATGGGGCGAAAGGGGATCAAGAGATTTCCTGTCAATTACAGCGGTTATTTCAAGGCTTCCGGCCAGCTACCCAAACCAACAGACCTCGGCCAATCCACAGACTGGAATGTTTTACGCTGGACTGGGTACCGCGTAGAGGCCGTAGCTGTCGTCATGGAGCCGCCACGATGGCACTGGCATCGATCTGAGTACCTCCCGGGGTGGATGGATAACGAAAGGAAATGGTATGATGATGCTCTTCGGTTCCATTCTACCGATCCGCCTGCAACTCACGGGGGAGAGGATGCGCTATGGCGCACAATGGCTTTGGATAAGCCATGTGGCAGATCTTCCTGCAAGACCACACCTGAGTAGACAAGTCTCGCTGCTCGGGTTTTTCGGTACGAGCAGTTAAAGCACGAAGATTTAACCCACGATGAACTCGCTTATATTGAGAGTCTGAATGTTGGTATGAACTTGTATGAACTTGGATCGCGTGGCTTCGCTGCTTCGCGGCGGTTCGTCTTACCATTCCCGAGTGAGGACCTTGTTCAAGACAGCTTCGGGCAGGATAGGTCTCGGACCGGCAGAGATGATGGTAGGTGACATTGCCGTCAAATTCTGGGGTGTGGGATCCCCTCTCATCCTGCGATCTGATCTGGGCCGGCGGTATTCCTACCGGGGAGATGCGTATATAGATGGCATCATGGACGGCGAATTTCTCGACACGAACCCCGAAACCGAAGTCTTTGAACTCGTTTAGGACAGCCATGTCAGAGCTGCAGAGGTAATCAATCACAGATCACGGCTGCTGGTTTGTGCCTTTCGACTTGATAGATATTGCTCTCCGGGGAGCATCGTGTTCTCCTGAATGAAATGAACTGCAACCCAAAGGCCAAAGTTCCATCAAACGTGATCTTTCTCCCCTTGAAAATAGCATCGGCAAATCCCAACATCTCCGCACCATCCCTTCATATAATGAGCCCTGCTCGTCTGAATAACTCAAAGCTCTCCAACCAACCATCGGCAGGATCCCACTCTTCGCTGAAACCCGTCTCACGCAACCTCTTTAAGCTCAACTGCCGGTCAAACGTCAGCCATCTGCCAACGCTATCAAGCTGCTGTCTCCCAGTACCAACCCCGTTTCGAGTCGCCCTCGGAAGGTCCAGAGCGGTAAAAACATGACTGTACCGAACGACATACTGTCCCGGATCCAGTGCATCGTCCCCTATGGTAGCCGCATGCCCTTCTTTCACAGATTCGGTGCCCACGAGTCCAAACCACGATGCAAGCGCCGGCCACACATCCCCAAAAGTAGATGGCTCCTCTCGATCCGCGACGTTGAACAATCGCCCGCCTCCACAGGTTTCCGGGTGAAGCGAGGCGTAGACCGAGAATCGTCCAATTATAGTCCCGGAGACTGGACTGCAAAGGGCGCTGTATGCTTCCTTGTTGCCCGGGAATGAGACCTTGGCCGGCTCCTTGTTGCTGCTGGACTCGGTTCGTGGTTCGATGCCGTGGTTGTAGGCGTAAAGGGACAGGTACTGGCCCCAGTGTAGAGCTAGAGAGTATTGGGATCCGTTGGGCGTGAAGCCGATCTTGATATTATAGGTAGTCAGCCTCCATCACTGCCGAGGACCTATTGATGGGACTCACGATAGCATCAGGACAGACTTCGCACCACGTCCAATCCTTCCCATGACAAGCCTCTGAGAGATACGTCCGATTGGCTGGGTAGACCACGGTCTTTGCATAGTCGGCCGGGAGGTTGTTCACCATGGACTCGGTCAATGGCGCTTTGAAGGTCCCATCGGCATTGTAGATGCCATAACCCTAGTCGTGTTCAGTCAGTCGACGTAGTTCCCCCAAGGTGTTCCATTGTGATTGATCGCCACTCACCCTAGTGCCTCCTGGGAATAGCACAAATTTCACGTTACTGCTCAGGGAAGAGAGCGACTCGACCACCTTTTCCAGCATGCCCTTATTGACCGCTACTTCCTCGATCGAGTCTTGGACTTGGGTGAAGACTTACATTACCGTATTAGCCATTGTTCTCTACCGTGACTGTTGGTGATGCTTACCGAAGTAGTAGACATGACTGACTTTCTCAATATCTTTCACCTTGGCTCTAAGACCATCTGCCAACTCTTTAGTTGTGGTATTTCGCAGGTCAATGCCTGAGACTAGCTGAAGCTCTGGCATGTTTCCTGGGCCATTGTTTGTCCATTGCGACTCTTCCACTTCGATCGGCCGGTTGGTGACTGCTGTGACTCGAGAGAACAGACCGGGTTCGGGGTAGCCTGATAAGAGCTGATTGACTACCGGCCAGCCGATGATGCCGGATGCTCCGAAGACTATGGCGTGGTAGTTGGCCATGTTGGGGTGTTGTTGCGATTTGCTGCTTGCTGTACTGCGTTTCGGTGAGCCACTTCTGTGTAGTTTTTGTTTCCTACTCTTGTAACCCGGTTGAGTCGCATGCTTATATATGTTTCTCCTGACTGGCAGATTGGCAGTTGTAACATTAGCAGCCTTGGTTGAATCATTATGATTCATAGTGGAGTATGGGGCACGAGTTTTGCAGCTCGCTCCTTGCATCCAATGAGGGCTTCACTTGACCCCTGACAACATCGCGCGGCCAGGGGAGCAGTGTGACAAGTATACACGGCGGAGAAATGAGTCAAGACTAGAAGGTAACCCTAGATCGCAAATATGCTGCATTCTAGTCACACGTCTTAGTAAAACTGTCGTGGCAAGCCTTTCTCAGATTGCAATGTTGAGAAGAGGGCAGCCCAGGAGGAGGGTATTCATATTGGGAAGACTGGGCCTCACAAAAATGGCTGTATACCTACCTAGTGCCAGAAGAGATTGGCAAACGGAAAGTGACAAACGGTGTGGGAGCCCGAGCAAAAGCAAGCGCTGGTAAGATTGGAACCTACTCCCATAGATATGGCTTGCAAGTCACTCCACCTGTGCCCGGAGCAACTTGTACCAACCTAGAAAGTAGTAATCAGGACGCGGAATCGGGTTTGGTTAATGGTGTGAGCGTGCCGTATGCTCGCTGGTGCAGTGTGAAGAGTGCAATGTTGCAAGCCAGGTGCTTGCGAACATTACTAGCACTATGGGGGTTATGACACCTGACAACATGTTAAGGTCTTCACGCTGGGTCGAGTGTTAGATGAGGTCGTTTGAGCCTGCTTGTAGCCAAGACGAGTAAGGTACGTGTGTAAAGCAGCGATACATATTGTGCAGTGATATATATTGCACAAAAAGGTCAGTCGCAGTTTCTTTGGCTGAAGTCTGACAAGGAAACAAGGAGTCGAAAGGTCTGATTGTGAACAACTCGGCTCGATCATCGCCTACACAGCTAGCTATCCCAACTAAAGCCTCTCCAGCGGTGGTCCGATCCCCTGCACAATACGGAACAATCCCTCCGGGTTGCCTGAGGTAACTATCTCTTCGATTGCCCTATAGAATTGTGGCCCATGCGTTTTCACGAATTTCAGCTTTCCCCTCCCTCTTTCTTTCAGCACTCCGATCGGGAGACGCATGCACCTCCAATAGTAGGTACCTATTAGTCGCCTTTGCGCACCTCAATTCTCGTCGTCCACATCATCCATTGTGAAGATCATCATCCTGCCAGAGACCATCTTCGGTCACCTCATCCCCTTTCCCATACAACTCGACAACCAACGCGACAACCAACTTCAGCATGTCCGCTGCAACTCCCAGGTCGACCGACAAGACCACCGACGCCGACGCCGACACCGCCAACGTAATGCCTGAGGAACCTGAGCTAAGCCTTATCGAGGCCCTCATCCCGGACCTCAAGATTATGGTTATGGAGTACCTTGACCTCGACAGCTTGGAAACGTTCATCTGCCTCTCGCCCGCTGTCTACGAAGCGTTCAAGTCGCATGATGGAGCCATCGTATACCCAGCCATTGCCGACGCCGTTGGGGCGGACCTTGTGGCTCTCGCACACGCCCGACTCGTGGCAGCACACGCAAACTGGAAGCCGAAGCCCCGTCGCCCAAACCTCGGTGCAGAATGAGTAGCTGATCTCATTCGACACATCATCGAGTTTGGCGACAAGTACCTTGCCGATCATGCTACGAGACTCGAGACGCCGCGACAATACTTCACACTCCGTCGAGCCAAAGAGATTATCGCATTCCACGCCATGGTATCGGAGACATCAAGAGAGATAAGCCCGTATGCTGTAATGGCGCACTCCCCCCCAGGCACCGATTGGGGAAGAGTGGACGGTTGGGGAACAGTGCACGGTGCCTGTAGCCGTGCCCCTACGCCGAGGCCCATACACGAGCAACGAATCGCACGAGCGCTCTACATCTTGGAGATTACTAAACTTCTTGCACCATACGCGATCGACGAACCGGCGACTGGATATCCGCACTCACCGTGGGAGCTGTTGTGGGCCTACTTCAAGCCATGGGAATACCACCAGGTTTGTCAATGGTAGATGAGGTCGCTTACCTGTCCGCGAAATGTAAGTCATCACTCGCAACATATTCGACACATCTACTTGCAACCCTACTGACTGAATTGAAGCACGTTATATCAATTTCGAAGAATACGAGATCGCGAGCCGATGGCTTTTGCAGCACGGTGTCTCTGGACTACGACAAGAGATACTATCAAGATTCCCCGGTTCAGGGCTGAGAGAGTACGCGAACTACATCCTTGATCTTGACGACATCGGCCTTGCAAGCTTTGGGCTCAGGTCTACACTATGGGTGCTTGGAGGTGACAGATTCTGGCTTCAGCAGGCAGAGGCAGAGGCAGAGGCAGAGACTCTGTCGTCGGACATCCAGCATATCCTGAAGAGTAGCCATGGCAGGGACACTGGACCCCAGGCTTGGTGGTGCTGGAGAGTCATCACACGATATGCGATTGAAGGATATGAGACTCCCCTCGCGGTACAGGAATACCGAAGAATGCCATTCTTCTACACCACCGCAGATTTGGACGGAGTTTTTGAAGACTTCCCGACGCTGGACCGCATGCTGGAGTACACGAAGGACAAGGTGGATTACTAAGAACCCACTTCACAAATAAGGCGGACTTAGGGCTCACGAGACTCATATTTTCCGCTTGGTAAACCAAGTTTCGGTTGTTTCTGGGCGGATGAAGGGATGCGAGTAGGCAAAGATGCTGCCTTTAGCATTGAACGGTTCCTCGTCGGAGCACTCAAGAAGTCGCAGTCCACTTCATTGTTCCTAGGTAGCCTAATATACCCCATATCCCAAATCTTCTGGTCACTCTATCGTTGCCAGCATGTGATAGTACCTCAGTTGATGTGGAAGCAGTGCCGCCGAGAATTACCCTAATAGCTTTGAGTAGAGTGAGTGAGTAGATGGACAAAGTACTGAAGCAGCTGGACTGCTAATGCTTCACCGGCACGAGCACAATTCATAAAACATTACCGTGACCCCTTGCTGAGACTTTAGTCCAAGGCCCTCTTGCGTAATCTATTATGTAGACTGATTGTATTGTGCTAGAAGTCAGAGAGTAAAAGATTCACGAAATTCAATTGGTATCGACAACAAAAGAAAAGTTTGGTTTCAGCGGAACACCTTCCAGACTCCTCCGTCGTCCTCCCTTTCCCATCGGATATAATCATACAGAGCGCACCCCAGCCCACGCACACCACCATGATGCAGCCGATGCCCAACCCCTTCCTCCAGAAAGCATCTCAAGGTTGGCATATATACTAATACACAAGGGCCCCGGATATTAGAGAACACCATAATTACGAGTCTTTTCAGACATGGCGCTGAGCTTTCGCCATCTTGGAATTCCCTTTCCGCACTTGTCTCTGTCGCTTCCTTTGTTTCTCTGGCTGTGTGTTCTGGTCGTCGCCATCATCAGGCATCGTTGAACTCCTCGAGTCTCACCCAGTAGCCATCCTCCACCGCCAGCTGCGTGCGCTGCTTCGGAGCGGCGGTTAGTCACGCAACGGCCTTCTTGGCCTTTTGCAAGATCTCGATGCCCTCATCCCAGCCCCGCGACTCCGCGACCCCAACGGGCGTGCGGTCGGAATCGTCAACGGCCGTGAGGTCGACCCCCCACTTCTCGACCAGCATGGCCAGGATGCGCGCGTCGCCCATCTCGATCGCCTGGAACACGGCATTATAACCGCGGTACACCTTGTTCGGGTCCGCGCCCTTGGCGAGCAGCAGCTCGATGACCTCGGTGTCGCCCTCCTCGTAGCGCCGCAGCGCCTTGATGAGGGGCAGGTGCTCGCCCGGCGCGTTGGGGTCCGCACCTGCCTCCTCGACCAGATAGTGCACTATGTCCTTGTGGCGCTCGCGGATCGCCGTGGTGAGCGGCGAGAAGACGCCGCCGTTGCGGTCCTCGACGCTGACGCCGGCGGCTAGGAGGAGCTTCACGCTCTCGAGCTGATTCGACCGACATGCCAGCTCCACGACGCCCTTGAAGGCTCGCGGCTGCGAGAGCGCGGGTAGGAGGCGCTGGAGGACGGTGGGGTGCTGTACCGCCACTATATGCCACGAGTCAGTCAGTAACCGCGTCATTAGGTCTAAAAGGAGAAGAGGTGAGCTGAGGCCTGGTTGTACGTACTGCAAATCGGCCAGTCTTCGCCGCGGATGTTTGGGTTCGCCCCGTGGGAGAGCAGGAAGCCCACCATTTCCGGCTTGTTCTCGCGGATCGCCGTCGTCAGTCCTGTCGCATTGGTCTTGGGCACTTTATCATTCGGCGATACGCCCTGCTCCAGAAGCCACTTGAGAGCCTCCATGTTGTCGAAAGCCACTGCCGTCTCAATGATACCCTTGGGCGAGTTGAGGTTGGCGCCAGCAGCGACGAGCGGCGCCAGGTACTGCGGTCGGAAGTGCGTCACGCACTTGAAAGCCGGGAACTCGGCCGAGCACACGTTGGGGTCGGCGCCGTTGGCGAGCAGTAGTTGGAAGATATCGGCGTGGTCGTCGCGGATGGATGTGCACAGAGGGGTGTAGACGCCGTCCTTCTTCGCGTTCGGGTTCACGCCGGCCTTAAGGAGCATGCGGACGGACTCAATCTTGTTAATGGACGTCGCCAGTTCCATGATGCCGGGTGTCTTCTTGTGGTCCGCCCCGCGGGCCAGAAGGATTTTTAGGCAAGGCGGTTGGTACGTTGCTGGCCAGAGCATGTGCTTGGGACCCGGCAAGTTCGGGTCTGCCTTGTGGTCGAGCAGAGAAGTGACAATGTCGGGGCGCCCTGAAGTGATGGCCTCAAACAGCGGCGTTTTGCCTTCGTTGGTCTTCTTATTGGCGTCTGCTCCGTACTCGAGGATGAGATCGACGAGTAGCTTGTTGCACGTCTTGCTGATGGTCTTGGTCAAGACCGTCTCGCCATCAACCAAGGTTGCGTTGCCATTTGCGCCATACATGAGGAGAAGACGAATGAGCTGTGGGTGCTCCTTGATTATGGCAACTCCGAAGGGACTCTCGTGGTTCGACGACGAGGTGAAGTTGGGATCAGCACCGTACTTTAGCAAGGTCGCGGCTATATCCACCAGCGACTGCTCGACTGCCGCAAATAAGGGTGTTACACCATCCCGGTCTGGTGTTGTTGGTTCTGCGCCGAAGAGCAGCAACAGTCTCACAGTTTCAGGGTCGCGCTGGGCGATGGCGTCTTTCAGGGGAACGTGGTTGTCTGGGCCTATCTCGGGAGATACGCCACGGTCAAGCAGCTGCTCAACCATCGTGCTGTTGCGGTCTTGGATAGCCGTCAGAAGGCTGTGTCTCAGAGCGGGAGCTTCAGCCCCGTGTGTGTCCCGTGGAGACCATCGAGGCATCTTTCCTGGATCCGCGCTTAGCCGAACAGCCTTGACTGGTTTGGAATCGAGAGTCAAGGCGGACGCGTCGTCGTCGATACTGAAATTGGAGAATTCGGCCAGGCTGATTGTCCTTGGGTCCACCAAAATGTCGGTTGGTGCTGTTGTTGGTGGACTTGTGATGATGCTCCGGGTCGAGACCGAGTGGTTCGAAGGCGTGGTCACTCTGCTGCTGGCAATCATCTCCCTCAGATCCGCCCAGCTCTCTGCGGCCGCTGGGTCGGAAAGACCTGATTGTGCGTAGCTATCATTCCGAGGGGGATAGCCGGTAGGCGAAAAGGGGTTTGGCGAAAGGGTGTTTGAGGATATCTGTCGTACCAGTGGTCGTAGTGTGGCCGGCCGTAGTTGACCGTCGTGTACTTCCTTCACGTGTGGTTGTGCCAAGTTCATCTTCGACATGCTGGCCACAGAAGCTGCTCCATCCATCTGGTCCAGAGCTGCAGCAAGAGCAGTATAGCCAATGCCAACTTGTTCTTTAATCTTTGCCTCGCCAACAGTCCACTGGAAGACCAGTGCGCTCATCCTTAGAGTTTCCTTCGTTCTCACGAGTGCCTCGGTCATCTTTCCGACCTCGTTGTCCGCAAACATCCTCCGCCAACCTCTTGATATCTTGCTACCTTTGCTCTGATGCAGTGACTTCGACAGCCAATTGTCCAGAATCTGAAAGTCGTTATGTGTCGTCTGGAACTTCTTGTCGAACTCCCCTACCATGTCAGGTGGCAGGGTCTGTTTATTCCTCGAGTATTGTGTAAGTCCGACTTCGATGGACCACATAATACGGCATACTTCCAAGAAGACGTGGGCTAGTTGGTTGACGTCTTGAGGAGAGGTGGTTGTTGTGCTATCCAGGTACTCGAGCATATGGATCGCGATCGTGTTGCCCAGGACGGTTGCCTTGTGGCAATGACCAAGGGCGGCCGTATGGAGCTTGTCGGCGACCATGGCGCTATATAGAGCCGAATCGTTGCAGTGTATTCCGCTTGAATGCGACCTTGCGAGTTTGGGTGAGAGTATGGGGAAATGGTTGAGAAAAGTCAGATCAGAATCGACCCAAGGAAGAAAAGCGTCGTGAAGGTTGGTAGGACAAAGCAACGGGGTTCACGGCCCCGACTCCCGTCTTCGGTGCAGATCGAGCATCCTTCTACCCTTCCACCCTCGTTGGTGAATCCATTTATGTTTCTTTGCAGCAGTAGTCTCGAGCTCGCTAGTAGCAGACTAGTATAGATGGTGTCGAATCTATTATTGTAGTATTTGGGCAATCCCACGCCGGTGGTCGATAGCGTACCCGTTGGCGCCTGCTTGCTCCTTTTCAGCTCACCGCACAGGGACGAACGGGCATGTCTGCGCCGACATACATGATACGCGGGCCAACAGGTCCGCCTGGCTGGGCAGGTCTGTAACATCTGTTTGCCGCCATGACCGAGGCAATCTGCAAAAGTCATAATTTGCCCACCGATGTAGATTGCAAACACACACATAGTTGTACTATGCCATAGTGAACCACTGTGGTGGGTGTGTGAGCGTCAGCGAAGGTGGCCAACCCCGCATGGATCCCCTAGTAGCCCCTTAAGCCCGATAGGGGCCCCCTTTTGCCTGCGTCATCGTGATACCGGGATACCATGACTCGCTGCCCTGTCATCTAGTCTCCAGGTAGCTGGGTAGTCGGACAGCCCCCGCGACACAGGTACATAGCGCAGGAAAGATCTGGTCCTTCGCCGAGATCTGAAAGCGTAGATTATATGTTCCTGACTGGGAAGCGAATCCGTCCACTTGCACTTTTCCCTTCGCAATTTCCGGTCCACGCAACTCGAAGCGAGATCGATCTGCTTCGGGAGGCAACCGGACCCGCCAGAGAACTCTTCCCCCGGATCTATGTGCTGTGGAAGCGTCTAGACAGCTGCTAGCGGACTAGCAGTAGAAATTGATGCAAACAAGACGCTCGAGTCTACCGACCGGCTGGTCGACATGAATTAGTGTTGCGAGTTAACTAGTCTACTTCCGTGCACGAATGAGAGACTAAACTCGTGAGCCGGGGCTGATGGCGTGAAAGCTCTCTCCTTTGATGGGTCTGTGGATTTTTTCCAAAGTCGATAGCAAATAGTAACCGTCCGCTAGCGGACTTTGATGAGCGGTTGAACAACATTCGCCGAATGTCATTCGGCGACCACTACCCTTTCCCATCCTACGCAGCATAATCGCCGCGGGAGCCCAATCACGTGTCTTCCTGCGTAGTAACCCGAAAAAGCTTCATCGGGTACTGTTTCTCCCTAGTCGACTTTGTCGAGTGATGTTTCACCCCCCGATGACAGGGGCTCCGCATATTTACCATTCTGTCACAACTACATGAAGCTAGCAAGGCTTAGCATATAAGGATGAATCACTCCATGACTACGTCTGGGGTGCCCCTGACGAGGCCCCGATCCTGAACTGAACCAGATCCTGGACATCTTCTTCTATGACAATTTGAAAAGAATGACCTGCCTAGCTGCCATTGGTTTCATCGAATCGCTCTTGTCATTCGTTCTTTTAGGCGCGTCCCTTCAGGGGCTGACGATGGGACAGAGCTTCACGCAAGAAGACATCGACACTGGCGCGGCCTTGCAAGTATTGAGTAAGACTGCCTAAGATGACGCCCTGAATCGCCTCGTGAGCTCGACGTCGACGTGTACCAAGGATATGTGCGAGTTCGCGAAGAAAGGTGAGTCTCGTCCGATATCTAGGTGTACACATTACTTACTGTCTTGCAATAGTAGCATACCGGGCCCTGAGAGGACCGCTTTCGTGAAAGCGGTTGAGTGTCTCATGTCTCATGCAAACGCCCAATGTCTACCCAAACGTCACAGGCCCAAAGTGAGCGAGTTCTCGGGATGAGGACGCGTGAGATCAGCTGCTGCCCGCTTCTCCTCTGCCAGATCTGTGTTCGACAGCTTTGTCGTGCTGGACTACGTGCTGACTCCTACGTCGACCACTCAGTGCGTCAACCCAGCCAAATCCCCATGCACTCCCCGCCCACTAACATTTCCCAGGCCTACTTTCCTTCCCTACCACAGACTCTACATCTGGACCTACGAAGAGAAGCTCCGCACGCTCTGTGGCTATCCCGGCGCAGTCTCGCACTGGGAATGGGGTCTCGACGCCGGCTCCTTTGAGAAGTCAGCCCTCTTCGACGGGACTAGGATCTCGATGGGCTCCGATGGCGCGAAGGTCAACATCACGGCCAGTGGCCCACAGTTCTTCATGCCAGTTGGGTCGCGCGGCGGCTTGGTCACGCACGGCCCGTTCAAGAATTATACCGTCAACTCTGGCCCGAACACGGCGGCTGGCCGCTGGCCCCGAACCCGCGGTGTCTGCAGCGAGACCTCAATACCGGGATCTGTGCCACTTGGGCTTCCCTGCGCAATACACCTGACATTATCATTCAGAGCCCCGACATCGAGCTCTTCCAGGCCAACCTCCAGGGTAATTTCCGGTACTCCGCCTAGCGGAAGCGTGGTTTCGCTGTTCATGGCGGTGGGCTCTTTGCCATTCGTATGTTTCATGAACTTTATCTGCACGATCAGGTGGGTGAGTGGCTGACGCGGTGCTTCACCGCCGGCGACCCTGGCGACGATTTCTTTTTCCCACCCCTTGAGCCGGTCTTCAACCTGCACCATGGGCAGATCGACCGCATGTGTTTCGTGTGGCAGTTGAGATGACGATGAGTTTGATTACGTGGAAATCGAATAGACCGGCGAAACAGGGAAGTCGCGGAACAATGTCGTTGTTCTTCCGCGACTGTTTCTTCCGCGTTCATAAAGGTTGCTCATCTCGACTTCGAGAGAAGATAGGTAAGTCCACTCGCACGTCTCTGTTTTCTCTTCTCCAGACTTTTCGGGCCATCCACTGACGCAAGTTCTCACCGACATAGACCATGGCTGGCACCATTCGCCACGATGAACATGCCGGCGAGCCACAACGGGACATTTGTCGACGTACTTGACATCCGCCTCGTCGGCGGATCGTACAACTTCCGCCAGCTGCTCGACACCGTGCCAGGGGATCCGTACTGTTTCGTTTACAAGTAGACTGACTGATGGACATATATCTGGGTAGTCTAAGCTACATGAGATCAAATCATGATCCACCATTGCAAAGCATGAGTCCCCATCCGCTGTTCTTTTCAACGGCCAACTTGGCTCCCTCATTGTTGATACCTCTCAGGTGAAACCCTATTTTGTCCAACAGGTCCGGGACAGCTGCTCGTGCAATCCACACTCATGACTGCGGCAGTGCCGGTCCGTCCCTAGACCGAACTCACAAGGCGCACGCCTCTTCCACCAAGATGCGCAAGTTTCCGCCATATAAACTCAGCGCATAGTCTCGTCCCCAGACAAATGCAATCAGCTGTTCCAGATTAGCCGTCCGTACCGTGGCGATAAGCGAGAGCAAGTGCAAAATGGCGCGAGATATGCGCCCCCCGTCGAGCGGAGCCTTCATCCTCGAATCGCTCGCGACCACTCACAGCACCTCGAATTCATGTTTACCTCCCCCCAAGCCGCCTTGGAGCCTCTCGCCCCAAACTTTAACCACGCCAAGCCTCGCCGTCCAGCTGCGGCGCAGGTACGCGCCAGTTTAGAGTTGACATGTGGTTGTTTCCGCAAGGCCTCCCGCGAGGCCTCCCTTGTTTGAGCATTGATAAACAGCGCGAGGGAACCCTTTCAAACGTACAAGACAAGCGGCTAGAATTCTTCTAGAGCAACACTTCCTGGCCAAAAATAACTCCAGAAGATCTCCAGAAATTCTCGACTCAACCTACACACACTCTTCTTGAACGTACGCAGACACAATTATGTCTCCCAAGTCCAAAATAATCCTCCTCGCGCTCGCCGCAGGCCTCGCCACGGCCTTGCCGACGGCTTCACCCACGACCGTTACTGACATCGCGAGCGCGACCGACGTTCCAGTGACATCCTCACCCACTACCGTTACTGACATCGCGACGACCAACGTTTCAGTGACCCCACCCACTACCGTTACTCGCATCGCGAGCGATTGTCCAGAAATACATGTCGCAGCTACCGCTGTCCCGACCAACGCGATCCTGTTCGAGGATTCTGAAGTCGTCGTATCGGATGACGAACAGCTCCTGGACCTGGATATTCCCGGGTCCGTCGACGACTCCGTCGGCGGATCCGTCGGCATCAAGAAGGGAGGCGGCGGCGGTGGTGGTAGAGGCAGTACAGGTGGAGGCGGCGCGACGGGTGGAGGGTCATCCGGCGGTGGGTCATCCGGTAGCGGTTCGTCAGGTGCCGGTTCATCAGGTGGTTCATCCCGCAGTGGTAAGCAACCCCTCAACATATGACTCACTCTCTCACCGACCATGCTGACACACAGACAGGCTCAAGCGGCGGCCGTGGGTCTTCTGGCTCAGGTTCGGGTTCTCGCCCAGGTTCAGGTTCGGCGGGTGGTGGCTACGGGGGTGGAAGAAACGGCGGTGGCTACGGCGGACGGCCTGGCTACGGCGGCGGTGGCGGTGGCTACGGCGGTGGTGGCTATGGCGGCGGTGGAAGAGGCGGTGGTGGTGTCTACGGTGGAGGCGGCGGCCACGGCGGCGGGGGAAGAAGCCCGAGCCGGAACGCTGCCGGTAAGACCATAGACGCTGGATGGCTGCTCTACTCCATCCCGCTCGTTGCCTACTGGGTCCTGTAGATGAGGGACTCAATGACAGATTGGGGATGAGAAAATAAGACGAAGAGATAGATAGACAATGAAGTCCTTCATCCCTTGAGTGGAGAAGGTCATGACATGTAGTCAATATTCGCTGGTATGTAAGCGAGGAAGGGACCATGCCGCATGCCTACGCGACCGATAGAGGGACGTCTTATCCTGGTGGTATCGCTTGCTCGAAGCTCTAGCCAGTCAACCGAGATCATCACTGAGGCAGGCACTAGTGAGCATTGTAGTATGGAGTCTCGGTAACAAAGTGCAGAGGTATCATTTAGGTTGTGCGCCATAGTTTTTGGCTGAAGAGTTCAGGTGATATACAGGAAGGGTTCATTTAAGGACCCCCGAACATACATGCCGTGGCTTTGCTATCACCATTCGGCAACCTCACCCGGTTTAGGCCGCTGCACCCGGACCACTTTGTCGCAATTGAGGAGGCAGAGGGGGTCAAGTGCGAGCTTGATCTATGGCGGGAGAAAAAGGTGTCAGCAATCGCGGAAACCCAAGTTCGGTTGAGAGGAGCCTACCTGTCTCATGGTGTCGACAGTGCTCTCCCCCAGCTCGTGGGGGAGATAATCCCTCTTGACGAGACCAACACCATGTTCGCCCTACATCAGATTAGCTTCCCCGAGCCTCGTGTGATACTAGTAAGAATCAACGTACTGTCACTGTCCCCTCCAGCTCGACAGCCCTCTTCACCATGCGGTGTACAAGCTCCTCGGCCGCATGCCTTTGCTCCTCGTTCGACAGCAGTATGACTATCACTTATTAGCTGTTATCTCTCAAGCCGTATGGAGCATAGTCGGAACGTACTGTGGAAGTTTCCATCGCCGACATGGCCGACGATGGTGCCGTACATGCCGCTCTTCTTCATGTCGTCTTTGGTGTCCTCGATGAGTTGAGGGAGTCGGCTCATCGGCACTGCAACATCGCCGGTCCACACCTTCTCGCCTGGCTTCGCAACAGCCATGGTACTCCACAACGCCTCCTTGCGCGCGCTCCACAGTTCCGCCTTTTCCTCCTCGGAACGGGCGAATTCAAAGCTCTGACTGCCTGCCTGTTTGGCCATATCTTTGACAATGCTGATCTGCTCCTTGACGCCGCGATCGGTACCCGAGAATTTGAAGAACAATGTGGGCGCTTCTTTCCATTGCTTTGATGTCGAACCGGCTTGGTTGATGCACTTCATCTGCTCGTCATCGAGAATTTCGACAGCTGCCACTGCCACGCCTTGGCCGACGACCTTGGCGACGCAGTCTGCAGCCTGGCGAATTGAGCCAAAGCTGCAGACAGCCACGCTCGTGCTAGCAGGCTTGGTGGTAACCTTCAGGGTCGCCTCGGTGACAAGACCAAGAGTCCCTTCGCTTCCAATGAACAGCTTCGTAAGATCGTAACCGGCAGAACTCTTGCGGGGTCTTTGCCTCGTCTTGATGACTGTACCGTCGGCTAGTACAACAGTGAGGGAGAGAACCCATTCCCGCATCGTGCCGTATCGGTAGGCGTTGGTGCCGCTGCATCCAGTACCGACCATGCCTCCAATCTGGGCGCCTGGACCTGGGTCGGGAGGGAAGAACAGATTGTCCTTGCTGAGCTCCTCGTTAAGCAGCTCCCAGCCGACCGCAGGCTGTACCACAACATCCATGTCGTCCTTGTGCAGCTGAATGATCTTGTCCATCCTCCCAAAGTCGACGCAGATGCCGCCCCTTGTCGGCGTAAAGTGACCCTCCAGACTCGTACCGCCGCTGTAACCAACCACTGGAATCCGCCGCGCATGGCAGATCTTCATGATCTGACTGACATCCTCTGTCGAGCCTGGGTAGACTACCATAAATGGTTTCTGAGCTTCCTCGTTGCGGTAGCTGGACCAGTCGGAGTTGGCATGTGAATGTAGGACGTCGTCGAGGGTGTTGACGTTCTCCTTTCCAACGACAGCAGCGAATTCAGACCATGCCGCCTCGAGGTTCGCTTTATCGTTCTTATGTTTCGGGTCGCGGGTCATTGCAAGGGGCAGTGTCGAGTTCGTTGCGGGATCGCGGGGGGCCAAGGTGCCCATGTAGTACGAGGCTAACGTGGCGACAAGGACAACTTGGTCACAGAAGGTCAGTCATGGTACTGGTCTCTAACAGAGTTCTATCTGGTGTCGTACCGAATGTTGTAGCCCATCGCCTTGACCCGGCGGACTGTTGCCTCTGCTGTGCGAACTTCTCTCGCTCTGCCTTTTCGCGCTGAATACGCGAGCTGATACTCTCAAGCATCTGGCCCTGGAAACTGGGTCCCGAGGGCTCCTTCTTCTCTGTGGCATATGAGCGCACGTTTGCGCCGAGTGCGAGACATCGCGGTACTGTCCGGCTGGAGGTTGAAGCTTTTAGGTGCCGAAGCCCAGCTTGGGCGGACCGTGATGCAAGACGCGACATGTTAGAACTAGATCCCTGGTGCGCAACCCTGGGGCTAAATCATCCTGTACTTGGGATGACAGAGTTAAGAATACTCATAAGAGGGCAAAGGGTGCCATTTGGAAGGAGACGGCACTTGAGGAGAGGAGTTGAAGAAGCTCAAACGGCGACCTCGGAATTGGAGCTTGATTGGTGATCACGAATTCAGTCCGGGCTAGTCAACTAAGGGGGTTTTGCATATATACACTGTTCTCCTGTCCGATCAACTCCCCGCACCAACCACACATACCAAACCTCGCAGTACAATCCACCCTTTACTGATTGCATCATTAATCAACACGAAGGCGACATTAGATGTCTGCTGCCGACAGCATCTCCGATTGACCCCGAGAGACATGCATGGGCGGAGAGCACGCAAGCGAAACCATGCGCCCTTTCATCGACATAAAGGTACTGTCGTTCTCAATCGGAGTGTCGGTCCCCACTTCAAATGGCTCGCACCTCTCAACTTTTTTAAAAACCGGCTTTCAATAAAACAAGCTATATTACAGCCAATTAAAAAGCTATTAAAAAGGTTAATATATATATAACGTATAGTTTTACATAAAGATTATACTTAGAATAACTATAAAATTATATTAAGTATTTAAAATTAGTTATTTTATATGGATATGTTTTTATAAGCTTAGTTTTAACTTTCACTAGTTTTACTTAATGATTATTATTTACATACTTTCCAAAATAATTCGTTTGAAAATCGCTTTTAAAAGATATCTTAGTATCTTTTTATGACTTTAATCCATAAGATTACTAAGTTTTCTGTTGTTATTTTAAAAACCGTTATATTATTCCTTTATTACCCCTTTGTTTACTTGGCAACCTAGTTAATAAAAAGATAATAGTACGGTATTCGATATTATAACTATCATTACGACGTTATATATATTATTTATTATTATGATTAAATAACTATAACTTAAAGCTATTAAACGATAATATAAAATAACATATACAACGTGGTAAATTAAAGCGCGACTATGAAAAACGTACTTTTATTGTGACGGCCTGCATAGACCTTCTCACATGATAAGCGGATACTTCCCAATAGTGGAAGGATCTGACCAGAGGATCCCCTTAAAGGGGCAACCTCCCACTGTACCTATCTCTCTCTCTGTCTCTCTTCCTTTCCTCTCTAGTCTTGATATTCTCGTCAATAGAGTAATAGCTGCCTGCTGCCGGCCATGTCCCAGCTCCTCAGTACGCTCGCCGTGACATAATATCAAGACTCCTCCATACCAGATTAGAAGCCTTGTCTTCAGATCACCACTGTAAGGAGTTTTGCCTCTAGCAGTGACAGGTACAGTGTCTCCGAACACCCACCTATTCCAAGACTTTATTAGCCCTTTATTATCCCACCTATCATTACTACTGATTCCGTCCAACACATTGTGACGATGAGTACCATTATCATTCCAGAATATCAGGATAGTTCTGAAGGGACTGGAAGACCAGCCCAACCTATCCAAACATCCCCCAATATCAACAACCTTCCCCCAAAGAAAGAACCAAAGAAACAGAGAACCAAGGCACGAGGAGGCCAGAGCAAGCCAAACACGCGATCAAGGGCTGCTTTGACCCATAGCAAATCTCCCTTAAACGCTTTATCGTCTCCATCTTCCTCCAGGATCACATCCCAGGACCCACAGACCCAGCCCATTGCACCAACCATGAGCGGTGCTCCGGGCCGATCAAACAACCCCTTGCTCTTTAACCTGGATGTGCTTACACCAGAGCAGCTAGCCAGACTGCAAACCGAACTACACACCCAGATCCCGAGGTCTGAGCCACCAAGGCCCACAACAGAACGACAGTCTGTGCATTTCAGCACACCACAAAAAGAATGAGCCTTTCCTTCCTTAAAAACAGGTTCTCCACACACAACGACCCCTAGGTGGGACTCCCCAGCTTCTATGGCATCAATCTCAAATGCCATACGACATTCCATCAAGCTGGCAGACCCTGCAAAGCTGAGTGATGGTCAAAATCTATCCTTTGAACAGTAGAAGAACAACACTCAACGTAAGCTACGGACCAACTGGTGGCTCTTTATTACAAAAGAATCAAAGTTTGATTGGCTTTATACGCTAATAAAAGGTGATATAGTTATAGCATTGGAACCATTTATCTCTAAAGAGAACATCGAGTCACTTACTATCATTGAAAAGGTGTATAACCTTCTCCGGTCCTCTTACAGCAATCCTGACGCAGCTGCTCAAGCCAGAGATCAGCTCCATGATCTGTGGATGGAACCGGTGCAAGACTTTTACTCCTTTTGTTCCACATGGGTTCTCTTAGTCAGCAAGACAGATCTGTCCCGGACAGAATGGAAGTATGAACTGAACCAAAAGCTGACACCACCCCTGAGGATACAAGTGATGGCTTCTTACCTTGACTCTAATGTTTCTTTTAACCAATTTCGAAATATCTATTTTAACAATACTTAATAACTTGCAGAGATTAAACGAGTCAAGAAGCAGCGCTAAAGCTTCTTAAAAGCTTTCTCTCGCCATACCATCACTGCGGCACCTGGACCCCAGCAGTTCACCAGAAGCCTATCAACCCAAGCTTTGTCCAACCAAGCGATTGACACTACCTTCCAACCAGCAAGAGCATCACCTGATCAAAAGACTCCCCGTCTCTCTGCAGCCTCTGAAAGGAAGCACATTGACCGATCACGCACACCCCACAAGGCAGAAAGCATTATATGCTACTTGTGTGGCAAAGAGGGCCATATCGCTCCTAAATGTCCAAACAAAAGAACTCCTTATGTACATTTTCTGGAAAAAGATAATGAGGCCTCTTCTGGTCTGACCCAGGATGTTACTTCTGACAACGAGTCGGAAAACTCAAAGGCCTAGGGAAAGTCTCCCACCTAGGCCTCCAATGTACTATTAATCAACTAGCTCACCACTCCCTTGAAATTCTATCACTTTGATCAGACCTTTCTGGCTTGATTGGCGGCAGTACCTTTGTGATGACTGCAACCATCCGATGGAATGGAATTGCAGTGCGTGTGAAAGTTTTGATTGATACCGGAGCAGAGGTTTATCTTTTAGGCAGTTGTTTAATCATGAGCCCCTTGGCTCAACGATGGGAACTCCCTCAAAGACATTTTGATGAGCCCGCTACCCTGAATGGCTTTGGCAAGGGACATTCACAGGTTGTCAACACAACAATTGCAGCAAATTTCCAAATTCAGGAAAGAACCTTCCGGGAAGCCCCTATCCTGGAAGCAGAGTTTGGGCCCAGCAAGAACTTTGACCTTATTGTTGGCAAGCGATTTTTGATTATTCACAACCTCTTACCAGGCTGCTGGCGGAACCGCCTATACTTCCCACTGGAACTACCTTTCCTTACCAACTGAAAGACCGACATCACCAACCCAGCTCGCCAGTGGTTAAGGCAACGGGCTATCAATCCTCAGGCCCAGCAGGACATGCTCCATAGGGATTCACAGTGGGAAGATCGAATGAGCCTCACAAAAACAACTATTTTTCTTGGTGCCCCGCTATTAGGGCGCAACCTTGATATTTGTACTAAAGCAGGCACTTCTCTCAGTAACTGACTATCTCTGCCAAGGCACAAGAGAATTTTTCTCACAAGCCGGATGGCACCCTTCTACGATGGGCCCCCAAACACGCCCGTGGCCGTCCCAAAGACGACCACTGGCGGCGTGCTCAAATCCCCGGCCCCTAAAAAGACATACGGCCCGGCAACTCCAAGCAGGCTCCGCCAGGCGCAAATACAGCCTGGCGCCCGCATCACTGCCAATCAACTAAAAAAGAAACAGGATGATCTCCGGGTCTTTGTTCGCATGGATAATAGCCACCTAGAGCCTTACAGAATAAAGTCTACACTGAACAGAAGACTTAAGCTCCACCCTCAAGAGCTTAGAGAAGTGACCTGGTGCCCCTCCGGATTTACCTTACACCTAAGGGACAAGCCAACTCAGGCTAAGCTCCTGGCCTTCTAAGAAGAAATTACTGATATTCTCAAGGCAGAAAAGATCGAGACCCACACAGTCTGACATCACTATAAGGTCAATGGATGCCCAAGAAAGGTCATCAATGCGGAAGGATTGACAATTGATATTACCAACATTGTTGTTACTAATGAAGTTGAAGCCCAAACAGGTAACAGACCTTTAAGGTGCATACTCTCAAGGAACACAGTTGATTCTGATCTGGAGACCACATGGGTGATCTCTCTGCCCCGTGCAGCAAAGAAACCATTCACGCTTTTTGCTCACTTAATGACCTCAAGGCACATTCAATACTCCCCCAAGGTTCACCAGTGTGCGAGCTGCTTCAGATACCATGGTAGGAACTACCAATGTGAAAAGCAAGTATGTGCACGTTGTGCCAGTACAGTACACCAGGGGGGAGTGCAAAAAACCAATCCCAAAGTGTGTCAACTGCAAAGGACCTCATACTGCCAATTTCGACAAATGCCCTGCACGCCCAAAGGTTGCGAAAGGCATCATCCATAAGCACACATAAGAGCAAATCCAGGAAATAAGGCTGGCTGGAGAAAGAGCCAGATCCAAGGCCTTCAATGAAACAGGCAGAAGCCAAGCTGGGTCAACACCCAGCAACAATAACAAAAACATCACAATACAAATCGACACAATAGATACAACTCATCCCAGAGATGCCGATACCATTGTTGTCAGTCAATGTTAGGTACATCAAACGAAACACATCGACACGGGTATCTAGTCATCTATTCTATGAATACAACAGGAGGACAAAAGAGTACAGGCCCTACAGAGTTAGCCATCAACCTGGCTGACTACAAAGGAGAACAAGCAGACATCATTCTGATGCAAGAGCCCTAGGTTGGCATACCACCAGGCAGGAGAATGGGAATAAAGACATACCCCAATTACGATATATACTCCCTAATGGATTCCTGGGACAGCAATAGTACACGGCCCAGATCTCTCATCTATGTGAGAAAAC